TTCAGATTCAGATTTGTTAAAATATCTCTTATGCGTAACTCTTGAACAGGTAGGTAGTAAAATAATTTTTTTTCTTTACGAATTTTATAAACTTTTCACGAACATAAAAATTGAAAGATTCTCAGAGAACAAATAACTTTTCTTGAACATTTAAACCAAGGGAAAATCTTTTCCCATTAATAAAGAGTGAATAATTAATATCTCATACAAGAGGAATCTCCATCCTTGAAATCACCGCGCGGCTTTGCTTTTAGAAAAGTATAATATTAATGTAATAGTAACAAATGCTATCCAAAAACGGTACAAATCTTAAACGTTTTTGAGAAATGCAGTTTGAAGTTTAGTCTTTTCTGTTAATGTCGTTATAGCAGAAGAATTACCAATTTGCTTCAGTAGCGCAGTGGATCAGGCTTTGTGATATGAGCGTAGAGGTTGTTCAAGTGTGTTATTTTTGCTATCACAAGGAGAACTATGTAGAATGTATAATAATACGCAGACAAATTCTTTACATAATCATACTTATTTCTTTTAGCATGAATAAAAATGATCAATGCTAACATGATAAGTATATATCGCAATTGTACGTGTACACATACACACACATACACACGTATATCAATGATGTCAAAACCGAACAATTCGTGAAAATTTTTTATTGATCGCAATTGTACGCAAAGACGAAAGAGAAGTACACGGGTCTCCGCGGGTATCTCGTCATATTAATTGTCTATGAGCTGATAAACAATTGATCTCCGGTATTTACAAGTTATGCTTCTCCACAGCTTGTTCGGTTTTGACATCATTGGTATCAGTGATGCGAATTTGGTGACGGGCTTGCACGAGGATTCTCTTCCCCATTTGAGATTTCTAAAAATATTAAGTTAAGTATACAATAATCATATATATATGTTAGGTTTCTCAATTGGCGCTACTCTTCTAATATATCACTTCTTTTGTACAGTAGAATAGTGTTGCAGAGTTTTATTATAGTTATAAATTTTACTTGTGAAAACTTATGTACACATATGTACATTTAAAAAAATAATTTGTGTTTGATACTTCTAAAAATAACACAATACGTGTGCGCATGTACCTGGCGCCTTTTTTTTACCTTTCTGTTTAAAAAGATAAGTTTTACTTGTAAAATCTTATGTATTATCTTTAAGTTTTACTTGTAAAAACCTGTTATGTATTTTTATTGAAGGGTTTTTATTGAATTAAGTGTTCAAATTGTCTTCCGTCTGCTGCTTGACAATGATCTTATCGTAGATGAAATGCATTTAAAACGTTTCGTCTCATTTCTGGTGAAATAAGATTTACTTGGTGCAATATGCATTCCCTAAGGTCTGCCAAGTTAGCAGGTTTCGTTCCGTACACATTGTTTTTAACATATCCCCATAAGAAATAGTCCAATAGAGAAAGATCTGGTGATCTAGAGGGCCACTCTATTTCTCCACATCTTGTTACCCATCGGTTTGGGAAAGTATCAGTTAAAAATTGACGCACTATTACTGCATAGTCCTTATCTCTGCTGACATACACACACACACTTACACACAGGGGGGTGTAAAGTCCGACCATGCAACCTCCACGCGGTACATCCTGAATAATACTAATGCTAGCGGCACCGTAAATTCTAAAGCTCATAACCCAGACAATTCTCAATAAAAATAAGTCATCAAGTAGTGTTTTGGAAACGTCTCGCTTTAACGTCATCTTTAACACTGTGTGATAAAAAATGGGATGTTCCATTTTAAAAAATCATGTTGGCATTGACCTCGCCTTGACTCCTCCACTCAAGGTCAACCAGATATGATCATTCAATAGAACTTTTAAAACCCGTACAACTTTAGTTGGAAACATTTTTCTTTAAAATGTTCCGTTTTCGAGATATTTGACCGTTTCCAGACTTTTCTAACTAAAGTGATATGGTCCATTATCGATGATTTTATTAAAAAATTTTTCGAACGAAAGTTGCATGGCTTGAAGGACGACACATGACGGAAATATGGACTTGACCTTGAGTGACCTTGTCAAAATCAGGCCAAGGTCATTAATGTTTTTTTAAATAGAAACTGCAATTTTTTATTACATATTCTTGTAGCTTATCTCGAGAGCATTCCAAAACACTCTAACAAAGTTACATTTCATTGAGTACTTTCCGAGTTATGAGGCTCGGAAGTTAAGGCAAGACCGATCACTGATTCGACCAATTAAGGCAAGATCGATTCGAATATGTCTTTAGCTATTAATAAGTCTTGGCCTTAGAAGTACGAAATAAAACCTCCTTGCTTTTATTACAATATCCTGTAAGTTAACAAATATTCTTCACACATACAAACATAGTATTATTATATTTTTATTGAGTAGTGCACTGAATAACTATGACACTGTTCTGAGAGTTTTCTCATTTAGAGTGACGAAACAAATATATTTTATGAATGTTTTTTCGCGCAGATAGAAAATTTCACGGATGTAATTGTTTTTGGAGATTATTTAATACTGTACGAAAAATATTTATTAACTTACAGGATATTGTAATAAAAGCAAAGAGGTTTCATTTCGTACTTCTTGATTCTGTTACAATATTCTTTTATATTTCATACTACATCCTTGTATAACTTAAAATTATTCTTAAAATATTATTAAACAATTCAATAATCAAACCTGTGAACCTGCCCGACTCCGCAAAATAATTAATAAAATATATTTCATTTTCTTGGCGCCGAATATTATCAATACTATTACAAATAATATTACGAATGATATAAATTTTTACAAATAAAATTAGTAAAAGTTTGTATTATTTGTAACATTATTATACAATTACAAATAAAATTACAAATAATAATATTACAAATAATATATATTACAATAATATTAATTATTAATAATAAAATATTATTTGTAATAATTTCGGTGCGCCGAGTAGACAAAACTTTTCAGTATTGTCATAGAGAGGAAAAGAGAGAGAGACAGTCGCGCCCGCGATTCAGTTTATGGGCAAGAAAGAATTAGGCTCGCTCGCTGAGCGAGAACGAGAGCGACAAGGAGGGAATGATATTCTCTCTCTCTCTCTCTCTCTCTCTCGCTCGCTCGGCGCGTCGACGATTGACGATCGCGTGGCTTACACGGATTGACCGAGCTGGCTGTGTGCGTATATGAGGGGGGGGGGAGAATCCTCGTGCAAGCCCATCACCAAATTCGGATCACTGATACCAATGATGTCAAAACCGAACAAGCTGCGGACAAGCGTAACTTGTAAATACCGGAGATCAATTGTTTATCAGCTCATAGACAATTAATATGACGAGATACCCGCGGAGACCCGGGTACTTCTCTTTTATCTTTGCGTACAATTGCGATCAATAAAAAATTTTCACGAATTGTTCGGTTTTGACATCATTGATATACGTGTGTATGTGTGTGTATGTGTACACGTACAATTGCGATATATACTTATCATGTTAGCATTGATCATTTTTATTCATGCTAAAAGAAATAAGTATGATTATGTAAAGAATTTGTCTGCGTATTATTATACATTCTACATAGTTCTCCTTGTGATAGCAAAAATAACACACTTGAACAACCTCTACGCTCATATCACAAAGCCTGATCCACTGCGCTACTGAAGCAAATTAGTAATTCTTCTGCTATAACGACATTAACAGAAAAGACTAAACTTCAAACTGCATTTCTCAAAAACGTTTAAGATCTGCATCGTTTTTGGATAGCATTTGTTACTATTACATCAATATTATACTTTTCTAAAAGCAAAGCCGCGCGGTGATTTCAAGGATGGAGATTCCTCTTGTATGAGATATTAATTATTCACTCTTTATTAATGGGAAAAGATTTTCCCTTGGTTTAAATGTTCAAGAAAAGTTATTTGTTCTCTGAGAATCTTTCAATTTTTATGTTCGTGAAAAGTTTATAAAATTCGTAAAGAAAGAAAATTATTTTACTACCTACCTGTTCAAGAATTGTGCATAAGAGGTATTTTAACAAATCTGAATCTGAATCAGTCAACAAATTAAATTTCTCATTCAAAGAAGCATATGTAGGGTAAACATAAGTAAGATAAGTATAAATAATAAATTAAATATTATTCTCTGATAATAATAAATAAATGTTTTTTTCTTTAGCTGAATCATCGAAGTAAATATTCTATTATAAATTAACTTTTCGGATTACAATATTAATTTGATTTTTCAGAGTACGCTTTCAAATTGACTCTTCGGAATACGCTATTAAATTGACTTTTCGGAGTACACTTTTAAATTGACTCTTCTGACTACATATTTTTTAGTTGATTCTGTGGAGTACATATTTTTTAATTAACTCATCGGAGAGAAGAGAAGAGAAACATTTTATATTTTATTTAAAAAATCGTAATTTTTGCAGAAAACTGATTGATAAAGAAAAAAATTAATTCACGACCTCAACGAAGATCTTAAAAAAATTACTGCAAGAAATGAAGTTGTTGTTATTATATACCATATTGTACAATATTAAAACATACGCGCAATAATTATCTATAATTTGCATATATGGGCGTTTATGTAATTATAAGTAATATAAAAGTCATGACAAATTAATGTGGCCGCGCGTTATCTCTGTCGCGTCATTGCTAGAAATCATCCGGACTCTCGAAATTATTTTCTTCCCGAATTATGAATATAAAACAATGTGGAAAGGAAAATAAGGGGGTGAAAGGCGAGACGGCGACGTCTGCCTTACGGTAACATAGCTGCTGGCTCGCTTCGTCGCGATTGTCTATTCGCAGGTGGTGAGACAAAGACCGATTCTTCGTTTTTATCTAACTAATCTAGCTCGCTCGTGAACATAGCACAGAACAGAACCAAATAATTATGGACATAGCACGGAATAGTACCAACAAATCGTGGACATTGGCTTAGTAGTTCATGTCCATGAAAAATGGACCCAGTTGGCGCTGCGAATCAGCCAACTTTTCCATAACGCTGTAAATGCAGCCATGCCCGCTCTCAGGCTTCTCTCTGCGAGTAGAGAAGGACGTGGTTTATTTACTTGTGATTTACATTTCAAATCAAATTAATACGAATCAGGTAAAATATATAGATATGTACTTTATGAATCTTATAATTACTTTCCTAGTCAAAGCAATCTAATGTGAAAACCAAAATTGTCACTTTGCACTGCGAACTGAAATATGAATAATTAAAATTGACTGACATAATAGGTTAAGAAAATAGGTTAAGAAACCTGTTATAATAATGAATTATAGCAGTTGTTTGATTTACTAATTTTTTTGTAATTAAAACAAGGAAATTAGCGGTAGCCGCAGCAAAGTACAAAAGAATTAGGCTAAGAAAGTGCTTTTCTGTTAATTGTACAAAAAACAGGAAAGTTGGGTGAAACTAATTAAAAAACTTAACTCTTTTGTATTTTACTACGACTATCCAAAATCTCCTTGTTATTTGATTTTTTTTTTTTTTTTAATAGCAAAATATTTTCATGTCCTAATGTCTTTGTACTTTGTTGTGACTATCTGAAACCTTCTTGTTATTAGTTTTATTAAAAAAAAATCAAATAACAAAGTGGTTTGAGGTAAGTACAAAGTATAAGGGAGTTAAATTTTTTACCGATTAGTTTCACCCAATTTTCTTGTCTTTTATGCAATTAATAGCAAAATACTTTCTTCTTCTAACTTGTACTTTGCTGCAGCTATCTTTAACCTCCTTCTTATTTGTTTTATTTAAAAAAAAATAAATGAAACGGCTATAATTTGTCGCAATAACAGATTTCGTAATCTGTAATATTAGTCAACTTTAACTATTCATATCTCGCTTTAGGGCGTAGAACGACTATTTTGACTTTCAAATATGGTTACTATGCATTAAAACACAATATAAATATGTGAATTTCAACCAAATCGGAAGTGAAAGTCTAAATTGGATAATTACCTAATTTTAAACTTCCTTCAAATGTCTATTGACAAGATGTATTTATATTTCACCGATATATATTTTCAAAAAATTAATAGACTATAATGAATAACCTGCCACTCCTCGGATAGACAGAATACTGAACATAGTATGGTCTTTTTATTACTACAATAATTTAGTATTAATTTAGTTCTTTTGTCAGCATATTGGTAGCAATTTTTATAACAATAGAAAATTTCTGCAATATTGACACAATTTTCATGGCATCAGATGCCTTCTTTTACATATTAACAAAATTCTATTTATACAAGGATGCATCTTGACGTATTTATGCTAGTCTATTAGTTTATCTGCGTCTAGTTCAATTATTAGCATATAAGTTTATCAAAATAATCATTTTTTTAGATACTTGAAAATCAGTATAGCATGTGAACAAAAGGAAAACCTATGTGAACAGGATCAATACGGTATATATATCATATTATTGAAAAGACAATATTTCCTAGTAAACACCAATTAACAGCAACATAACATAAATATTACAATATCTCATTGTCTAATTTAAATATAACATATAACGTGCATGTTATGTAACAGTTACATTGTTGAGTAGAAAATTATAATATTGATATTATGTTATTGATAGTTTGTGTTTATATGTAACTCTGTTACATATAAAGTATACGTAACAAAGTTACGTATAAACACAAACTCAATAGGTTTATAAACATAAATAGGTAACACTCTGTTACCTGTGAATTTTTATTGTAAAATAAGAAATGGATTTTATTATTGCCAACCTGTAAACTTCTTGATTGCCAAATATCCACAAGGCTACAGCTATCTATTTCTCCGGTAGTATATTAGGCTAATTGTCTAGTTGCAATAAGTATGGTCCAATATGTTGTATCAATATTTCAAAAGTTTCTCTTCTGACGCGAAAATATGTTTTAAAATCTAAAAGAAAACATATACATATATAACATGACAAAACAATATTATATATGCATTATATAAAATATTTAAAAAATTTTATATGCTTATATTATTTTATACACCTATACGCGTGTATGCATATTAAACGATATTTAAATAAATCTTTGTTTTGTTTATAAGTATTGAACCCATGTTATTGAAATCACTGTTTAACATTGTTATATTCAACTCAGTAAATATGTGTGTATATGTCCTTCTTACCTATCAATGAATAATAAAGAACGACGTTTTCATAAAAGTTATTAATTTTAATATGTTCTTCTCTTACTCTACGTATTTGTCATTCAGATTCATTTTCCTCGTCATCATTAAATATTCCATAAAAGTAATAAATCCATGTTTGTGTTCTATAAGAATATTTATAAAAATATTTTTGTTAAACAAGAATATGAATCAAATTATAAGTTACCTAAGATATATACCTAAGATATGTATACTCAACTATAAAAGATTAGGTTTGATATCTTAATATGGTTTTCTCGAAATGCAAATAAATCAAGATGCAATCACGTCTTTTACTTGTTATGAGCTAATCGGATCTGATCGGATTGCTCCGAGGATACGTTTCATAAATCGGATTAGTTAAATAGGATTAGGGAACTTTTTCTAAAGTCAGTTTATATCACTGCTTCCAATTCGATTACAAATCAGATTGCTAGAAGTAAACACCCAAAGGTTGCGTTCCGATATTCATTGCCAGCACTGAAATTCTATAGTATACGTGACAGAAACTATGTATTTTCAGTGCTGGCAATGAATTTCGGAACGCAGCCAGGGTGTATTCTGTACCGATGCCGCTCGGCTTAAAGCCAACGGCAACCGGTGGTTGTTTTCATGCTGGATTGCTTGCTGAATGAAAATACTGCGTTCTGTCTGGTGCATTTCCGAAGATGGATGGAAATGCACCAATCAGAACGCAGTATTTTCATTCAGCAAGCAATCCAGCACGAAAACAAGCACCGTGTGCCGCTGGCTTTATTTTTGTTTCTAGATGTTGGCAGCCACGTAACCAAACCGAAAAGTTCCGAATCCAATATAACCTGCTAAAATTAACAACTATAGTTGACAATATTATTATTTTCTAATACAAATAATAGTATAAAAATGAACCAAAATATAATAACAGTGCTCAACATGGCTTTTACGAGTTCGAGTTCAAGTAACAATGGGTGCATTCAGTACTACAACCGCTCACTGAGCGCTAAGTGAGCTCTTGCATCTGATTAGTGTATATTTCCAAATCTAAAGGAATATACCAATCAAATGTAAAAGTTCATTGAGCGCTCAGTAAGCGGTTGTAGTACTGAATGCACCCAATGGGTGCGTGCAGCGGAGAAAACCGTTCAGTGAGCGATTAGTGACTATTGGTCCTTACTGTTAGATCCTTACATTCAGACCAATAACGTTGACAAATTACTCAATAGTTGCGCAACTGTTGAGTGTCGTGAACGCACCCAGTGATGACGAAGATATTGAATTTACTTTTTGCGAGAAAAATAAATATCAAAATAAACCAAGAATTAAAAATTTTATTGAAAATGTGATCTACGCCTATGACACCGAAGAATTTAAACGACATTTTCGGTAAATTAACATGCAAAATAAATAAATCGTTTTTATTTTAATGTTGGATATAATTTCCAGTATATATCGCAATACTTTTGATTTTGGTAAATACCCAGGCAGCACACGAATGTCCATTGGACGTCCATTATATGTCCATTTTTTTACAAAAGACGTCCATAGAACGTACGTTTCACAACTTCGAACATAAGACGTCCGATGGACGTATATCGGACGTCCTACAGGTCCGATGTCCAATAAGGACATCCTTGTTACGTTCAATTTGTGTCCATGAACGTAAATCGGACATACGGACATAAATTGGACGTGAAACGTACATTTATTGGATGTCCGGTGCTGTCCAGGTATGTACATTAGGTCAACCTCCTCAAAAGTTGATTACCTTGATATATGTTGTTAAGGACATGTTCCTAAGTGTTATGCAAAAAGTTGCAACTGTCGCTCATCGTTTATTAAAAAGTTATTAACAAAAAAAGTTTAGTATATACGTAAGTTGCAAGTACGTTTAGCACAGCACGCTACGCGCGCCCCACCTCCACTCCTGCCCCACTCCCATCTCACCTGCCTCTTCTCACTCCCTTTCCATTGGTTGTTTTCAATCACTTTCGCGTAAATATTGAAAACAAACAATGGTAAAAGGTCAAAGAGGAGGTATATTTTCCAGTATATGTCGCAGTACTTTTGATTTTTTATTGAATATATTGAGGCCATTTTTGGAAACTGAGAAAAGTGATCCTGTTATTTCACCTGAAAAATAGTTGTATATTGCTTTATATGTGTTAGGAACATTTGATTCATACAGGTAAATATTTATGTTTCATTACTATTGTATTACATTTCCATGAATTGATTCTTTTCCAACCAATGTCCATTCATAACTTTCTTTGATATAAATCTGTTGTAACTAAATTTGATGTGGGAAATGCCACAGCTTGACAAGCTGTAGAAAGAGTAGTGAAAGCTCTGTCATTTTCAGAATTATTTTATCCATTGGCCAACATTAAAAGAAGCAGAAGTTACTGCCAGGTATATACAAGACAAATATAATTTCCCAGGCATAATTGGAGCTGTAGATGAAACACATATTACACTTGCAGTTCCGACAGAAAATGCACTTGCATACATAAATCGAAAAGGACATCATTCTATACAACTAGGTATAAAGCATTCTAAAATACTATATTTTCATTTGTAAATTAAATTATAAAAATATATAAAACACCTAGTAAACACAAAATATTAAATTTGTGTTATATAAATTATATATATTAGGTTGGGGAAAAAGAAATACATTATTTTTTCGTTTATTTCAAGGCTTTATTTAACATAGTTAGGATTGTTCGATTTTAGTCAAATAAGCATCGTTTTATTCTACAATTTTTCGCCATTTTAAAGGTAATTTCATGATCCCTCTTTTATAGAAGCCCTGGTCCTTATTTGCAAAAAACTCGACTAAGCGATCTTCACAGTCTTTTCTTGAGATCAATTTCTTACCATCAAGGAAGTTTTGCAATGACAAAAACAGATGGTAATCGCTTGGTGCCAGGTCCGGACTATAAGGTGGATGCATCAAAACTTCCTAACCAAGCTCCCGGAATTTCTAACGAGTCACTATAGACGTATGTGGCCAGGCATTGTCCTGATGAAAAACAATTTCTCTCCTATTGACCAATTCTGGCCGCTTCTGGTCGATCGCTAGCTTCAAACGGTCCAATTGTTGACAGTAGAGGTCCGAATTTAGTGTTTGGCCATATGAAAGCAGCTCATGGTGGATGATTCCTTTATAGTCTCACCAAACATTCAGCAAAACCTTCCTGGCCGTTAATCCTGGTTTGGCCACCGTTTGAACCGTTTCGCTACGCTTTAACCACGATCGTTTTCGCACAATATTGTCGTATGTAATCCATTTCTCATCCCCAGTCACCATCCGTTTCAGAAATGGCTCGATTTTGTTCCGTTTGGTCAAGGCTTCGCAGATTGAAATTCGGTCCATCATGTGTTTTTACGTCAATTTATGTGGCACCCAAACATCGAGCTTTTTTTTTTTAATCCAGCTTTATGCAAATGGTTTAAAACTGTTTTGCGGTCGATCTTCAGCTCCTGGGCAATACTATGACTGCTAACATGCCGGTCTACTTCGATCATTTCCATAATTTTATTGACATTTTCGACGACGGGCCTACCTGTGCGAGATGCATCTTTAACGTCAAAATTACCGGAACGGAATCGACGAAACCAAAATTGCGCGTGATTGGCTGTGATAGTATCGGGACCATAAACACCATTCACAATTTCAGCCACCTGGCTTATATTTTCGCCTTTATCGAAGCAAAATTGTAAAATATACCAAATTTTCTCTTTGTTGACGTACATCTTTTACGTGCTATAACTCACAACTTAGGAGGAGCGAGCGAGCGCGAACGATGAGCGAGCGAGCACAAGCGACAAAAGGCGGCCGCCCAGCGCTCTCTACGCGCTCATTGGCTCACATGTTTCAATTAATAACTTGATAACTATTGCCAATTTGACATTATGGTACATGACTTTTCTTCTCGGCTACACCCAATCTACCAGTACACAAAATATTAATGATCACATTCCGGACACCCTGTATATAAAGCATTATTGCATACAAATTATATTACAAATGTTGCTACAATGTTACACTGCAATGTTATTGCAATATTTCATTGCAATATTGCTGCAAGAAGACATTTTACCTTTGCTGCAAGATTGCAGCAACATTTCGCACCGTTTCTGCAATGTTGCAATCTTGCAAAACAACGTTGCTGCAATGTTGCTGCAACGGTGCTGTGCTGTATGGGGACCGACACAATTACTTTTATTAGTCTGATATTTCTACTAACTAATTAGACTAATATAAATTAGTCTAATTATTAGTCTAATAATCCACAATGACAGCGGAGCGTGGAGCACCATCATCAGTGGTCAATTAATGTTTGGAGTGGCATTATCGGAACCTATCCCTGCAAAAAATTATTCGTCGATCGACGTCGAAACGATGTCGAATCGACATCGATTTGATGATTTCGACGTCAATTCGACATCATTTCGACGTCGATCAACGAGTCATTTCTCGCTGGGATATAATTGGATCTTACTATTTCGTAGGTCATTTAAATAGGAAAACTTACTTGCAATTCCTGCAAAACGTTGCCAAATCTCCTCGAAGATGTAAATCTCCACATACGTCGTAGGACGTGATGGCAGCAAGATGGTGCTTCTGCTCACAGGAGTCGCTTGACCATCGCATACGTCAACGAAAAATTCCATAGAAGGTGGATTAGAATAGGCAGTCAAACTCAAGAGTGGCCACCAAGATCTTCCGATCTCACGCCTATGGACTTTTTCTTGTGGGGTTATAACAAAGAAAAAGTGTATGCGACACAACCTACAACTATCGTAGATATGAAATTACGAATTGAACGCGCTTTCCGAGATATCACTGACGACACATTGCAAAGAGTCGAAAATAATTTTCGATTACGCGTGACACAATGTATCGATCAAAATGGAGGTATGTTTTAACATTTACGATAAGAAATTGCGTAGACGCAATTGAGGCGACGGAACTCACATAAATCAAGCACCCCAAAGGCAACAGAAACCTCTTACGTCCAGTCCGTTGTTCCTGGGTAGCGTTAAAAGTAGGGTAGTGGATAAAAATTTAGAGTAGTAAGAGTTTAGCACAACCATTAAATCTTTTGCTCGAACCATACAGGTGAAGTCAGTCTAGGCTTTGTAAACTTTGAGGTTTCATATTTCTGGAACAGCTTATGCAAAAAAACAATTATGGGTAGTATTTTTAAATGTCTCGATGGATCTACAACTTTTATCTCAAGAAAAATCAAGTTCCATTTAAGAAATTAGTCACCTTCAAATTTTCTTGAAAACGATTACACCTGCGACACGACTTACGTCGTGATCATGTGTTCCCCTTCAATCCAAACAACTTTCATCTGAAGTATTTTTTCTACAATCAAAAATAAAAAAGTTTTTGGGGATGGTACATTAAAATGAATCATCCTGTATGTATAGTTATATATTAGGAACTTGAATAAGTTCTCGCTGTTTTTTCATGAAAACGAATGCTTTATTTAAAAAAATTAGTAAAGAACATGTCATTGGTTGAAAGTATTGTCCATCGCTAGCCACTACTTTATCCCATCTTTCTGGCAGCATACGAATACCATGCCGAAAGAATGACTCATCTTTTGAGGTTATCCACGAATCGACCCAGTTTTTGGCATCTTCATAAGAATGGAAGTGCTGCTCAGCCAGGCCATGAGTCATCGATCGGAACAAATGGTAATCGGAAGGAACAATGTCCAGTGAATACGGCAGGTGGAGTAGGACTTCCCATTTGAGCGTTTCCAAGTAGGTTTTGACCGGTTTTGCAACATGTGGCCGAGCGTTGTCATGCTGCAAAATTACTTTGTTGTGTCTCTCCTCGTATTGCGGCCGTTTTTCCTTCAATGCTTGGCTTAAACGCATCAATTGTAGTCGATAGCGATCTCCCGTGATGGTTTCGTTGGGTTTGAGGAGCTTATAATATACTACACCCAGCTGATCCCACCAAATGCAGAGAATGAGCTTGGAACCATGGATATTCGGCTTTGCCATCGACGTTGATGCATGACCGGGCTTACTCCACGATATTCTATGCTTTGGGTTATCGTAGTGTATCCACTTTTCATCGCCAGTCATGATATGATGCAAAAAAATGTTCCTTTTCTGCCGTTGGAGCAGCTGTTCACACGTGAAAAATGCCGTTCGACGTCTCTCGGCTTCAATTCGTACGGCACCCAATTTCCTTGCTTTTAAATCATTCCTAATGCTTTTAAACGTTTGGCAACTGTTGTTTGATCAACTCCTAATGATTCCGCAAGTTCATTTTGCGTCTGACATGGGTCTTCATCAAGTAATGCTTCCAATTCTTCATCTTCAAACTTTTTCGGTGCGCCAGAGCATTCTTTATCTTCAACATCAAAATCATTATTTTTAAAGCGTCTAAACCAATCTCTGCATGTTGTCTCCGACAGAGCATGGTCGCCGTAAGTCTCCACAAAAATTCTATGTGCTCCAGCTGCAAATTTTTTTTGAAAAAAGTAATGCAATAAAATTCCCCGCAAATACTCTTTTTTTGGGATGAAATTCGACATGTTTAACGCTATAAAAAATGTTGTTCATGCTTCGGCGGAATAACATATACTGTCACTTCGAACCTAATGGTGGAGCTTCAACATGAAGTTGGCTATAGTATTGCCCGATACAAAAAGGCTAAGATAACACCATCTGTCGGGGAACAGCGAGAAATTATTCAAGTCCCCAATTCCCATTAAACATAATGTAACATATAACATACTTATTATTTATAATTTATATAACTTTTTATTATTATAACTTATTTATAATTTATTTATAATTTTCTACTTACCAATGTAACTGTTATATAACCCATACAGCACAGTAAGATTGCAGGATGTCCACCAAACGCTCGGCCATGGGCCTGAGGGCCCTCAAATCCCAAACCGAGGCCCGAGTCCTGGAACGGTGATCGGCCATACTGGCCGACCCCCGATGATTCGGGCCTCGAACGGCTAAGGCCGTCCGCCCCTGCCTGCCGGAAATGACGGGCAGGCGGGGACGCGGACTCACCTTCTATATGGTGCAGGTGCTGACCGAGCATGGGTGCTTCGGTCGGTACCTGCACCGGATTGGAAGGGAGCCCACTGCGGGATGTCACCACTGCCCGGCGCGAGAAGACACGATGCAGCACACCCTGGCTGAGTGTCAGACGTGGGAAGGGCAGCGCCGTGTCCTCGCCCGGGCGATGGGGTGCCAGGGAGAGGCCCTCTCGCTCCCGCACTTGTTGAGAGCAATGTGCGGGAACGAGGAGGTATGAAGAGAGGCGGCCTCCTTTTGCCGGGATGTCATGGCCCGCAAGGAGGCCACCGAATGGGAGCGCCGCCCACCCCGTTGCAGGGAACGACGGAGGAGACGGCGCTCCTCGGGTGGGGAGCGGGCCCCAGGTGGCGCCGGCCGAGGAGGAGATGCCTCCGGCTCGCCGGAGGCCGCCTCTTCGGCCGCCACGGGCCCGCCTCCGATGACGCAGTGGGGGTGGGTGAGGAGGGTTAGGCCCTCCCACCCGCACAGCGCGTCGGTGAGGACAGGAAGAACGGGAGTGGAGCTTGGTTGGGGCCAGGACTCACTCCCCCTGCCCCCTTCCCCCCAGTAGGGAAGGGGGAAGGCGGGGCGAGGAGGAGGCGGGTGTCCCCCCTCCTTAATTTAGACCGGAAGGCCAACCCGGTCGAGTAACCGGTCGGGGCGCCGCGCCCTTGACTCCCTTTTAAAAGGGAGAGGCGCGGCACTTGGACGTGGGGCTCCATGAGAACCCTGGGGCTAGAGTGTCGGGAAGGGAATGCAGGCGTAGTTCCTTTAACTCCCCCCACTTCGGTTCGCGCGGTAGGCACCCCGCAGGGGTTTAGTCGGTAGGAGTTCGACACAACCCCCGCCCTCCCCAAAGGGGTGGGGGTATCCATGATGGATTTCCCCTGCGTGACCAAAAAAAAAGTAAGATTAGTAAGCAGGAACATTGTAGCAACATTTCCTTGCAATATTGCAACATTGCAAATACATTGCGAAATATTGCTGCAACGTTGTTTCGAGACTGCAGCAACGTAAAATATCCGTTTTTAGAAATGATTGCAACGAAACATTATAAAGGATGTCTCAAAATGATCTGACATTTTAAATTGCGCGCCATTTTTTTGTGGCGAACATAGAACACTAATCTTTGACAACTTGCACCAGGAAGTATTGAGGTTTAGTCATGGAGAATTACACGATCGAGCAACGCATAGAAATTGTGAAAATTCACTACAAAAATGGTGAAAATTTTGCGGTTCGAAAAGTCCGCACGTCTTTTGGTTATCATAACGCACCATCTCGCAACACTGTGGTGCATTTAATAAAAAGATTTGAGGTTAGTGGTTCAATTCTGACCGCGAAAAGCAGTGGCCGTTCTCGTATCAGTCGGTTGAATGAAAACATAGCCGCAGTGAGTGCGAGTGTTGACGAAAGTCCTTCCACCTCGATTCGCCATCGTGCTCAGCAATTAGACATTTCAAGATTCTCTGTGCAGCGAATTTTGACGAAAGATCTGCATGCTTACAAGATCCAATTGACACAAAAACTGCAACCAGCAGACCATGCGCAGCGCCATACATTCGCCAATTGGATATTGGAGCATCAACAAATCGATGGTGATTTTTCGAACAAAATCATCTTCAGCGATGAAGCGCATTTTCAACTTAATGGCTACGTGAATAAACAAAACTGTCGAATTTGGAGGACCGAAAATCCAAAAGTGATCCAACAGCTTCCCATGCATCCACCACGAGTCACTGTTTGGTGCGGATTTTGGGTTGGAGGAATGATTGGGCCGTACTTTTTCGAGAATGCTGCGGGAAATGCGGTTACCGTCAATCGTGTTCGTTATCGTGACATGATAACCAACTTTTTATGGAATGAATTGAACGGCATGGACTTGGAAGACATATTCTTTCAACAAGATGGCGCAACCTGCCATACTGCGGACGAAACAATGCAGTTATTGCAGACGAAGTTTCATGGTCGTGTCATTTCGCGCCGCGGCGATATGAATTGGCCACCAAGATCATGCGATTTGACGCCATTGGACTTCTTTCTTTGGGGTTTTCTGAAAGGAAAAGTGTATGCCAATGATCCACAGACCATTCCGGAGCTCAAGGAGAAATTAAATGCACCATTAATGAAATTAGTCCGCAATTATGCCAAAATGTCATTGAAAATTTTATCAAAAGAATGAACGTTTGCAAATAGGTCGAGGCGGCCATTTATCGGATGTTGTGTTTCACACATAACCTCCATGTTTATACCTTATATTAAAATAAAAACATTCGTACTTTTCAAATAAATAATATGTTTTATTAATAAATTAAAATATCAGGTCATTTTGAGACACCTTTTAGCAATATTGCAATGTAACGAAATTGCAATAATGCATTATTCCTGCAATCACCGCGTAATATTATATATAAGAATGTTTTTGTTTTGGATCAATAAATATTAGAAGCATATGAAGACATAAAATAAGAAAAAGTTGAATGTAAACAAGGGTTTGCAATATTTTTATATTTAAGATATATATTTACGTATGACTTTGAATTTATATTATATAATTTATAAAATTGGTATAATAATACGAAATTATTGCCTAATACTTGTTTACATTTAGCTTTTCTTAATTTGCTTTCATATTTTGCTTCACTCTAGAATAAACACATATGTACATATATGTATATATAAAAAAACTTTATTTGTATAAATATATATATATATATATAAACATACATTTTAACTAATAAAATTCGTTCATAAAAAAGCAATCTTTGGTCGTGTCATATCGTGTCATATGGTATAATACACACTTTAATAACATACGGTCGCGGATATAAAGGTTGTCACTTTTTTTTTAATGACTTTCGGGACACATCCCGACTCGAGAAAGATGAGAGCTGCTGCTCCGCTTGCGGAGCACGCCTGCGCAGTAACTCACAACGAAAGGCGAGAAATGAAATATACGTGGTATGACATAAGTATTAGGAGCGCAAAAAAGTTTTGAGCCTTTTTTTGTAAAATTCAAAATTTATTTAAAAACAAACAAAACTATATTAATCAACGAAATATTCCCCGTTTGCATCGATGACCTTTTACCATCTTTCGGGCAGCTTGCGAATTCCCTGATGGTAGAAGCTCACCGGCTTCGAGGCGATAAAGTCATCAATGCATTTTTGTATCTCTTCAAGTGTCACAAAATGTGTATCAGCCAAGAAATGCTGCAGAGACCGGAATAGGTAGTAATCGGAAGGCGCCATATCTGGGCTATACGCCGCGTGCGGAAGAAGTTCCCAGCCTAACGCAAAGATATGGTCCTGAGTTACTTTCGCAACATGTGGTCGGGCATTGTCATGAAGCAGTATCACTTTACGACGTCCTTTGCCAGTAAATGGCCTCTTTTCTTCAAACGCATCGCTCAAATTGCTCAATTGTTGCTGATAGCGATCTGCCGTTACTGTTTCACCCGGCTATAACAACTCGTAATACAATACACCTTTCCAATCCCACCATATGCAAAGCAAAACCTTCTTGGCGTGGATATTGGTCTTTGACGTCGATGTCGAAGATTGACCAGGGTCAACCCATGATTTTTTATGCTTCGGATTATCATAAAGTACCCACTTTCCATCACCTGTAATGATTTGGTGCAGAAAATCCTTTTTCCGGAACCTTGAAAGCAAAGTGAGTGACGTGTCACGCCGTCGATTTTTGTCTTCGGACAGTGCATGCGGAACCCATCTGCCTTCCTTTTGAACTTTTCCCATTGCATGTAAACGTGTGAAAATGGCTTGTCGCATAACGCCAAGTTGCTCTGCAAGCTCCTTTTCAGTTTGTGCAGAGTTTATATCCAACAATGCTTGCAGTTCGTCCGTTTCAATCTTTTGAGGGCGTCCAGCACGCGATTCATCTTCAAGACTGAAATCTCCTTGGCGAAATTTTTGATACCACCTTTTACACGTAGCATAACTTACAGCGTTCTCTCCATATGCAACACAGATTATTTCAGTGGCTTCAGCAGCATTTTTCTTCAGATGAAACGCGAAGTGGGTGGAAAATCGAATATGCTCTTTTGTTATTGCCATCGTGAACACTACTGATTTTAAGGTTATGTGCATCAAACGCCAAATCGCACGATGTTTCGAAAGACCAAATGTTACTGCTTTAAAACCGCAAGAGGGCGGGAAAATTAATGCAATTTAAATTGTGGTTTCAGTAGTATGAAATCTAGGGCTCAGAACTTTTTTGCGCTCCTAATATGTCAACAATCATTGCGTTCAGCGGAAAAAACCGCTCAGTGAGCGATTAGTGACTAAATAAATACGATTTCACTTAAAATTTAATATATATACTTGTTCAATACCTTGCAAAAGACGCATTCCCATTTGAATGACTTGCACTATGTATCTATCCCTCCGCTGCTGATTTTTCAAAATGTAAGAATTGAGTGCGTTCACAACACTCAACGGTTGAGCAACTGTTGAATAATTTGTCAACGTTATTGGTCTGAATGTAAGGATCTAACAGTAAGGACTAACAGTCACTAATCACTTATTGAGCAGTTTTCTCCGCTAAACGCAATGATTGTTGACATACTTATGTCATACCACGTATATTTCATTTCTCGCCTTTCGTTGTGAATTACTGCGTAGGCATGCTCCGCAGGCGGAGCAGCAGCTCTCATCTTTCTCGAGTCGGGATGCGTCCCGAAAGTTATTAAAAAAAAAGTGACAACCTTTATGTCCGCGACCGTACATTTGAAATATGTTCATTAATAAAAAAATATTTGGTCGTGTCATATCGTGTCACATCGTGTAGTACATTCTTTAATAACATACATTTTAAACAATATGTAATATTCATTAAAAAATAAAAAAGCTTTGGTCATATCGTGTCACATTGTGTAGTACCCCTTATGAAAAAAAACCCTCAATTTTGAATGTAAACACTGTAAACACTGAAATTTGAGTGTTTACCATGAAAGTTGAGTATTAACCGTCAACATTAGGTGTTAGTTGAGTGTTAAGCATCAATGTTGAGTGTCGGTTGGGTGTGATTACCAAATTTTCAGTATAACTTTAATGTAGATTCTCAATATTGAGTGTCAATTGGGTATGACCATCAACATTCGTTATTATTTTGGTGTAGATACTCAATATTGGGTGTCGGTTGGGTGTAACCATCAATATTCCGTGTATTATTAGTAGACACTAAACATTGAGTGGTTAAGCATGGGGCATCAGTATTGGGTGTCGGTTAAGACCATTAATATTCAATGTTAGTTTGATGTAGATATTTAATAGTGTGTGTCGGTTAGATCGTCAATGGTGCAATAGTGCGCGCGTGCCAGTGGTTAAGAAACCTATATTTTGAATAAAATATAATGTTGAGTAATTAGTCTTTTATTCTTCAATTTTCAGAATATTTCCAGTTTGCAGTGGACGACAATATATAGGGTGTTTGATAGCTGATCATGCAGACGAAAGTTGGAGATAGATTGGGTGTAGCCGAGAAGAAAAGTCATGTACCATAATGTCAAATTGGCAATAGTTACCGAGTTATTAATTAAAACATGTGAGCCAACGAGCGCGTAGAGAGCGGAGGGCGGCCGCAGTAAGCACGTAGACATTTGATACAAGCGGAGTCAGCGAGTGTCGGTAGACAAGCGCGCGCGGCGAGGGGCAACGTAAGCGACAAGAGGCGATCGCGCGCGACGAGGAGTGAGTGAGCTTTTTCTTTACAGCTTTTTCCTTATAGCTCGCTCGCTCCTCGCCGCGCGCGCTCGCCTACCGCCATTCGCTGACTCCGCCTGTATCAAATGTCTATGTGCTTACTGAGGTCGCCCTCCGCTCTCTACGCGCTCGTTGGCTCACATGTTTTAATTAATAACTCGATAACTATTGCCAATTTGACATTATGGTACATGACTTTCCTTCTCGGCTACACCCAATCTATCTCCAACTTTCGTCTGTATGATCAGCTATCAAACACCCTGTATACAAATGAAAGTATGTTTTCGTGAAACCCTTGTTTATTCATTATATTCTCATTTAATAATTTGTAAATGAGGTATTAATTGAATAACTAAATAGGCTAAATATACTTTCATTTGACTGTTACACATTCATTTTGATGATGTTCCATCAACTGCGTGTAATACTCGAATAAAGATATATATACAGGGTGTCCCATTTTAATTTCCCACCCCAAATAACTCTTCAGTATTGAAGTTTCAAGGAAAATGATCTAAATAAAAGTTATAGGGTTTTAAGTCAGCTACCTTATGATGACCTTGACTTTGATCTTGACCTCTATTTTCAAAGTCAACTTGCGTTTTATAAATGGGAACCCTTATTTTTTATTACACTGTTTTTTTTACTAGTTAGTGTGAACAACTTTTGTTTAAAACAAAAGTTTTTTTATTTGTCTAATATTTTTTTAGATATTTGAGGAAAACTTGATAACTTTTTCAATATTTAACTTACGATATCTCGCTAACTATTTGTCAGAAGAAAAAGTGGTACTAGACTTTCTTGCTTTATTTAGTCTCAAGAATATATTGTTACAATAGCGCCCTGAGTTTTGTTAATTTGATGATTTCGAAATTTCCAAAAATCAGTAAGTTAACAAAAGTCAAGGCGCTGTGGTAACCATATATTCTTGAAACTAAATAAAGCAAGAAAGTCTAGTACTACTTTTTTTTCGACATGTAGTTAGCGAGATATCGTAAGTTAAATATTGAAAAAGTTATCGAATTTTCCTCAAATACCTAAAAAATATTAGACAAATAAAAAAATGATTTAGACAAAAGTTGTTCAAATTAACTAGTAGAAGAAAATAGTGTAATAAAAAATAAGGATTCTTGTTTAAAAAACACAAGTTTACCATCAAATGACCTTGAAAATAGAGGTCAAGGTCAAAGTCAAGGTCATCATAAGGTAGCTCACTTAAATCCCTACAACTTTCATTCAAATAATTTTCCTTGAAACTTCAATATTGAAGAGTTTTTGAGGTGGGACATTAAAATGGGACACTCTATATACTCACTATGCAAATACGAGGTACATCCAGAAAGTAAGAATACAATTGTTTAAAATCGAAAAATGAATATATTTTATTGAAATTTACATGGTATGTGCCAAAATATGTTATTATTTCCCCATATAATCGCCGTTGAGATCAATGCACTTTTGAAGCCTGGGCATCAGCTTTTGTATACCCTCGTCGTATACCGTTCGCTTCACTTCCTGAAGCCACTTTGTCACAGTCTGCATGACCTCCTCATCGTTCGAAAAGCGCTGTCCATCCAAGAACTCCTTCAATTTATTGAAAAGATGATAATCCGAGGGTGCCAGGTCAGGGGAGTAGGGTGGATGAGTGACAATGTTCCATCCAAACGATACGAACAGGTCTTGAGTGAGCCGGGCGGTATGGGATCTGGCGTTGTCCTGAAGGAGAGACACACCACGAGTCAGCATTCCCCTCCTTTTGTCTTTGATTTTTTTTCTCAACTTCTTTAGGGTCTCACAATATGCAGCTGCATTGATGGTGGTCCCTTTGGGCATGAAATCGACCAACAAGAGCCCTTTCCAGTCCCAAAACACGGACGCCATGATTTTCCTCTCTGAAGATTGAACTTTGAATTTTTTGGAGGATGGAGAATGGGTATGGCGCCACTAGAGAGACTGTCATACTGAGACTGAAGAGAATGAGACTGAAGTGAGGAACCGAATGACTGAACGAATCTCACATCTGCTGTAGGTGGAGCGAACGGAGAACGCACTGGTTGACGTATTAAATTGCTGCGACGACATTTCATAACTGACTGAGGCGCTCGATGGCTTAATTTGACCGTTACGAACCCCTCTACACGTCACGGGTGCCAACTTTGCAACAAAAAAATCCCTACGTCTTACACAGCCCTTGTATTCTTACTTTCTGGATATACCTCGTAGTAAAAACGTTAGGTATTAAATACATAACATATATGTTTAATGTCATAGTTTCTGAGTAGGACATTAAAAATATGTATTTAATACCTAATGTTTACTATTTGCGCAATGGGTGCATATATACCCTCATTCGAATATTACATCTCATTCGAGTATTACATTTGATGGTTAACTCTACAATTACACTGAAAACGAATATCAAAATGAATATGATACAATTAAATGAAAGTATTATTTATTTAGCTTATTTATTTATTCTATCAATGGCTTATTTTTAAGTTTTTAAGTGAAAACAACAAATAAACAAAGATTTCATGAACATATGCTTTCATTTGTGTGTATTGCCGTCTATTGCAAAATGTGGGTGCATTTAATTTTAGGGTTTCTTTTCAGGGTTTTATTTGGGTGTTATTTTGAGAGTTTTCTTGGATGTTATTTTGGGGGTTTTCGTTGAACCTTAACCCTCATTTAGATGTAAGTTTCAATTGACGACTCGAAATCACACCCAAGTTGAGTGTTTTTTCGGTGTATCAGGTGTTTCAGACCACCCGGATGACCCGATTTTTTCGTAAACACAACATTTTGAAGCAAAATGTTTCAAACAAAAGTTGTAGGGCCTCAAAGAATCTATTTACTGATGCTATAAATTTGACCTTGGGATGACCTTGAGGAGTCCAGTCAAGATCAACATAAAAATCTTAAATGGAAACTCCAATTTTTTGTTTCACCGTCTTTTTCCACCAATTAATTTGAACAACTTTAAGCATTTTTTGAGTGTTAATACCCAAAATTGAGGATTTTTTTTTCATAAGGAAGGAGGTTAATTATTGGAAACAGCTTGGTTGTCGGGATAATCTTTATGTCCGGAGATCACACAGTAAACTCCTATTATTAGATAAATACTTATTTAACTATACAGGGTGCACGATTTATCTGAAGACATTGAAATATCTTGAGAACTATGCATTGGATAAAAAAAAGTGGTTAATGAAAGTTGTTAGTCTCGAAGGGGGACATCCAATGATACCAAACTCGACCTCCCACCCCACCCCCTGGAGGTGAGGGTTAGGGGCAACTTTGAAATCTTAAATGGAAACCCCCATTTTTTACTGCAGATACGGATTCTACGCCACAAAATACGTAAATTTTGTCCGAAACTTTTTTTTTATTCGTGATAGATGGCGCTGTAATCGCAAAAAATTATATTTTCCGCAATTCTCCAGAAATGATCATTGGATTGAGAAATAAAAAATATCTGTTCAATATTTTTAAAGAACATAATAAAAGTTATTCCCCCCCCCATCCTCTCGGGGTAGGGTGGGTGGTAACGTTCAAATCTGCATGACGATTGCCCAGCGCATAACTCAATAGCAGCACGGGAAGTATTAGACCGTGATTACAATGGTCGGTGGATTGGCAGAGGTGGCCCGATTAATTGGCCTGCTAGGTCGCCTGATTTGACATCGCCGGATTTCTTTCTGTGGGGTTACCTAAAAGATAAGGTTTATCAACAAGTGCCAACAACTCGTGAAAACATGGTAGAACGCATAAGAAACGCTTGCGCTGAAACTCCCGCAGATATGCTTCTATCCTGTGTACAGTCATTTGAAAAAGGATCAATAAGTGTATTGAAGTTGAAGATAAAAATTTCGAACACTTACTCTACGAGGATGATCCGATAAGTACTTAGCCTACAAAAGAAAAACGAAAATTTTGGAAAAGTGGCGATTTATTTCTCAACATAGTCTCCTTTTAGCTCGATACACTTGACCCAGCGATGCTCCAACTTCTTTAACCCGTCTGAAAAATACGTTTTCTCGAGGTCTGCAAAGTAGGCCTCCGTGGCGGCGATGACCTCCTCATTCGACTCAAATTTCTGTCCGGCGAGTGACTTTTTCAAGTTTGGAAACAAAAAGAAGTCGCACGGGGCCAAATCTGGAGAATACAGTGGATGGGACAGCAGTTCGTAGCCCAATTCGACCAATTTGACCGTGGCGAGGGCGGAGGTGTGAGCCGGTGCGTTGTCATGGTGGAAGAACACTTTTCTTCGCCAAATGAGGCCGTTTTTTCTGCAATTCGGCGTCGAATCGGCCCAATAATTCGGCATAGTACAGCCCTGTAACCGTTTTGCCCTTCTCCAGGTAGTCGATGTAGATCACACCTTGTGAATCCCAGAAAACGGTGGCCATCACCTTTCCGGCCGATAGGACAGTCTTCGCCTTCTTCGGAGCACGTTCGCCCGGTGAAGTCCACTGTTTCGACTGTTCCTTGGTCTCTGGTGTGTACCAGTGGATCCATGTTTCGTTGACGGTCACGAAACGATACAGAAACTCCTTCGGATTGCGCTTAAACAGCGTCAAATACTGCTCTGAAGTGGTCTCACGGTTGCGCTTGTTGTCCGGAGTGAGCAAACGCGGCTCCCATCGCGCCGACAGCTTTCTCATGCCCAAAATTTCATGCAGGATATGACCCACGCGGTCTTTTGAGATGCCTACTGTCTCAGCTATCTCGCGCACCTTCAATCGGCGGTCTGCCAATACGAGATCGTGGATTTTTGTCATGTTATTCTCCGTGGTAGCCGTTTTCGGGACACCTGGGCGTGGCTCATCAAAAACCGACGTGCGACCATGTTGAAACTCGTTAAACCAATTTTTGACGGTTGCCATCGAAGGAGAAGAGTCACCGTACACAGCATCCAAGCGCTCTTTGATTTCGCTGCGCGATTTCCCTTCCAAAAACAAGAATCGAATCATCGACCGATATTGCTCTTTTTCCATTTTTCTAAAATCCGCGGACACGCCCGCTTCCACACGCGGTCAAAACAAAACTACGAGTCCGATTCGGCTGAAATTTCGACAGTAGCCGTCTACGAGAATGTACTACACGATAGTAAATTTCTCTTGCGATAGTGGCGCCATCGGGCGGTGAGGCTAAGTACTTATCGGACCGCCCTCGTAATTAATTGAATAGTGGGAGGTAAGGGGACTCACATTAAAAAAGCACCCCGATCTGTGAGAGGCAAGGGGACTCACATTAAAAAAGCACCCGAAGGGAACATAAAACTACTACGTCCTCGTCGTTATTCCTGTGTAACGCTAAAAGTAGTTTCTCGGAAGAATTCAACGCTATCTATCACGAATGAAAAAAATTGTTTCAATAAAAATTTCACGTACAATCTAATTCTGCAATGAAAAATGTGGGTCCCCATTTGAGATTTTAACGTTACTTCTTTTAGCTTTTAGCTTTTAGGGAAACTACTTTTAGCGTTACACAGGAACAACGACGAAGACGTAGTAGTTTTATGTTCCCTTCACAGATCGGGGTGCTTTTTTAATGTGAGTCCCGTTGTCTCTCACTGTTCAATTAATTAGAGTAAGTGTTCGAAATTTTTACCTTCAACTTCAATACACTTATTGATCCTTTTTTCAAATGACTGTACACAGGATAGAAGCATATCTGCGGGAGTTTCAGCGCAAGCGTTTCTTATGCGTTCTACCATGTTTTCACGAGTTGTTGGCACTTGTTGATAAACCTTATCTTTTAGGTAACCCCACAGAAAGAAATCCGGCGATGTCAAATCAGGCGACCTAGCAGGCCAATTAATCGGGCCACCTCTGCCAATCCACCGACCATTGTAATCACGGTCTAATACTTCCCGTGCTGCTATTGAGTTATGCGCTGGGCAACCGTCATGCAGATTTGAACGTTACCACCCACCCTACCCCGAGAGGATGGGGGGGGAATAACTTTTATTATGTTCTTTAAAAATATTGAACAGGTATTTTTTATTTCTCAATCCAATGATCATTTCTGGAGAATTGCGTAAAATATAATTTTTTGCGATTACAGCGCCATCTATCACGAATAAAAAAAAAGTTTCGGACAAAATTTACGTATTTTGTGGCGTAGAATCCGTATCTGCAGTAAAAAATGGGGGTTTCCATTTAAGATTTCAAAGTTGCCTCCAACCCCCACCCCCAGGGGGTGGGGTGGAAGGTCGAGTTTGGTATCATTGGATGTCCCCCTTCGAGACTAACAACTTTCATTAACCACTTTTTTTATCCAATGCATAGTTCTCGAGATATTTCAATGTCTTCAGATAAATCGTGCACCCTGTATATATAGTAGGCTGACTAGGCAAATCACAGTTAACGCGAAGGAAACGTGCAGGACGTCTATCTTTTGCGATAATTGTAAATGAACGAATCTCTCCGCTCTCGCACGCGCTTAGCTGTCAAGCGGTCAACCTTGAATCCTAGTTGCCCACGCTTGCGTCAGATTAAAGAGTGCAGGTGCAATGACGCAGCTACGCTATAATAGCCTGAGTTCCGATATTCATTGCGTAGTGAATATGATCAGAACGCAACCAATGGCTCTTGCAACCAGCGCGATACGCGATGCAACACGCGACGCATATAATATTCAATGAGTGTATTAAAAATTATGGAATTTCGATTTGCAATGTCTCTGCAATGTCTCGGAAATATTAATGTTATGTTGCTACAAAGTATTTTGCGAATCTATATCTCTGCAATGTCTTCGTAATATTGTATTACAATTTGCAACGTTGCTACAATGTTGTTGCAATGATCTGTGCTGTATGGGAACACATTTATTATATACATATACATTTTACATAGGTTGATATGAATTAGCAATATTGTGATATTCCGAATTAAGTTTTATGAAAAAGTTTTGATTATTTGATATCAAAACTGTGAACATATATTTCTTCTGGCAAATGATATGTAATTACAAAACTAATTAAATCACAATTTTTACGTGCAACGAAGTAAAAGTACTCTTCCAGTTATTTCTACATAGTGGCATTTTATTTATTTACAAATTTCTTTAAATAGTACTATTGCAAAACTTATTACATTTATTACCCAGTAAGCAAAATGCTAGCAGAATGCGTGCAGATTGACGCCAATTTCGATCAGATCTCTACATCAAAACCATAGTCATTTGTGTCCTCATTAGGCTTGTATTTTGTCGACAGGACCTGTGCGACAGGCCGTGCAAGCAGATTGTTGGCAAAAACCGCGCAGGTCCTGCTGCCAAACTACGCGTAGAGTCTGCGCGCAGAGTTTGCTCGGTTTCTGCCGCCAATCTGCCATCAAATTACTGCAAGTCTTGCGCGATTTTTGCTACAAATCTGCCGTCAAATATCCGACAGCATGATCTGGCGCATATTTGATCGCAGATTGGCGGCATAATTTGATATAACAAATTCTGCGTTAAATTTGTTGCCTATTTGCCATCAAACTATGATAGCAGGCTTTGTTCGAAATCTGCTCGCGCAGGTTTGGCTATCTGGGTATATATTTGTAAAATTAAATACATTTAGAAATATTCCACAGTTCTCAAATTTATACGTACTCTTTTATCATTTATTTCTGACATCTTTGATCTAATGACATCTAATGACATATATTTATATAACACTATTAATATTTTAATGTGCCAAGTGTTTTAAAAGTAACAAACCTCCTTCCCCCATCTCAGAATCTATGCATTATATAGGGAAAAATGACTCGAACAAAAGTTTTAGGGTTTATAAGGTTCTGTTTTTTGTGACCTCAAATTTGACCTCAATCTCGACTTTAAAGGTCATTTGAAGGTCAACTTGCGTTTTTTAAATGGGAACTTCTATTTTTTATTACACTATTTTTCTCTACCAATTAATTTGAACAACTTTTGTTTAAAACATTTCTTTATTTGCCTAATATTTTTTTAAATATTTAAGGAAAACTTGATAATTTTTTCAATATTGGCTTACGATATCTCGCTAACTATTTATCGGAAGAAAAGTGGTACTAGACTTTCTTGCTTTATTTAGTCTCAAGAATATATTGTTATAATAGTGCCCTGATTTTTATTAATTTAATGATTTTGAAATTTTCAAATGTCGATAAGTTAACAAAAGTCAGGGCGTTATTATAACAATATATTCTTGAGATTAAATAGAGTAGAAAAGTCTAGTACCACTTTTTCTTCCGACAAATAGTTAGTGAGATATCGTAAGTTAAATATTGAAAAAGTTATCAAGTTTTCCTCAAATATCTTAAAAAATATTAGGCAAATAAAGAAATGTTTTAAACAAAAGTTGTTCAAATTAATTGTTAGAAAAAAGCAGTGTAATAAAAAATAGGAATTCTCATTTAAAAAACGCAAGTTGACCTTCAAATGACCTTCAAGGTCAAATTTGAGGTCACAAATAAAACTTTCAGGGTGTATTTCTTCTGGATAGATACCGCATCGTAATTCAGCTTTTTGCCGACATTTCGATGATGCAGCTTGCATCATCAGGGCTAGGAGCTTCGATACTGAGTCTTCCTGGTTTGTGGTTGTTCTTATATACTCTTCCATTCTTCTAAGTAGAAGTTGCAAGAAATCGGGAACGGGGTGAGGAAAATGTTTCGACCAATCATATTAATTGGTCAGTTAGTCAATTAAAAATGGTGAACCCTATTTGACACGCTGTCCTCCCGGTTTTTTAATTGATCAGCTGGCTAATTAATATGATTGGTCGAAACATTTCCCTCACCCCGTTCCCCATTTCTCCTAACCCCCACTTAGAAGAATGGAAGAGTATATAAGGACAACCACAAACCAGGAAGACTCAGTATCGGGGCTCCTAGCCCTGATGATGCAAGCTACAATGTTTGCGAAACGTCGGTACAAAGCTGAATTATGACGCGGTATTCATCCGGAAGAAACACACTCTGATTGTATCAATGGCCACGAAAGTCTAAAAACTAGTAAAATAGAACTTTACGAACCCTAAAACTTTTGTTCGAGTCATTTTTCCCTATAATACATAGATTCTGAGATAGAGGGGAAGGGTCCGTTATTTTGGAAAAACTTGGTATATTGATTTATAAGTAAAACATTTTACTTTAAATATCCTACCACACATATACAATTGCTAACATAATATTTCTTATATTTTGCGCATTTATTTATAAACAATCATTGCTTTATAAGTATTATGTAGCCAATTATCTGTGCGGCACCAAATGTACCATGTGACTATAGCTCCCTCGCCGCGCAGCGGCTTCTCTCCCGTTACCCGTAAGTTCGGGTTATTGTTCCATCTCCTTAAGCCCGTATCAGATTACGGATTGGGATTGAGTATTGGATTGAAATTTAGCCAATCAGGTCTAAATTTACTATATTTGAGATTATTTTCTCTTTTCCAATTGGTCAAATTTCAATCCAATTTCAATCCCAATCCATAGTCTGATATGGGCTTTATTCCTATGTCCATGGCTAAATCCCATAAGACCAACAGTCTTTATAGGCCGTGTTCCAAAATTCACTCCCAGCGTTGAAAAGTTACAGTTTGCGTGACACAAAATATATATTTTCAGTACTGGCAGTAAATTTTGGAACACGGCTATAGTATCTAGTCGGTGTGCTATCCTTGTCTAACTAAAGCTAAGACTCCATACATGCGGTGAGCTCCGGCAAACGGCTGCGGTGACCAATCAGGAGACAGACACATGCCGGAGCTTGCCGCAACCGGACTTGCGCCTCCCTCCTGATTGGTCATCGCAGCATTTGCCGCAGCTCACCGCATGCATGGAGTCTTAGCTTAACTGCAGCGATCGCGTGACATGATATATTATTCAGTCTGAAAACATTTGCTTTTGCAAGCATTTTCCATACACCTAAAATTTATTTGATCAAAGGAGATTTTTAATAAATAATAATTTTCGGAATAGCCCGTACCAGACTACGGATTGAGATTGAATATTGGATTGAAATTTAACCAATCAGGGCTAAGTTTATTATATTTGAGATTATTTTCTTTTTTCCAATTGGTCAAATTTCAATCCAATCTCAATCCCAATCCATAATCTGATACGGGCTTAACAGCTGTTCAGATAAGCTTGGTTTAAACTCGAATTTGTGGAACAGGGCTTAAAATTGCTGTCGAAGAAGAGATGGAGAAAGAAGAGTTCGAAATTTCAGGTGACCTTGCCGTCATCTAAAATATTGCATTCTGATTGGTGCATTTCCATCCATCTTCGGAAATGCACCAATCAGAACGCAGTATTTTCATCCAACAATCCAGCACGAAAACAAGCACCGTGTGCTGCTGGCTTTAATGAAAGTCGCCTTTAACACACGCAGATCGCACATCCTTCATGCGAATCCCTCATGATGGTACGGCGAATCGCACGGCTCATGGCGCGAGAATCGATGTCGCGGGGTTCGAAACGACGCCCTTAGGTCGTACACCATAAGAACGCGAGATCGCGGTGTCGAACGCTGGTGCTTCGAGTTCGCGCAGCGCAACGCGTGAATTGTTCCGTACGGACGATTGGGCGTACGTATCCATGTACGAGCGTCGGCAGCCGCGAGACGCGTTGCCGTCGTCGTACCAAAGATCGCCGCCGCCGTCGTCGCGTTGGGTTCGTCGTCATTGCGAAAATGCCATTAGCGTGAACGACGCGTCTGACAGGCACGCGCGAATGAACCGAGTCCCAAGATCGAAAGTAAAAAAACTCGTACGGCGCGTGTACGCACGGTCGCGCGTTTATCCAGCCGTGTGCACATATATATATATATATATATACACACACAGATACATGGAGTGTGTATATATGTACATATCCATGCGCGTATAATACGTCACGCCAACGCACTGCCATATCTAATCCGCTAGTTTTCTTTTTTTTTCTATATATATATATATATATCTTCATTTTGCTTCTCAAGCTTTCGCTTTGCGCATCGTTTCGCGTGGTGATTACAGCCGTCGTCGTCAGCAATCTCCGCGGACGATCGCGACGTGAAACGCGACGCGCGACGTCGAAACTCGACGATCCGACCGGAACGATCGAACCGTCGTGTCTCTTTATCTCTCCCCTCTCTTATTCTCTCGCTCACGCACATATATATACATACATACATACGCACGCACATACACAACCTTTCGTTCTCTTTCCATCTCTGTTTCTCGCTTGCGACAGCAGTGGACAATCGTGACGAATACTCCCGTATACATATGATGCTCTGTCTTGAGGCGCGATAATAATTGCCACCTAGGTATGTACTCGCAGGCTTTTCGTGTTGTATCTAAGGCTTGTAATATCTGTAAAATTAGAGACTGCATGTTAGAGAGGGGACTCGGTACCTTCGCGTCGGCCACTGTTCCTTTGCGAATGCGAGCTCGTCACCGCCGCTGCCGCCGCCGCCGCCGCCGCCTTCTCCCGCTGTTTCCGTTTGCGACGCTCGGCAAAACTATCCCCGGACAACGCGATGTTTTGCTGTGCAAAAGTAGAAGTATTCCATATTCTGTTAACGATCTTTGTCGGTAATTTTGCGGAAATCGAAAGCCGCAGTGTCTCATTAGCTCGTCGCTACGCTAACACATGATGGTTTCTGAAATTCCACACCGACAAATACTCGTCAACGTAGTACGGAATACCGCGGCGTTAGCGATATGCTGCATTAGCGATATTCATCGGTTCGTATCTTTTGAAAGAAAGAAAAGGAAAACGTGTGAGAAGCGGTGACAGTACTGCTCTCCCATTATGGACCATTATGGACAAATAATGCTATGCACGATACATGGCGTCGCGGCTTTGTATTCTTCGACAAGAATATTCGGACATTAGTTTCAAGGACAATACGTTAATGAAGATGAAAACGTATCTTAACTTTTGTAACTGTATATCATTATTTTTTTGTATTTTTATTATACTTAGCTTAATGGGACATTTTGACGGTTCAACGTCGTTAAGCGCTGTCTGGACTAAGCCGATCGTTTGCGACGTACTCGAAGCTGACGACTGTTTCTCTTGCGATTGAATCTTGACTAAGATATTAACAAGGAGTAATTTGGTGTTCTTCTTTTGCATGTATAGTTTTAATAAATCGAGCCTTATCTCTTGAATCGCATAAGAGAAAGTAAACAATCGAAATCAGTAATGGAGTCATCAGACAGGAAGAATGTTTATCTCACGAAAACTGGCGATAGCTCTTTAAATTCGGGAATGAGAGATGCCATGATTGTTGGCCAGACTAATATGCAACCAGGTACAGCCATTGGTAAATAGTTGCATAGTTGTATCAATTTTGTATATTTTAAAGTTACTTTACTCTATCAACTTTATCTTACAATTATCTTCCATTTTATAGTTTTTCCTCTTTTCTATATGGCTTTTTTTTAGAATGTGCAGAAGGTGCAATGAAGCAAAATGTGTCCAGTGTATCCCATCAGGCCAAGTGGTCTAATGCCCAGAGTAAGAATTTCATCATCGGCACAGTTCCAGTAAAGAACGAGGTACAATTGTTAGAGCTAGTATAATACATACGATGCTGATCATGTTCATATGATACTTCTAACTAAAAGTAATGTACTTTGTAGATTGTGCATTTAGAAGATGGTGCACATTGTAATAACAAGAAGATGTATTACTATGATAGACATTACACCGGTCATGAGGAGCCAGAGAGGCCGACGCGTAGAGGAACAAAGAGATACAGAGACAAGGACGCACCGAAACGGGCGCTGTACGTAGCCACTTAAAAAATGTCCTGACTTTTTATTAGATTTCAGTTTTCAATTTCGGAAAGAACTTGCCGTCTGCGTGGACACAGTCAAAGTATAAAAGCGTTACAAGAGAAATCAACATTATAAAGAATGGAAGATCTATTAGAAAGCCTCAAAATTCTCTTAGGTGTCTGCTTACATGAACGTCAAAGGTGGAATTTCACTTCAGAAATGTACTCTTGTATCAATGTATTATCATAGGTCAGCATTCTTCTACTTTTGCCAAGAGCTGCGCAGCAAGATGAGGGAATTGCACCCTGAGATGGGAGTAGGCGAAATCGCGAAGGAATTAGGAAAATTGTGGATGAGTACAGACCTGCAGACTAAGTCTAAGTACATGGCTATCGCGGAGGAAGATAGAGCCCGATATGAAAGGGTACGTTGCATATTTTACGATATATATACTGTATTTATACGTTAAAGTTGCTTATTTTTGTCCATGAAACATGCAAATTCGATGGGATATTATTTCGAGGATTTTAATGTGCAGGAAATAATTGCGTACAATAAGAGAGTAAAAAATTACGACCCTGAAGAAGTTGGGACTGTATAAGTGAATATATACATATGCATATTCACCTTCACATACACAGGACGGTTGAGAAGAACAAGAGAAGGAAAGATTACTTATATTCTCTCATTCGAATACTTGTATTCTTGGCATTTGCAAGAATTCTATGATTTTACTAACCTAGTATTACTGTCCATCGTTGTATATATTATGTACACTGTTGAAAAGTAACAGAAAAAAATTCATTCTTTTAACGTGCAAAAATTCGATTCATATTTACTCGTAGTGTGACAAATAGGCGAGATAGATTCGATGAAATGAGTTCCATTTTATAATGAATTCTTCTACCACGCAAGGGCTATTACTACTATACATGACTAACGTGTGCTAATATATAAATACATATACATACATATATATATATATGGAGGATGCTTTTTTTAGGATTTGTTGATCTAACTGTGCCAACATGCTTTACGAGTAAGAAGAAAAAAATGTTATATAAAATAGAATGCTATTCTATTTTGTATTTCTGTTATAACTTTTTAATAAAAAACTTTTATAGTCACCTCATATATTTTTAACTATAAAATGCGTTAGCACAGTTTGACTGATAAAACCTATGGCATCCTGTATACATTTATCGACAAAATCTAATATGAGATATATAACAAATCCTAGCGATAGTAAAAGTAATGGTAAATAATTCAAATAACAATAGTGCTACTGTGCTACATTAATATTGAATAGCGATGTAATCATAACTGATACTGGTAATGTTTGAGAGTAATGACGATAAAGAAATTGTATACCGCACCGCATTACGTTATTAGAATTAACGGTAGAATGTTTTGCTGATATGTAATAAGTTAAATGAATAAGAGAGCTTAATCAGGAGAAGCAATAAGGAGAAATGTGTGTGCAAAACGATGCAATTTGGTCGCGTTTTAATCGGGCTTCTGTTCTTTGCAAGGTAATTCTATTGTGTATGACACTGAAATTAATATATCCATATAATTTCGTTGAGTTCATATTTTGATACCACGTATATACTCTAATAATCCTTGTGCTTTCTTGCAAGTTAATAAAATGCAATGTCCAATATAAGACCTTGTTTCTCATGGTTCAATCTCCAAAACGCATTGAACTCATCGAAGTCTTTAATTTGATAAAAATACATACTCACATTACAGACATTTTTCATGTGACAAGTTCATCAGAAATCATTCTTGCTTTTTGTAATGATGTTTATTTTCACATACATGGGTTATTTTGAATTTTGTGAAATTTAAATACAGAGTTGAATGCTAAAATTAACTCGATCGATTAGTTAATTAGTGATAATAATCATAATAATAACAATAATACATACCCTCATAACATTACTTTCATAACGAGAAAGGAACAAAAAGAAAAGATAAACATGCAGAAGAGAATATGTTATAGTAAATATCGAATAGAGCAAACGTTGTACAGAGCGTAGTCTTGTCTGTAATCACATATATTTGTAAGATTATATATATATATAAATCGGGAAAAAAATACTGAAACCCCGATACAACGGTTCATATATTCTATGTATTTTTTCTTTTTTCAATAAAGATAAAAATATATCCATATAAAATGCGTAAATTAGTTTTATATATTATAGTATGTGAGAAATATATATAGAAATTTTTTGATTGTTGATTCGTAATTGTCATACACATACATACACATATACACACACACACACACACTTCTGAGAATTTAATTAAATTGCTTATATTCTCAAATTGTTTTAAATTTATATTCTTTTTATATAAATATATAATATAAAAATAAAGCTTTGTAAAAATATAAATTGCACATGTTATAAAGCTACAGAAAGATATAATTTTCAGATATTTACAGATATTTTATCAGAAATATAAATCTTTCAAGTCAATGTGAGCTACATAGAATGATTGTGGACAGTTTTTTTTGCAATAGGGCGATAATATCGACAAAGTATCGAAGTATATTATCCTATCACAGAAGGAATTATTCGCAACATCATCATTCTGCATTATGCTTCTTATTGGCTTGAAAAATTTATTTCTGATTGTGGATATAATTTTTATTTTTCTTTTAATATAAATTTAAGATTACTTTCATTTCTAAGTCCAAGTTTAAATTACATTTTCCATAGCTTATAAACATAGTTCTTATTATTTAAAGGCATGGAAATTTATAGGAATCTAAAAATAAATTTTACAATTAGATGCAAATTGTTTGTATGTTACAAATTTGTATCTCGGATATGAAACCTAAATCTATTGAAAAGAATAGGTGAAAGAATAATAAGCATTCTTGTGATGTTAAAATATACACACGTGTATATATACATACATATGTATATATATATTCTTTTTTCTTTAGGAATATACATATATATATATATACACATATATACATTATACTTCATATATGATATATCATATTTATAATATATATGCAGAATTATGACACGCTATTATATTATATACATATATATTTCTATACATATTTTTCTTATAAAATAAGTATATATTAACAAGTAGAAATGGATATGATATTAGATAACTTATATAATTAAGTAGTAATATTAAGATAGAGAAATCCCATTGGTCGGGCTATGTTGTGTCGCTACTACTTAAACCGTTTTTCTGATCAAGCTTGTTCGCATTGGTCTTGACTGTATATATGAAAAAAGTCAAGGCTTCCTTCTCTACAACTGGGATGGTCTTGAAATGTTTCATAAGGGTCTGCAACACAAATTTGATATAAGTGAGTTTATTTAGACTTGCATTGCCACAGAAAGAACTTTTCATAGAAAATATCTAACGAAGAAGGGTATTTATATATTTATATTATATATTTGTGTCTATTTTGAGTTATTTAATTATATACTCATTTGTTTGTAACTTCAATGACATATTTCTATGAAAGGTAGTTTTTTTATCAAAATGAAATAATTAAAAAGTAGAATCATACTTACATCTGCCAACTGAGCCTTATTGAGTCCTGGGCGAGTAGAAACCTTATAGTGCCTTTTGTATCGCCTCAGAGTGCCAACTTGTAATTGAAATAGATCAACTTCTGGAAGATCATTATCAGTCTCACCAGAATCTTCTTCAGAATCTTTTCGTCTGCGTTGCTGTTGCTGTTTGGTTCTTGCACACTGAATCACTTGTTTATGGTAGTCGCAGATATATATGTGACGTGCCTAAGTATAACATACAGATGTGATGTTTTTACATATATTATCTTCTATTAAATATAACTTGTGGTAGGAGTGCCATGTTTATTTTTTCAGTTTTCAGTTATAAAAGTTCTCAATTTTGGAAAGGTTACAAAATTAAAAAACCTGTTTAATGATAAATTTCGTTATTTAATTGCTAAAATAGTAACTAATTGTTGTATAACCAGAATTTTATCGATAAATTTCTACTATTTGCCGTTCAATGTTTAAACGTTTAAGAGAGACGTTTTTTTGGTCATCAATTTTAATTATAAACTTCAATAACATGCCAATTGTAAAAATTCAGAAATCGCTTCTATTGGTAAAAACCGGCATCTCTGTGCTTGTAAAAAATACATGCGGAGTAAAATTTCTAACGTAAAATAAATCTTTGGAGCGTATCTTTCACACTCCCTATGCGTACCTCTCGTGCTTCTTAATATAGCGCTCGTATTCAAAAAGGAATAAGCTATCGTGTTTACTGCACATATATCGCGTATGACGTATATGTACGTGTGTGATTACACACCATGTGATCAAGATTGAGCTTGAGCCGTCGTTGTGTGACGGTCTTCTGGATTCGCTTGCTGTAGGACGCGTTGCCAGCCGGGCGGGAACATCGCTCGCCCTCGTCAACGAGACAACAAATCTGATCGGCCGCTCCTCTGGAGTCCTCCTCGCCGGTGCTGAATCCGTTCATTCTATTTCGTTACTGACGATGTGCGACGACGGTGTGCTGTTGCCGATTACCTCGCTGCGTATCCGTTGGTACTGTCGACGATGATTCTCCACATGTGCTCGTATCAAAAGTCAATCGGCCAACAGCCGATTACGTTACGACACTGATAACAAGCTCTGCGTGGCTCGCTGTCGCACATAATTCCGTCCTACGCTCAGCGAATTCGTAGTCAATCGCGGCCGGAGGTGCCGCGTCGTTCCTGATGCTCGTACGCTGCTCGTCTACCGGCCAACGTGTGCTTCCTCGTATGGATGCTCGGCGAACTGACACTCAGCGGGACGCCACGAGGTACAACGGGGAGCCGGGATTAAAATCCGCAACCAGACTCGACAAGTTCGCGTCTCGCTCGATCGACGACCGCACGCTCGACCGTCGGAAGCGAACAACGCTGTAGAATGTGGAGAGTTCCTACTACGCCGTTGACGATTGTCCCTCGTGCTATGCCGGATTTTCGCCATATACCGATACTCGACACGCAACAACAGCTCTTCGCTGCGGAGCACGACCGTCGTTGCTCGCGCTTGATCTGTTCTATCGTAATATCGTAGGAATATCGTATGGACGAATCTGAAAGAATGTGACAATAATTACAAAGCTCGCGCAAGCGATACGAGCAACCCCGATGTGCGGTCTGCACACAACTGAGCTGAGCGTCCGTCCGCTGTTTCGGACGGACGCTCCCCGATCTTTTTCACACCGGTAATACCACGGATCCTGCAAGTAGCTAGATACGTCATCGCTGATCCCTCGTCGAGAGCGAGACGCAAGCCTGCAAACTCCACTTTTATATCGATTCTTCCTCTGGTGATATATTCCTGCGACCCACAGATGTCGGGTCTCACTTGGCTCGCGTTGGTGTCCTTCCCGCGCGTAGTTAGCGACCCTGCGTAGGTCACCACCGCGACGTTCCCGGGTTGCTGGCTCCATCTGCTATAGAAACAGTGCCTAACCTCAACGTTTCCGCGTACTCGGCCGTACGGGCACGTCGTCATGCGAAATAAGCCAAGACACACGGCCTCAGTCGACCGACGTGTCAATCTTCGACGAGGCCACCGCGAAAGGTGCAAACGCGTCCGCGTACGCCGTCCCACGATCGACTTCGCACTCACACATTTTCCCGCTCTTTTGCCCGGCCGACATTTTATCTGGTGGGGGCGAAAAAGAAACGCACCAAAACATAAAAGGTAAGCGCTGATTGGCTTACTTTTTGCGGCTTATCTGAAATAAGCCAATAGTAATGGAGATTTTCCCCGTACGCTGTCCGTATGCCGCACGAGTAGCGTGGGGTCGCGATATTCGAAGCCGAGAGAATCCTTTTAGCCGTTGTGGATCCCGAATATTCAGGTAAGAAAAATCCAAAATATTTTCGTCATCGCGCGTTGACAGATTCGCCAGGCGCGTTGCGTGTTCACCAGCCGTTCGTCCACGCCGCGCGACCCGCCCAACACGAGCTCGTCCGCTGGCCGTGGCCTGCTACCGTGCTGCGTTCGCGTACGTATACCTTTTATTTCCGTAGAACCGTCACACGGCAGCAAATGGCTGCCCGGGTGGACGTGCCGTGTCGCGTCGTGTCGTGCTGTGCGCCTACGCGTCTCTCGGTTGCGTCGCGCGTCGTAATCTCGCACGACGAGCAAGCGAACGACGTGTACGGCGAGAGCATCGCGTCGCTGCGACGCGGATACGCCGGAATCGCGGCGAGAGCCGCAACAAGGCGGCCGCTACCGTCGTCACTCGTTCGCTCGCTCACTCGCTCGCCCGCTTGCTCTCTCGCTCGCTCGCTCGCTCAACAACGTCAAGGTTGGTGCGCGCGTCCACGTCTCACCCATAGTGTCTGTCATCGTGACCCGTTGGACCAACGTCGTTGCATCGCAGTGACAACGGTGGTCGACACTCGTCCAAGAAGTCGGCGCGCACGTCGACGTCGTCGCCGTCGCCGTCGCCGCCACCGCCGTGGAACGCGCGACGAATCGTCGCTCTCGGTCGTCGTGCGCGTCACCACCATGCCAATGGCGTGATATATCCGGATGTTCTCGCGAGTGCTTTTCCCGCCTCCGTAGGTCGAATCTTCTCGAAAGCTGTCAAGAGTGAGCGAGCTAGCCAGCTAGTTACTCGGCTCCTCAAGATGTCGACGGAGCCGATGCTTGTTTCTCTCTCTCTATCTCTCTCTCTCTCTTTCTCGCTCTCTCGCTCAGTGTCTCCCTCCCGCCCAACAATGGGATTATTTTTTCTCAGTAATCATGCATGCGCTCGTTATTGCTCAGCAAAATAGATCGCGCGGAGTAGGCGGGAACAGGACGGAGGATTGAGAGATAGACGGAAATCAGGAGACAGAGAGAGAGAGAGAAAGAAAGCGTGAGTGAGTGAGTGAACGAGCGAGCGAGCGAGCGAGCGAGGAAGGGAGAGAGAGAGAGAAAGAGAGAGAGAGTGTTACACGTAGCATCCCTCCTTCACCGATCGTACATCTCGCACTCTGCGAGGCGTGAGCGCGCTCGTGGCGGAGGCGCCAAAAGCACTCGTGCCGTTTGGCTCGCTTGACGTTTTTATTCGCCAGTCCGTCGTCCGACGGCCTCTCGCGCGTCTCCGAGATGCATAACGTATTCACGCGCTGCGTAATGCGAAAACATGCGCGAGATCGATGAACGTCCTGGGGCGGACGAGCGGGCGCGCGTGCGACGTGTGCGCGTCAACGAATTGAATTTCCGCCCGCGATCTCGTTTAATCTCGTAATGAGGATTTCTCTCGACGCGGTGGACAGGCAAAAATCACCTCGCGAACTCGCGCGCGACGATCGGCGCGAGGTCTGTGCGTCATCCTCGACGACAGGCATGTGCATGAGGCAGGCGAAAAAGTAGCTCGGCCTTGCGTGTATTTCGCCGTATTCTGTCATTATTGCTGATTAATATTTCCTGCGATGTTCAAGTATACGCCGAAAATATTCTTTGCCGTCTGTTTCGCTGCGAAAAACTTGTCATCGCCGATAAGGTTCCCGTTGAAACTGACACTGAGCCGGAGCGTTTTCCATGCGCCACCCCGTAGATCCTGCTGGAATTATAATAGCTTCGATACCTGGCGATATATTTGCAGCCGCGGTTATGAAAATGGTCACGTATTCTGTTCCGAGATAATTGAATCGCGTTCGTTTTCGCCAGAAAGACCTTTGTCCCGAAAATGTTGAAAATGGATTTCCAATGTACGCGAAATTTTTTGACACGCACGCGCACGCACACACACACACGTGTACGCACATATTCATGAAAAGGTTGATATCAAAGCATTAATAGCTCGAGATCGTAATAAAGCTGCTGCCTTAACGCTGGCGATCTTTTTTTTTTTTATTCCGATATTTGACTCTGTGCGTCCGTCTCTTCTGCGACAAAAAAAGAAGTCTCAAGTGATATCTCATTGATTAGTTAGTAGAAGACAAAAGCGTTAGTAGAAGACAAAATACGCGATCAACTCAGAGCTTTCATATTCACGATTCGGTGCTTATTTGCATTCTCATTTATCCGTATATTTACGATCATCGCTGTATTTACGAGCGAGACTTCTTGCGTGGTCATTGAAGCCTCCGTGCCAAGCCTCATTCGATTTCCGATTGGAATCTCGACAGAGTCCGAGCGGGACACCCTGTAGAAACGAGCGCGCGTTGTGCTTCGCGGTGTTTCAAGCCTAGCGAGCGTTAACGAAGCTTAAACTCGACTGTATATTCATCGACTAAGCCGGCGGTATAGTCTACGTAAAGTAAAACACACAGCCGCAAATATTTTTTTTACTCGATGCGCAACATCTCCTCTCTCGATCGATTATCCGCAAAAGCACTCGCACGGAACAAATCGTCCTCCCTCTTCTCGCCCCCCTCCCTCCGCCCTCGAGTCTCGTTCATTTCGGATAATCGGCTTTCTACCGCATGTACGTGCTAAGAATTACGAGCTGAAGTTACGAGTTATCTAAGAGTTACATCATTCTTGCGAGTAAACGCGCTCGCGCTCTGTTTTCCTTTTGGCCGTCCCGCCCCGCGGAATCTCCAATTTTAAATACGGACTTTTTAAAGCCAAGTACACCATTGCAAGTCAACCATTGCTCGCACACAATAGTCCAGGCGCGCAAAAGGCGGGAGGAGAGGCCGCAATAAATGCCACGAAGTCTAACGTGTGATGAAGAGCCAGGAGGAAAACAAGACGAATGGTACCTTCTCGCGGGGAGAACGAGAGCGAAGGAGATGCAAGCAGAATGAGAGAAAGTAAAGCGAACGCGAGAAATAGCATCGCGCGTTAATTAAATGAGAAACGCCGGAGGAAGCGATAGGTGGCTCGATCGCAGCGCGGCTCGAAGACGCATTTTCGAAATAACACACATACGTGGTACAAAGTACACTATAGTGCAAGATATATATATATATGTACTTGTGTATATGTATATATATATGTGTACATATATATATATATATATATTTATATATCTTTGCACTATGTGGCGATATTTTTTTCTCTCAACTGACCATTGTACAAAAGTGTACGCGCCGGCCGCAGCCGAGCGCGCGACAATTGTAGCGCCACATGGCACGACGATTCGAGGTCCTCGAAAGGCAGATGGTACGATCCGAAGGGTTCCCGCCATTGTTTCTGTCTCGCTGGCTGCCGGCGCGAGCATATTGTAATAGATAAAGAATTATGATGCACATTTTTCGAGGAAGCGCGCGTACGCGGCGCGCGCACGTCGAAAATCGTGAGAATCGAACGCGAGTTGAGGAGGGGGGGCGCTTCCCCCTTGTCTCGCTAACTAACGACTAACTCGATATTGGCTCTTCGGAATTCTAACGGTAAAATTCTAAAAGCGGCCGTCTTCTCTCGCGTGTTTTATCACGACCCGCCGCCGCGTAGGATCGAGGTGAAAGTTAGCCCCGCGGCCTACCGTTTGAAACGCGCGGCTCGAAAAATTGGGATTTTTACCGCGCGCCGCAGCGAGCACCCGTTAGATGGCTTCCGGTCGAACTCGATCCTCCGAGTCGAATTGAACGGACACATTTCGGCTTTCCGTTATAACGTTAGCCACGTTGGCGTCTTCTTTTTTCTCCGCCCGCGATGTACGGCTACATTCTCGAGCGGAATCGGCGGGCTTGGGATCCGGTTCGGCTAACGTCGTCGTTGGCCGTACCAACATGATCGGCTAACTCGAATTCCGTCGTCCTCGTGAGAGTTTCACATCTCTCCTCCCTTTTATCTCTTTATCTCTCCCTGTTGTTCTCTCCTGTCTCCTCGGCGCGCTCGTTTGACGTTCTCTTTCTCGACTGCCAGAGCGCGCGCGGTGTCATCTTCTTCCGGTTTTCTTCCGCTTCTTTCCGTTCGGTTCCGTTCCGTTGGGGTTTTCTCGCGACCCCTCGAGTCGTTCGCCACTTTCGTACGTTCGTTAGGTTGCCAATGCTGGGCCCTGGGAATGCGCGGTGGCTTTGTCTCTCTTCGTCTTTCTCTCACTCACACCCCTCTCTCTCTCTCTCTCTCTCTCCCCCCTCTCGCCCGTATAAATCCCCCCTCTGCCGCTGCCCACTCTTCACCCCCTATCCCCTTTCGCCAATGCCGCTGCCTCTATCTGCCTCTGTCTCCCTCGCTTTCCCCCGTCTCTTTCGCTCGCGCGTCTTATTGACCCGGACCCGGTTCTCTTCTCCTCTCTCTTCGATTCGCGCGCCGGGTTATACCACCGACTCACACCCGCCGCCTCACGACGATGAGGATTGCCCGAGGGGGCGGAAGCAAGGGGGGCGCGGAATATAGAAGTGAACGAGGAGCGACGAGGGGACGGGGGAGGACAGGTCCGACGTACAGGTCCCGCGATATACATTTTCATTTCATCTTCCTGGCGTGCTATCAGAGATAGAGACAGAGCAAGAGAGGGAGGCAGAGAGAGAGAGAGAGAGAGAGAGAGAGAGAGAGAGAGAGAGAGAGAAAGGGAAAGAAAAAAGAAGCATTGCGTTCCTGGGAAGGGGTCAGGAAAAATTTTCGGCCATTCCCCCCGAGGAGTGCCTCCAGATCGCCGCTCATCTCCGTCCGGTTGCGCGAACAAGCAAATCGCGCAAGTCGGAATTCGCGACATTCGCGACTTCGCGTGAGAGAAGAAACGCGATGAAGACGCGAGGATGTGTCGAGCGAGCGAGCGAGCAAGCGCGCGCACATGTCGCATTCTTGCGACTATCATCGCGCGACTGTGTTGCATCGGTTAGGAGATAACAAGGGGTATAAGAGGAGAGGAACGAATGAATGATGCTGTTCGTCGAACAGAGCAAGTCGAGCCACTGATCGCGGCTCCAAGTTGTAACACGAGTACAATCGAGAAAGGTTCCTCGAGCTCCATAAGAAATTCAACATTGTAGGAAATTTGAGTGAAAAAAAGAACATCTCTTCCAATATGGCGCGCGGCGCCTTGCGTGTACGCAAGACGCTGAAGATGTGGCCACGTAAATCCGGTCTCGGTCCTTTCTGCTCGCGTGAACCGGAGTCTCGCGAGAAAGTTCGATCCTCTCCGGCATACATTCCACGACGAAAAATTTCGGTGGACTCTCCGAGTTTCTTCCGTATCGACCGACGAGGAGGAACAGCCTGTCGTCGCCGGTCGGTAAAGACAGACGACGCGTGTCCTCGTCCTCGTCTTCTTCGCGCGTACACGTACACGTATGAGCGGGAAAAAGGGCGCGTGCGGTGGACGAAAAGCAGGAAGCGTCTCTCCGATGTGGGGCAAATTCCAGCGAGCTAGCGAGCTAGCGAGTGCGTACCAGTGTAACAAAACTAAGAAGGGTAGAAAAAAGGAGAGAGGAAGAGGGGGAGGGAGAGAATCAGAGAGAGAGAGAGAGAGAGAGAGAGAGAGAGAGAGAGAGAGAGAGAGAGAGAGAGAGAGAGAAGTCAACGGAAGAAAGAGTGCGCGACGACGACGTCGACAACGACGACGACGAGGAGTCAGCCAGTCGGCCGCGGTAGATGCGTCCTTCTCTCTCTTTCTCTTTCCGCGTGCCTCTCTTTCTCTGCCTAAAAGTTGACCTCGAGTTTCAAGGGTAGAGAAGGGTTCGCAGTCGTTCGTCCTCTCTCTCTCTCTCTCCACTCCTCCCTCCTCGGCTCACATGCCTTCTCTTTCTCTTTTTCTCCCTTCTTCTCTCTTTCTCTGTCTACCTTACTGGAGGGACTACGGAGAGTCGCGCGCGCGGCTCTCGAATTCTCTACGAACGTAGAGAGAACGGAATGGAAGAGAGAGAGAGAGAGAGAGAGAGAGAGTGTGTGTGAGAGGAGGAGGAGGGAGAGAGAGAGAGAGAGAAAGCGACGTTGCCTGTGGTTCGACATCGGTGGACTCCCGCCATCTCTACCGGCGGCACGGTGCGATTCGATTGGCCGACGCGCTTAGGTTCTCCTTTGTGAGCGGGCGGGTGAAAGCGTGCTTGGCAACGTCGCTGAGAGTTTGCCGGCGTCCGCTGGAAGGAAGGTTGAACTGGTGAGCAAGTGTGAGAGAGCGAGCAAGATAGAGAAGGGAAAGAAAGACAGAGACGGCGAGACGAAACGGCGAACGAGACACCCGGTAGAGAAGGTGGTGGTAAAGGGGCGGAAGGGGGAACTGCGAGAAAGAGCGAGAGAGAGAGAAAGATATAGATCGTACAAGCGCGTCCAGGCGGCTCGTTCTCGCCAGGTTCGCCCTCTGTGTGTGCGCGACGTCGCGTGTTAGAGTCCGCGGTGGCGAGAGAGAAGCGAGTCTCGTGCGCGCGTATGCTTCTCTCCGTGTGAAAAAGCTATTACGCGTCCCACTACTACTACCACCACTACTACCACCACCACCAATACTATTATTGCTACTGCTACTACTACCACCATTACAACGCACTGCTGTTGCTGATACTACTACTGGTACTACTATCGGTACCATAGTCATCGTCAGCGGCGTGCTCGTCGGATACCGGCTTCGTCGCGTCGCGTTGCGTCGCGTCGCCTCGCCTCGCGCCAAACCAAACGTGCGTGAATCGAGCGAGCCGTGTGCCACCGTGTGTATAACGCGCGCGTGGTGCGTCGTCTCTCGCGTCGCGCTCGCAAGCATCGCATCGTTCGGAGGAAGAACGAGTCGTTGCGTGTAAAGCGAAATTCGAGGAAGGAAGGAAGGAGAGAAAGAAATCAAAGTAGACGCGTAGCATAAGGTTTGCGTCGTTATCGCCGGGGGACTGTTGTTGTTGCTGTTTCTTCAGCATCGTATCAAGGACACAGTATTAAGAGGAGCCTTCGTATCCTTCGACGACGCCGTTGTTGCTGGAAGGAACCACCGTGTCGTTGGCAGTCGAACAAGCGAGTCTTGGTCGCGGGACGGGAGAGTGAGACGCGAGGAGAAGACAGACGAAGGGGCAGTGAGAGAGAGAGAGAGAGAGAGAGAGAGAGAGAGAGAAAGAGAGAGATTTCGAAAAAGAAGGCGAGAGAGAAAGACGACGAGGGGAGACGCGAAGCGGCGTGAGCGGCGTTCGACGTCGTTGCTCCACGTCGATGGTGGGGAGACAGAGGGAAAAAGAAAGAGCTAGAGGGGGAGAGAGAGCGCCCTCCTCTACTACCCACCCGTCCACCCCCCGCCGCCTCCTCTGCCCGCCGCCGTACCTACTCACGGAGCTAACGAACGGTCGAGCGTAGCGTCGAGTAGACCGCATCCCAAGTATAACGTACGTATATTATTCCACACGGGAATAACGCGCGCGCGAACTCGTTCTGATTCACCTACGACGGTGTTATCTCGCGCGATTGTCGCGCGACGCACTCGCAGGAAAGTAAGGAGAGCGGAGAAGAAGTACGGGCAGAAGAAGCCGAGAGAGAGAGAGAGAGAGAAAGAGAGAGCGGGCCGAGTAGTCACAGTGAAACGGTGTTTGTAGTGGTGTACCACCATCGAGCCGGCCCGAAAACGCGGCCTGGACGCGCGACGTGTGTGCTGCTGCCGCTACCGCCGTCGTGTGTGACAGTGCGAGAGCGTGTTGAACGCGTGCGTACGATACGTGCATGCGGTGCGTGCGTACGTACGTACGGTGCGTGCCTCTCCTATCTCACCGATACTTAAGCGTCGTCGGTACCAGCGAGTTCCTCCCCGAGTTCGAATGCGAGACGGGCTCTACGTGTATATATCGTGCGTACATGCGTGAGTGAGTACGTGCGTGCGTGTGCGTGCGTGCCGGGTGTTCCTTCTCCCTCGAACGAGTGTCGCGGAGCGAGAGAAAGAGAGAGAGAGAGAGAGAGAGAGAAAGAGCGAGAGAGAGAGAGAGAAAGAGAGAGAGAGAGAGAGAGAAAGAATCGTCGTCTCGTCGTCATCGTTGGTTGGTGTGTGCGTGTGCACTGTGCGTGCGCGCGGGATGTTACCGAGTCGGTGAGCGTGCGCGGGTACGTGTGAGTACCTCAGGGGGGAAGAGAGAGAGAGAAAGAGAGAGAGGGAGGGTGAAAGAGAGACGGCAAGAAAGTTAGAGGAGAGAGAGAGAGAGAGAGAGAGAGAGAGAGAGAGAGAGAGAGAGAGAGAAAGAAAGAAAGAGAAAGAGAGAACGTTAGCGCGTGCATGTGTGCGCGCGCGCGCGACCGAGCAATTCCTTCGTGCATCCTTCTTCTTTCCCTCGCTGGTATTACCGGCGAGTAAAAAAAGACAAGAAGCTGAGGTGACAAACGGACGTACTCGCGCGTGTACGACATGTCGGAGCATCACCGCGTAGCAGCCGGTGGCTGGGGCACGGCGAGCCCGGCAAACCGAGAGGATGCCAGCGGCGGTGCCGCCTGGTGGCCCTCGGGCCTCAACACTGTCTCAACCGATCAACAACAGCAGCAACAACAAAATCTACATCAACACCTGATGAACCAGCAGCAGCAACAGCAGCAGCAACTCGCTCAACAGCAACAGCAACCGCAACACCATCCGGACATCGTCCGAAGTACCGCCGCCGCCGCCGCCAGCCAGCAGCTCTTCTCCTACAAAATGGCCTCCAGCTTCCAGAACCCGGCCACCACCGGCACGCAGTCGTCGAGTCCGGTGTCGACGTCCACGCCGGTCTCCGCGCAATGCATGAGGGGCAGTTACGATTACAGGCTCGGCACGGGTCCTGGACAAGGCGGCGGCGGCGGTGGTGGAGGTGGCGGCGGTGGCGGTGCTGGCGGCGGCGGTGGCGTGCCTGCCGGCACACCTTCCGCACCGCCGCCCGGCGTGCAGTGGTGGTATTCAGGTGGAGTTATGGACGCCGGACAGAACAACCTGCACCAGCAGTTGCAGAGTCAGCAACAGCAGCAACAACAGCAGCAACAACAGCAGCAACACCTCTCACCCATTACCACGCAAACGTCCACGCCCCCCGTAATGTCCCCGGTATGTTGCGAAGAACATTATCATCCCCCGTTGAGGGAGGCAGAGCGGTTTCCTTTCTTGAGCGGCTTCTTTTCTGTTCACTCTCTCGCGTGATCCGCGCGTACTTCCCTTCTTTTGCACTTGCCGAAGCATTGCATGGCCTCTGTATATACCACTCCGGTGTTCGCGAATAATAAACCTGATGTGTAATCACACGTAACGTGTAGTACACACGTATATTTCCGAAACGGCAGGGTGAAAAAATGGACGATTTTACGAAAATACAGAAAGCGCGACTGAAAAAAGAACTATCTTGCCTGAGGTGGAATGCCAGACGCCGCGGTGTCAGCCTGCAATTTTAGCGTGAATTTAAGTAAGCGATCAGGTTCGAGTCAGTGCGAAAAGTTCATTAACTTTGTACGAAACTGTACTTGTCGCGAGCATCGATAATCAGCCGAGTTCGGGCTCGATGAGGAGGAACGTTGGCTCTCTCTTTCTCCGTACTTTTCTCCAACCTTGAGTTGGCAGCACAGTCGAGATTAAAGAGGAATGAATATTGTACGCCCGGATTTTTGTCTTGCAGGATAAATTTACATCGCGATCGGTCCATCTCTGTACCCTCGATTCATATATCCAGGCGCGATACCACCGTCCCTTCGATCGGAGTGACCGTGTCCGGTAACGGGATGGCGTTTATACTCGACGCCTTTGTATCACATAGAAGATATACGTAGGCCGAAACGCGGCGACCTCGCTCCGCACCCTGCCCCCTCCTCGGCGGCCTTTCGGCCGCTTTCGCGCGCGCGGTGAGCGAACGAACGAACGAGCGAGCGAACGAGCGGGTAGGTAACGAGCGAAGAAGAGAAATATACCTGGTCCAACCAGGTGGCCACGCGGCACTTTTGACAACTTTTCCGGCACCTCCACCGCGACGCACGAGAGACATGCGTGAAAGGGACTGTTCCTTTTGGTTGCGCTTCCTGCGCTTAAAAACATCCCCGGTACAGCTAGTCTTTTCACTTTGTACGAATCCAAGGACTAAGGTCTAATCGATAATTAGAAGTAACCCGCGAGCTTTTACTTCGAAATATTTTACTTCTCACTCCGGGAGATGTGATTGATTTTCCTCTCTCGATGGTCAAACAAAACACCATTGAAAAAATATAATGCGTAGCTGACGGTGATGTAGGAATTTATGAGTAAAGAAAAAAGGCAAGGCGAGTGTATAGACTAGCGCTCCGAGAAAAGAGAAAGATGAAAGGTCGCAGATGTAGGGAGAGAGAGGGTATAACTGAAAAGAACGGCGGACCTCGTGGTTCTCTATCTTCATTGATATCGGCTGGTCCGCGGCTCTACTCGTCGTTCCTTCTACCCTGTGTCGTTGCCGGGCTTTTCCGTTCCGCTGGTTTGCCGATTTCTTCGCGGTCGCCAGAAATCGTGGATCGGACGTGTCGTGACCATTGATGAACTAGTGCTATCGATCACAGCCAGACTCGTGTCTACGGTAATTCAAATATGAAGTAGGAAAACATCAATAATTAATTAATATCATTAGCTAATACTGTAGCGTTTCCGAATCCCTAGTTTCAGAGAAATTTTTTTGAAAATTTCTAGACTTCTTAAAAAGCGCGCACATTTCAAGCTTCCAGAAAAAAATATTGCATCCAACAATAACCGACTAAAGCGTTCTATCAGTTTGTACGATAATGAAATATTAATATATTTGTAATAATATTAATACCACAGGATCGCGTCAACTATTTTCTCTCTGTGTTGGAGTTTACATTTCAATCGCTCCTTCAGAGGTCTCGTCTGGGGAACCTGGATATTTCTAATTTTTCATTAGTTTTTCATACGGTTAGGTTAGGTAATATACGCATACATAAATTTTTCACGTATATATTGATATTTTGATACAGTTGATCAAATATCAATATATATAAAAATGTGTATACACACACACGCACGCATTATACAAAATATTGTTGCGATCCTGTCGCAGCCGGTTTTCGCGCGTTTCATCGTGGTCGCCCGCCTTCCTGACTCGCTTGCTCCCGCGCGCAGCTCTCGCCCCGCGTCCGTCTGTCCGTCCGTCCGTCCGTCCGCTCGTCCGTCCGTCCGTCCGTACGTACGTACGTACGTACGTCCGCCGTCCGCTATTGATTCCGGGTTTCGTGCGGCCTTCTTCGTAAGTGCGTTCGCGTTCGGCGAGTCCAGCCGCGCTGTCGGTTGGCTCGTTCGTTGCTTCGTTTGGTACCTTTTCGTCCGTTTTCGCTCCTGGATTCGCGATTCCGTCAATGCAAAGTGGTCGAAAATATTCGTCCGTTGGGCACGGAAAGCGAGAGACTACGAAGATATTCTCTGCCCGGTTGTACACACTCCGCATTTTTCTTCATTTCGAGATTATTTGGTTTCATTAGTACTACGCTCTGATCGATCACTCGGATTTGAAATTCAAATTCGATGGGTTTCGGCAGGATATCTACATAGATTTACATGGAAAATAGTGAACGCAGGAGGTGAAAACAAGTTATTTTCTCTAAAATGTGGTGGAAAATACAGTCTCGCCATTGCGGAGTGACAGTGAAATTCTCGACGTCGAGTGAAAACTGTCGCCTCTGGAAGCGATTTATATAACTTGCTGATTGTAATTACCTAATTTCAAGCGGACTTTAACGGAGTCTCGATCGAAGAAGCTCAGCCACAAGATGTACAGGGTGCCTTGAACGCAACGATTCATTTCTTCCCCTCTTTGATGAATTTTGCACCGATGTTCTCCTCGACGTAGACCCAACGAACATCTGAGATTGCCATATTCTCTAACGATTTCTCGATCTTGATCATCGGAAGCTGCAATGATATCAAGTGTATTAGAATTGCGCGAACGATTTTCTCTCGTCGCGAGATCGCGGGCGGATAATCGGAGCTTAACGCAGTGTAACGAAAGCGGAATCCTGTTCGGGATATATGCCGGGCTACGAACGAAAGTTCACATATGAAAGTCCGTGATGAATGATCCGTCCGATTACGCACTTTCGAGATGATAATCCGCGATAGAAACGCAATTCCTTTCGCAATCTTCCGCTTTGGAGATCGCTCGGCGATTTTTCCTTCGGAGCCTCGACGAAGAGACTGCGAGAAATAGACGTATAAATATCTGACGTAGGAAATGATAAATATTAATAACGACGTAGAATCAAAGAATTATAATCGAAATAACGTTTGGGTTTGATGTTGCTCGAGTACAATATAAATTCTAATTTATTTTTATAAAGCAGGGACTGTATAATATTGATATTGAGATAAAGAAATAATGGTAATTATAATATTATATTGATTAATATTATAATATTGATTGAGAGAGAGAGAGAAATGCGTGTATTATTTATACATATTATAATATTAATTAATTTGCGGATGTGTGCCTCAAGGGTTGCCATGTTCTTGTCGATTCGCCCCCCCCCCCCCGCTACCCCTCTTCTTGCGTTGTCGCATTTTGCGGTTTTTTTTTTTTTTTTTTTTTTTTTTTTTTTTTTTTTTAATACTACTAAAGCTACTTCAAATACGTACCGCAGCACGCGGATATGCTTGGTATACGCGATACCGGGAGCCTTTAACACACGACCAAGCGCAATTTACGCTTTAATTAACACGCACGCGGTAATACCTCGACAGTGAGAGTACACGTGCTCTAACTTCCAAATAAGTTCGAGAGTTACCGCGTGCGGACGAACGTGTGCGAGCGCTCAATGTCCCGATCGTCGTGATCTAGAATGCTGTCGATCAGTCGTGTCAGTCCAGACCCTTTCGTTGTACATATATATTTGTCCTTATTATCTTCCTCTTCTTCTGCATGCAGTGGTAAATCGGAGCAAGCGGTGTTGTACGGAGCTTTCTTCCTACCGACATTCGTAGGAGATAACCACTGCTCAGCGTAAACATCTGGCTGCTTCTACGCGCTATAACGCGTGCTCGACGTTAATTTTACTTCTGCCGCGCCGCGAATACGGATAACCATCGTCGTCGTAATGCGATGCGCAAGGCATCAATTTTTAATCCCTCGATGATGCACTTTTACATTTTGCGCCATGCAAGTGTATAGAACGTTTCGTAGAGAAGCGCGTGCGATCATGAGAAAGCGAGAGGGGAAAAATAACGAGCGCGCCCTAGCACGATCAGAAGAATTTTTCCACTCGCCAATCTCGATCGGGGCGCGCTCTCTTCGTTTCACTCGTCATCTATTGTTCCTTAATTTTTTATTCTCGTTTCCGAAATCGCATCGTACAGATTGGCACGTTTAAAATGGCATACTTGAATATCACTAGAGCGTAAGCCAGCACAGAGAAGAGGAACGATATTTTCAAGTAAACAGCTTTAAATGGTCGACCGCTGTTATCAGCGACGAAACATAAAATTCATTACGCTATAGCATATCGAAATTTCGATACGTAAACGCAACACAGTCCCATAGGACGAGAAATCGTTAACAGAATTAAAATTTAATTAATTAAGTCAGCCAGTATATTTTATGTATGCGATATATTGGGCCATCCCATAAATAATGCGAGCTTCCTTTCAGAGTGACATCGCTGAATCTTTATCGCGAGTACGAAAGGCACTTTCGTCTCGTGTGAGCGAAGATGTCTTTCGCTGCGCTTAAAGAAAAAAGGAAAGAACGTACAAAAGACTCGCATTATTTATGGAGTGGACTCAATAATAATGTCGATTCTACATGGTAGTTATTTTGCCGGCAGATCTCACATCCGAACGTAGGTCAGCTAGATTTCCGATTATTTCTGCAGGTACGTGGTTAAATATTATTATCGCAGTCTGAGTAATAATGGTCGGTATATCGTACATATGGCGCAAGTATAAATGTGGTACGTTAACGCTATGTCTGTGCGCGATGAATGTACAACGCAACGTTTATGTGCATATTAACGTATACGGCATAAATGGACTATAGTCCGCGAGATCGGCCTTAAGTGTAAAGTCGTATTCTAAATGGACACGACGATAATATAATAAGCAGACTCACTGCACCTTCGTTTCGATTTCATCTCATTTATACTAGAGATACTATATATATATATATATATATATGTGCGTGTGTGTGTGTGTGTGTGTGTATGTATATATGTATGTATATGTATATATGTATATATATGTATGTATGTATATATATATATGTGTGTATATATATATATTACTATACGTATGTATGTTACAAGGATTGTCCTTGTACGTACGTACGGCGCCGTTGCCGTGTGATTGTACTACGGTAACATAATGCAACGCTATAAATATCATGCCATAGCAAACATATTATTCAATCCTAATTTATCACTGTGGCGTGATATTATTGTATGGCATTACACGCACCACTATGCTATATAATAATTATATATATGCACAACCATGGTAAATATCACGTAATATATCAGTACGATATAATGACCATTGTTATTATGGCAAAATAAAAAACGCGCGTTCGTACGGCGAGCATTGTTACGTCTCTCATTGTCAATGTGAGATCGCGGGCAGCAGCAGCGGCAGCAGTAACGGCGGTAGCAGTCGTTTATTAATTAACTCTCGCAAGTCGTATTACGTAAAGTGCGTAACTACTGCGCCTCGGTTCGCACGCGCGCGAATAACTTGCTGAATTCGCTCGTTCATCAAATGCACTTACATTTTGCCCCTTCTCTGCTGAAATCTTCATTTTTTCGCGATCGCTTCTCGGCAAGTCGGAGATAACAGTAACGCGCGACGAAATCCTCTTCCGGCTTCTTGCGCGAATTTCTCGTAATACGATGGTATTCCTTACTCCGCATGATGCACACAGTTTTCCTGATTTGAAAATAGAAAATTTCTATTTTAGAATATTTCATATTTTTCCTACACAAGATGGATGCATAGATGCATAGAATTTCTGTGTCTGATAATTTTGATTTCTCTTAACATAGAGATGGAATGTTCTCTTACACTTTAAACTTGAGTTTTTATAATGTAAAAGTAAAGATTTTTCCTTTCACAGCTTGTGTTACTTTTGATATAAAAAGAAAAATAAATGATTACTAGGGGAATAATTAGATTAGGAGAAATTTAGAGTTTAAATTTCTTTTCGCATAAAAACAGGGAAAATTCATTGAAAATTCCAGAAAACTGGAAAATCCTGATCATTTTTATAAATTGGCAACTTATTTCGTGAAAAAAACTCAAGTCTCTATACTAAAAGAGGAAAATAGAAGGTTTCTATTTCAGAATTTAAATTTTCTTTGACATAAAAGTAAAAGTAAGAACTTACTATTTTCATGACTTGTTGCCCAAAGGAACCGACGAGTTACTTTACTGTTCTCCGCGGCAAAGTTTTGCATTGTAGACTGTTTGCTTGGATTTCAGCACCAAATACAGCAGCTACCGCAAAATAATCTTCAACAAAATAACGCTCAGAGTCTGCAGCGGGACAATATGCCGAGAGGAAAAGATTCGAAGCCAAGGGGACGGATGACAGCATATGCGTTCTTCGTCCAGACGTGTCGTCAGGAGCATAAAAAGAAGCATCCTGAGGAGAAGATCGTTTTCCGAGAGTTTTCCAAAAAGTGTGCAATGAGATGGAAGGTAAGTTCTTTTTTTTCAGCTTCGAACAGGCTACCTATAGAACGTTATAAAATGAATTAGTCTTGGCACTTATATTTATATTATACTATAAATTAACGTTAACCAATTGTGAAAATAATGAATCGATTGTGAAGATAAAAACTTTCCATAATAAGAATATTTCTACTCTTTACTAAAATCGAGAGCTTTTATAATAAAATACATACAATCATATCATATAATCGGAGAGACGATCGAATTTGCCGCATCGATTTCACAGCTCGAAGTACGAGTGAAGAGTGAGAGGCGTTTGATGTTCTGTCGAAAGTTTCGCAAATTTCATGGGAATTACTTTGACTCCAAATACATACGTTTTGATAAACACGACGAGTGCAGTCAAAACGCAATCAATACGTAGTGTTAATTTGCGTCAATCTCATTTGCGAAAACAATCGAACTTATAGTAATGAGAAACGTCGCTGATACTTGCGAAAAAAGCTCTTTGCGTTGCGATCGTTTCTTTTTTCTTATTAGTCCGTGATTATGGACAGAATATACTTATTATATAGATTACATCGTATGTTTGTAGACCATGTCAGACAAAGAGAAGAAACGTTTCCATGAAATGGCAGAGAAAGATAAGAAGAGATACGACGCAGAGATGCAAAACTATACGCCGCCTAAGGGAGAGAATAAAGGCAGGGGCAAGAAACGCAAACACATCAAGGATCACAATGCTCCCAAGAGATCGCTGTAAGCCTCTCGTGTTATATATAGTGTGTCGCCGAATTTGATGGAAAAATTTGCCGACTGACATTCAGACAGATAGATAAATAGAGAGAAGAACTAATATGAAAGATTGACCATAAATTCGTATTCAATATTTAAACATCGTGAAGAACTTATATATATGTGTATATATATATATGTATATATATAAATTTCTAAAGTATTAAAAAATCTTATACATTTAAAAAATCTTATATATTTATATCGAAAAAAATTTCAGTTTTTTTTTCCCGATATAATTGTATAAGATTTTTTTATTTGAATTTTCACTCTTATTCAAATAGATAAGTATAAAAAAATCGTGCTTACATTTATTCTATTCAATTCACGAGGCATTGACATAGACGTTGCACTATTAATGTTCCGTATGTTTGAATTGACGATTCTACTTTATCGATTCTATCAGATCCGCCTTTTTCTGGTTCTGCAATGATGAACGTGGCAAAGTTAAGATGCTAAATCCCGAGTACGGCGTGGGCGATATAGCTAAAGAATTAGGCAAGAAATGGTCAGATGCAGATCCTGAAACCAAATCTAAATACGAGGCTATGGCGGAGAAGGACAAGGCTCGATATGAGAGGGTAACGTGTCTGTCAAGATTCATTCTTATAACTGTTTAACACACTGAATACATCGTGTGTCATATGCTTTCGATACTCTGCAGAATTTTTCTGTTGTACCTTATCACACTCTTAGGCCGGTATTCATAGTCGAATCTTATATTTAAGACAGTCTCAAGTTCATCTTCAGATGCTGTACAAATTATTTCATTGGCTACGGGGTATCTGAAGATGAACTTAAGACGGTCTTAAATATAAGACCTGATTATGAATACCGGCTTTAGTCTTCCCATATAAATTTTTTTACCACATTGTTTGCTCCTTTTTACTATGTGTTCGTGTCTTTTAATCAACAGATAAATCAACAAATGAGAATTATTTAATATATTTTTCCTCTCTTGCAGGAAATGACCGCGTACAAAAAAAAAATGCAGGACGGCGCCCCGGTGGTGGGCGGTGCGCCGGCAAATACTGTAAAAAGCGACAGCGAAGAGGAATGGAAGGAAGACGACGAATAGCGGATGCACGTCGAAATTTCATCTATCACCCCGTGTCCTTCATCCTGAAAGCATACCTCACCTACTGTACGTACCATTGACCTTAGCGTGAGCGTACTTACACCACTAGGAGAACAAAATAACTAACCACCAATTCAACCTTACCTACCTTATCAACCTACCACAATCTACCAACCAACTACTTACCTACCTACCCAAAACCAAACAACCAACCATAACCAACGAACCACATCAACCAACCAAGCCTCCTTTCTCCTAATCCTACCCTGATTATTTACGATAATAATAAAAAAGGTACCCCGCGCGATTTATGATAATTATTTTAAAAAAAGAAAAATATTGTATGTGTGAGAGTGCCGCCGCGCGTGCGCGAGTTTGAGCGAGAGGCGAGAGGATTGTGTGAGTGACATTTGTACTTTAAAACATTATTGATAGTAAAAAAATGATGTAAAGTGGCTAGTAGGATAGAAGTCGGAAGAAGAAAGAAAGAAAGAAAAAGGAAAAAAAAAGGAATATGAAGAAAGGTCGCGGAGAGGATGAAGAATGATATATTGCGCCCGCTCTTTCTTTCTGTTCCGTGTGAGAAAGGCGCAAAAAGGGCTCAATCATTGTTGACTTTCCGCTCTCTCTCTCTCTCTCTCCGACGCTGTTACTACAAGCTAGCTAAGGCTTAGTTTACCGCTATTGACGAAACTTGACGAAGACGATACAGTTTCTTCCGAGCGGCGTTTTATTAGTGGAACCCGCTGAGAATTCATTTTAATTTTGATTTATCGAATTTTGTTCTCTCAATACCCCGTACAAGAGATACAAATTTTTTCTGAATATCAGTAAATGTATCAATATATAGTTTAAACGATGTATTATTATAGTTACAGCAATACTATAATAATACATTTATATATGTTGATATATTTATAAATATACATGGGTATATTATTGTTACGTGCAAGCGCATTTCCAACGGTGCGATATGTATTAATATGCAAAAGCTTTCATGTGCTATCGGCGCATCGATATGTTCAGCTTTTGTACTCAATTGTACTTGGATTGTAAAAAAAAATGTTTGAGCGAAAAAGCAAGATATATACAGTGAAAAATAATATATTTTGAATAATATGTTTAATTTTTAATTAATTCGTCGCTGGTCGTCTTCGTTGTGACACACATACACAAACTCACATATACACAGATTATTATTGTATATCCTTGTACAGAGAGCTTTGTCTTTCCTTTCGTACTTTTTAGCGAATTTGATCGTGTTGAGCGCGCGTGCCGGGGGCATGGGGCTGCTTTTTACGTATGCAATGATGTGCGAATGTAATTTGTTTCTCGGGTACACGCACGTCGTAGTAATAATACTGTAAGTACATTTAGTATAATTATTATAAGTGTACGTGTATTTTCGACGCGGATTTCTGGATTTTCCTATGACTCTCTTAAAGCTTTTTCTTTAGCGTGCGACTATATAACTTTTGTTTTTCTGATCAACACTTGTGTTATTACGAGCTGTACGAGCCACGTGATTGAGCCTTATTACTGATAGCTGATAAGCGATCGCTCGAATCGAGTCGAGAGAACTGTGTACGAGAGAGAACGAGAGTGAAAGAGAGAGGGAGAGAATGCGAGAGTGAAAGAGTGAGAGCAAGTGTGTGTGTGTGTATGCATGTGTGTAGCTCACAGCTTTTACTAAATCAAAATTAGCAAAGCCATGGAGCAGAGCGATATCGCCGAGTTCTTGACACTGACATGAAATGACAACTGTTGTACTCACGAAATTCAGAGGGATTTCATTCCTTCACGATAGACTCACATGCCAGACACAAGATTACAGTGTCTAATTATATGATGTCAGAAAGCGACTGAAAGCACGCAAATTAATCCTGCGGTGTACGTCGAAATAAATTAATTTTTCTTTTTCTTTTTTCTTTTCTTTTTCTTTTCTTCTGGAAAATTTCGTAGAGTAATTTAGTAATGATATATGTTTAAGATTATTTATGCGAAACAAGTGAACCGAAATCGAGTATATTCTGATATACTGCATTGTTAAATTATTTACACATTATTATGCGTCTTATACTGACTATACATTATTAAATATATTCTGTTTATTATATATTACATTCCGAGAGATGTTACGTTTCATATTATATGAAAAATTTCATATATGTTTGATATTATATTGATACTATTTAGCATATACTCGATTTCATACTTGATTACATGAATTTTTCATCACATAAAATCAACTCGTAATTTTTATATAAGCATTACTTGAGTTCACAAATGAGATCTAGATTGTGAATTGTGAATTAACCAAGTGTATTATGAACATTTAATCCTATCTATAACTATGAATTCTGAATCGGATATGAATTTAAATTTTTAATCTTGACTGTTCTCGTCTTTGGCCTATTTAAGTTAAACTGTAAAGTGATATGTATTAACAATGTTTAGTAACGTTATATTCGGCATTAAAATTTTTTTATACTTATTTTATAATTCAACTGTAAAGGAACTATTATCGTTGAATGAGAGTCCGAAAACTAGCACGATGGCTAGGAAGAAGTAAAAAAATTAATAATCCAGAAACAAATTTTCGCGCAATTGTTACGATATGTTATTGAATCTTCATGCACTTGCATCTGTATTGCTTCTTTAATTAGATTTATCTTCTTTGGATTACGCTGTTATACCGAATAACCTTCTTCATTTTCTTTAGAGAAATTAATTTACTTAGACGTACACAGCGAGATGCGACCCGTATTTTTCGCTCGCGCTCGCCGTTGTATCATCGTGAAGAATCTTGATCGTAAAACACGAAGACGTTCGACGATGTCTCTCTCGGCGTCCGTTTTACTTCAGCGTGCGCGCGACAATGAGAAAACGTTCGTTTATCTCTGAATCCTGATTTTGATCTTGGAATTGTACCAGCGACATTTTTATTGTTTTACCGCTTGCTACTTTTTCTTTTTTTTTCTCGTTTAAATGCATCGCGGGAAGACATTCGTACTTTCTTTTCTTTGTTCGACTTTCTCTTCAATTTCTTTTCGTTTTTAGACATCTCAAAGTGGTCCCTGCCCCTTACTACCGCCATTTTCCCTCTTACTTATTCGTTCTTAATTTCTTATCTCACTGAAGAAGACGCAAAAGATAAAAGGGGAAGTACGTTCAAATCTCTCGTCTCGAGACTCACGTGAATGATTGATTGATTGATTGATTGATTGATTGATTGATTGATTGATTGATTGATTGATCAACCGAACGATCGCCGTTTTACGCTTCGTGAATCGTAATATACCTTTCGGGAGCGTGTTTCGGGTGAGGAAGAAGCAGCAGCAGCAGCTCCCCCGCCGCGAAGAAGGACGTTCTCTTTTTTCTCTGTCTTGTACTGCCTCGAGTCATCTGTGGTGTACAGCAGGCTGTATTATAATAAATTATTGTGGTTTCTTGTAATATTAACATTCCTAGATCCTAGCGTGTACAGATTCTAATGATCGTTCACGGGATTGTAGAGAGGGAACTGTGCAGAAAGAGGAGCCGAAGGAAAAGGAAAAAGAACGAAAGAAAGAAAGAGGAAAGAGAAAACAGAAAAATATAAGTAGGCCAGACATCACTGGTTTCTTCTTATGTCTGTACTTTGGAAGGAAAGAAACCAATGTCCATTTCTTTAATCTTCAATTACGCAAGTCTTACAATTTGCAAATGTTTTAAACTGACGTATACTTTGTTAATTACATTGGTTAATTAATATCTGAATGATTGCAAAATGATATTAAGCTCTCCGAGCTTTTGGATTTGAGATATTTGCAAGTTCCGAGACTTTACTTTTTCTATTAAATTACTCTTCGTGTCCCTCCCCGTCCGTGTTCTCTTCCCTTCTCTTCCTTTCCCTTTTCCGAAAACACATTAACTCGTCGGCGTAAAATATTATTCTGACGATTGATTGCGAGCAGGACGAAAAGAGAAAAAGAAAAAAAGAAGCAGTTTTCTAGAGGGAGATTTAAAGGACGCGAAGGAAACCGACTGTAAAATATCAAATTGTAATATTTTAATACTGATTTGCAGATGTGCATAATTTTAACATACATAGCCAATTATGCGAAAGAGCGAAATGTAACTGATAACATTGATGAGATTTTGTGAGATATCGCGGATAATCATCCGTTCGATAGAGAGAAAGATGATTGAGTATAGAAGAGAAACAGAAAGGGAGAGAAAGAAGAGATAAAAAAATGAAAGGAATGGAAGAAATGGAATATATTCGAAAAGATCATGACATGAATTTCCTGTGTTACTACTAGGGGAATTACGATAGTTATACACGAGAAGAAATGTTTGTTTTGTATATCTCTTAGGGATAAATAAACTTTTCAAAAAATATATCTTTTTTTGCACTGTTTTCTTACTAATGCATTTCTTCCTAACATCTGTCCTTTTTTCTATCACTGCAACCGACTCTGATATTTCTCCCTTTAATATTGCATTTCTTCATATTCTTTCTTTTATTACTCCATCTTTTTCACGTTCTTTTTACATCAGCGCATTAAATTTTCTGCCATGACCTAACTCACCAATAAATCCCTGAAAAAATTTACATACAGAGTGGCCCATCTTAATCTATCCAGTCGAATATTTTGAAAAATGAGACCAGTAGACAAAAATGTTGCAGACAAAAGTTGTATAGTTTTAAGGAGGATATAAGACGGTGGCAATGATTTGACCTTGAATAATCTGTTGAATGTGACGTGAAGGTCACCTTCAATTTTTTTAATTGAACTCCCTATTTCTTATTGCATATTCTTATACCTTACGTTGAGAGTTTTCCAAAACACTATAATAAAGTATTTTTTCATTAACAGTTTTTTGGGATATTTTATATTTTGTCATGACATTTTTAACATAGAAGCAAGGAAACTTACATTAAAAATGTCATAACAAAATGTAAAATATCTCAGAAAATTGTTAATAAAAAAATATTTTATTATAGCGTTTTGGAAAGCTCTTGATGTAAGTTACAAGAATATGCAATAAAAAATAGGGGGTTCCATTCAAAAAATTGAAAGTGACCTTCACCTTTAAACGACTATTCAAGATCAAATCACTATTACCATCTTATGTTCCCCTTAAAATCATGCAACTTTTGTCTGAAATATTTTTGTCTGCTAGTCTGTTTTTAAAATATTCGGCTGGCTGAATTAAAATGGACCACTTTGTATATATTAAAATAGTACAGTATGTAATAATAGAGAAATCACAGAACCATAATATATAACTCAAAATAACACAATATCACAAAATTATTTCTTCATTAAAATTATTTCACAGATACCGATATATATTTAAATTATCTTATTCTATTCATTTATTCTAATCTTTAATTGATTTAAACAAATGTATAATATATACTCAGTAAGTAAGGAACATGAAATTAATGTTTAGAAATGTTGATTTTACGTGAATTTTTGAACGTTTCTTGAATAACATTATATATACATTTAAAAATTATTATTTTGCAATATGATTTTTCTATATGTTGTTAAAACATTTTATAAAACATTATAGCAAATATTTTTTAAATATTATTTTAACATTTATTTGATGTTAATACAACAGTTAAAAAATGTTTATAATTTGATATTAGATTTGCAACATTATAACATTCTCATTTAAACATTACTGAAACTTTGAAATTATACTCAGAGTAAACACGTTTATATAAAGTGAAGAATTGGTGTAGTGTTAAAGGGTGCGGTCCACTATCCTACTGCTTTGAAATGCTCTAGACGCTACGCTCCGAATAAACTCAGAAAACCGTTGCGTTAACGCTACGAATCTTATAGATGTTATGCAAATGGACCACTTGTAATGTATTATCTCCATAATATAGCATCAGAATTTCATTGAAATAAAATGGAATTGGATATACCAATAATAATGAGTGTTTTCGATAATTTTTTCAATATGCCTTATTTTATACATGAGGATGATGTAGAAGTAATAATTGTATATATACAATTTCAAGGCCAAATAGAAACAAATCGAAATAATATCCCAAAAATTAAGGGTTATGTTGAACAAATAATTCCGTCATTTAGCGCAATGGAATTAAAAAATCATTTCAGGTAAAATTTATACTATTTACATATTGTGTATGAAAAAAAAATGTTTCTAAATTTTTACACACATGCATGATAAATAAATATTCAATCATATTTCATTGTTTTATTATTTTATTTATTATATTTTTTTAGAATGTTACCACAGACATTCGAATTCATTTTAGAGCAGATTGCAAATCAATTACAACGATTTATAAATGGCAATGAAATGATATCTCCAGAAAAGCAGTTTTTAATTGCTTTGTAGCGTATGGCAACGCCAGATTCATATAGGTATGAATTATGATCACGTATAATGTTAATAAATAAAAAAATTATAATACTACTAAGTTAAATCGTAATATTCCTTTAGATCAATTCATACTAGATTTGGTGTTGGAAAAGGTACATCTGTTAGAGCAGTACAGAGGGTTAGGCAAGCATTGTGTAATCTTGCTTCAAAATTTATTCAATAGCTAACAAGAGAAAAAATGGAAAAAATTAAAGAAGGTTTTTCTCGTATTGGTGCTTTTCCAAGAGTTATTGGAGCAATTGATGGCACCCACATAAATATACCAGCTCCTAATAAGCATGCAGAAGCTTACGTTAATAGGAAAGGACATCAATTCAAGCTCAAGTTCGTTCTTTTTTTTCATTTCTGTTAATAAAATATAAAGTATAACTTTTTTTAAGTTTATTTACATATTTCTGTATTTTTTTTGGATATAGGTAGTCTGTGATCATACGTATCTATTTACACATGTGTACGTTGGAAACGTAGGATCCGTACACGATGCTCGGATATTTAGATTGTCAGCTGTACAAGACTACATTTCAGATGCATCAAAGTTTCCCAGTGACTGTCACTTGATAGAAGATGCTGCTTATCCCCTGTTAAAACAGTTAATGGTGCCATATGTAGATAATGGCCATCTGATATATCGTCAGAAGAATTACAATTTCTGCCTTTCATCTTGTCGCATGGGTGTTGAAAGAGCTATTGGCTTGTTAAAAGGACGTTGAAGAAGCCTCCTTCATCATTTGGCCATGGGATGTGTGGAACGTATTTCCTATCATTTTTTAGCGTGTTGTGTGTTACATATGTTTAATGAAAAAAAACGAAATAGAAGCAGTTATCGTAAATACAGACATAGCACACCCTTAACCACAAATACAAGATATAGAGCAAAACAGAGGTGAAGCAGAAGCTAAACGAGATTTTGTGTGCTCTATATTTCGTATGAGAGAAGTATGAAAAAAACTGTGATATATTCGTATTTTTTATTTGATTAAAATTTAAATAAATATAATCAATAAGTATTACATATGTTATTTTATCAATAAAAGTTACATTATAAGATCACAGTCCTGAGTTTTATTTTTAATAAACGACTAACGTGCAAAGAAATATATTTTCTGTATGAAATACCTTTAAATGTTGCATCAAATGAGATAACATTTGGTATAACAAAAAAATTATATTGATGAAAAAATACTTAGACATTAGACGCACAGAACATTCTAATAGTTGCAAACTCAAAAATAATTTGTAACATAAAAACATGTAGCAGTAAATAACACTAACACAATTAGGAACTCTATTATATAAAATTTACGAGTAATTCTTCATTACATGAACATCACAATATTTAATAACAATTTTTCACGTTAACACTTTAATATAGCGCAAATATTACTAAATGTTAAAAAATATTAATATATATTTTTCTTGTTTATTGTTATTATATTTGTGCTATATTATTACGTTAACTCTTGAAATATTGTAATTAGAAAAAATAATACTGTCTTTATTGTACATTAATACTAAAAACTTTGGCTTTTTGTTAAAAAGAAAAAAATTAGTAATTGCACTTGCTGTAGAATTTACATTACAATTATGCAAAAAAAATATAGTAACAGTAATAAAAATTATAATAGTATTAATAAAAATAATAGATAATAATTAACAAAACTAATATTAATTATTAAGTTATTAATTTCTAATAATATTTACACATTATGTTTATTTTTTGTTAGCAATATTTTCCAAAATATTTAATAAGCGTTCTTATCTTGCCTCAGTACCTTTGTAAAATTTTTTCTTTCTTCTTGATTTTCTTGTGCAATTATAATAAGTTTTTCCAACGCAGTTTTTTCCATTACTCTCTTACCTAAATAAAAAATAACAATATAAGAAATTTATTACAATGCATGATGAAAAATAATAAAATACTCCAGACAGCTACACTTGCGAAAGCAGATTTTACACAGTGTATACTATAAACTCTGTCAGCAACATGTTAGCAGAAATACAGTCTGTAAAGTAAGAGCGTGTATGGCATAAATGGCAGTTGGCTTCAAATATCGTCCTAGTTATTTTAGCCGTATTGTGAGGCATATCTCAAGCACAAGCTTCGAGGAAAAAGAGTGTGCACTTTGAAGCAGCTGACACGACAAATTAGTCTCATTTGGAGGTCTTTACCAAACGAATACGCAGTCAACTTAGTGGAAAGTATGCCTCGGAGATGCCAGGCAATTATCAATGCCGGTGGTGACTGGACTCATTATTAATGGTATAGCGTTTTTCTTCTCATGGAGTACAACAAATTCATGTACTTAAAAATCATAAAAAATAAATTTTTCTACACATTAACCCGTACATGCTCTTACTTTACAATACTTTACTGTACAATAGGATTTTATGACAAAGTCTGTTTCAATATACATAAATAGAACATATAATAGATCCTGCTTGCTTTCTGCTGTTAATCTGCTGTCAAATTCTGTCAGCAGGTTGTCAATAAAATAACAACATATTGTAAAGATAGGTGACCATGGAACTGTTAATAGAACCAGTTTAAATCTGTCATCAAACTGCTGACAGATTACTTACTACGACTTTTATTAATTCTTAGATTATTAATAATTATCACTTACGTTTTCGAAGTCTTTCACAAACAATTTGAGATGATGAAAGTAGAGGTAGCAAAATATTGCCACTATTGTCATTGCAAACAGAGGTACTAGGAGATGGTATGTATTTTGCAGAATCTAGCGTTACAATAATTGGACTTATCCATGGCTTATGACCAAACATTTCATCCATAATCTGCAAAACAATAAAATGCACTTCAGTTCTTTCACTTCATTTCTATTCTAAATCTGATACTAAATCTAAATATTGAAGATACACACATCTAAATAGGACCAAGTACATCTATGGTTACCACTCTTTGCGTTGTGGTCTTTATTTTGTAGGTTTTTTTAACCCATTCAATTTACTTTTGCACTGTAACCCTATGATATCGTATGATGCTTTTCTCAATTTTTCAGAGATTATTTGCCAAAATCTTTTTACCGATACTTTCCCACTGTTCAATAAATCTTCTTGTTCTTTGTATGTTGCTAAGAGTAATCTAATAGCTCCATCTACCCATCTAAAACCATCTGAAAGTAAACGTTATACATAATCTATTGGAATTCATTGAAATTTTACTTGTTAAAATGGATATAAGGACAAAGCATATACCATTGTATGCTTCATTAGTATTGGATGCTTCTTTTTTTCTTCATCCACTGTATTACTTTCTTTGTATCATATTTTGCGTTTTTACTTTTTCAAGTAATTGTGTGCAATATATTAAATCTGAGAAAAGAGAAAAGATTTATGCACACCGATAAATTACAAAAATAGTTTTCTAACCTAAACTTTTTATACACATTTAAAAATGTACAGAATAACTACGGAACATATACCTGTTAAAGCATAAGAATATTCTTCTTCACTTAAATTTAATATGTAACACACATTTGTTTCATCGTCTATTATTTGCAATTGCGGCATCTTGGCAACCATATTTTTCATTACGCACCACGCAACGCTCTTCACTAATTGATATTTCCCGCCAAATATAAGAAATGTTACCGCTAACCCACTTCTTGAGGTGAGGCGTTTGAAGCGCGATGAGAGCGAAAATAATTACGTATTTGATGACGTCATGAAGGTTATTGTAGCTTTTCAAAACACAAAGTAGATCGGCCGTAGCGCTACATAGCATTTTAGAGCGTTAGGTGGACAGAATGATTGACTTGTAATCCAGAGCCCTTTCGGATGTCGAAGTTCAGTCCCACCAGTACCAAGTGTGAGTTTTTCAAATGTGACGTGACATGGTATCAATAAAGTAAACTAAGTTTCAAGTAAAACCAGCATAACAACTTTAGGAATCGTTTCTACTAGAAAAAGAGCAATAATTAGTTTTTAATTTTTGTACTGAGAAATTACCAAAATGTTAACAAAATTATTAGCACAACATTACTTATAACAACTTTACATTTGTGAATTCAACATTACTGAAACCTCCAAATCGGGGTCAAAGTTTGTTCATAATTATGATATTGCATACAACGTTAGATACGACATATTATGTTACATGTTACTGAATATCGTTATAATAACGTTGTAATAATGACTTTTTGCTTACTGGATATAAATATAAATATAATTTTTTCTATTTCCATTTACTAAAGGAAAGTTGGAAGAAAATGAAATAATTATATATAAGTAGTACATGTAGCACAATATGTCTAGAAATCTTTCTGGATGCGTTCAAAATGTTTTAAGATATTTTAGAACATCTTAGACATGTCTAAAATAATCCTGGAATATTTTGTTCTGCATGGATATATAAAATATATGATTCCTAATTTTCATAGAAAGTATAATAAAAATTCAATGATATATATATAAATATTAGTTTATTTTTTGCCATTGATACATACAAACTACAAATATTTACCCACCAAATTTTAATTATAATTAATGTGCAAAGGTTGATACAATATTTTTAGTATGTAATAATTATGAGTTTTAACTGTATAGATACATATATATTTGAAAATTGTAATAATATTGTTATAATTCGTTATAATATCGTTATAATCATAATTTTAACATTATGATATACTTGAATAGTACTAGCTTTTAACGCCGAAAAATAGAAAAATGTGAAAGGGGTTACGCTCGATCAAATTTTCATTATATGAGAACATTGGGTTTATATTTAATAAAGGATGCACGGGTATGATTACATATTTAGTATAATATTATCTTAATTTTATGTGAATCGCAAGGCGTAAATTTAAAACCGTTTTAGTAAGAGAATATTGCAAGATTTTCTATATTTTAAATTCATTGGCTGGACATATTTCAAATCGATGAGCCATTTGCCGATAGCCATAAACCATGAGTATCAACGTAGAAAGAAGATCGACAAAAAATATTAAACTTGTTCTTTCTCGCTGTACTTTTAGCACTTTATCGCAATTTTTTTCTCTCTTTTTCTTTCGCTAAATCTTATAGAGGATTCACACTGCGTCCGATATCCGATGTATGACGTCCGACATCCAATAGGAGAACAGCTTTCTAATAGAGAATTCAATTCTCCATTGGAAAGCTGTTCTCCTATTGGATGGCGGACGTCGTACATCGGACATTGGACGCATTGTGAATCCTCCATCAGGCCTGGTATACAATATGTGTTGTAAGCTGTAAGCCGTAAGGCCCGATCTACAATAAGAAGTTAGCCCGTCTACATTACATGAAGTAAGCCTAAATTAAGAAGTAAAGCCAGCGACACACGATGCTTGTTTTCATGCTGGATTGCTTGCTGGATGAAAATATCGCGTTGTGATTCGTATATTTTCGAAGATGGATGAAAATGCACCAATCAGAACGCAGTATTTTCATCCAGCAAGCAATCCAGCACGAAAACAAGCATCGTATGCCGTTGGTTTTAGAGCAGCGTAAGAAACTAGAGTAAAGGTGCCAATACATGGGAGCGTCGAGCGTCGAGCGTCAAAGCGTCCAATCAATCAAAGTTCCTTGTTTTTATCCGTGAAATAAGAATGAAAAACTGATTGGTTGAACGCTTTGACGCTCGACGCTCGACGCTCCCATGTATTGGCACCTTAAGGGAGTAAAGCTAAGATTCCATGCATGCGGTGAGCTCCGGCAAACGGCTGCGGTGACCAATCAGAAGACAGACGCATGCCGGAGCTTGCCGCAACCGGACTTGCGCCTCCCTCCTGATTGGTCATCGCAGCATTTGCCGCAGCTCACCGCATGCATGGAGTCTTAGCTTAAGTGAAATAAATTATTTCCATTTCGGCTTACTTCTTATTCCTGCTTTTCTTACGCTCGGCCAATCAGAGCACAAGAGGAAAATTATGTACGAGATTTGAGTTTGCGGGAGCGTGAACTACATTGATGCAATATGAAAATATAGATTACATTAATAAAATATTTTCAGTATTAATAAAATAAAGAATTTAATATAATGATGAATTATGAAGACGAGATGTTGGATAGTGCTTTTGACGATGATAATTATGGTAATGCATTAGAATCAGAAACTCAAATCCTGGTATGGAAGACGTTAATTAATTTAATGCAACCAAATTTAATCTTGTACCAGAAGAAACACAAAGAATACAATAACAAAAGCATGAAGATGCAAATATGGAAAAATATTGGTGCATCCTTGACACCGCCAATGACTGGTAAGTGAATAAGTGAGGTTAGATATTTTGGATAAGAGATTTCTTTTTCAATACTATATACTGTGTATTTGCAGGAATTGATGCAGAAAAAACATTTTATCGTTTACGTCAAAAATTCGGAAAAGAGCGCCGGAAAGTCATACAGTCGCAGGCAAGATCCGGCACAGGGGCAAATCATGTGCCATATAATCTAATTGGACATTATACAAAGACTAATGTTTCTGGCTGATCATATTCAACCTAGACAGTAATTAAATTATTATATAAATGATAACTATAACATTTATTCTTGCATTTTTGCATTTGTTTTACAATAAATTTGAAAGATCCATTTTACATAAGTTTTATGTTTAAGATGAATTATATTTGTGCAGGACATCATCAAATTTCCAGCCTATTCTAAAGCGCAAGAAAGCTATAGCTTCGCAACTGTTGCATTTTAGCAGCTCACAACTTGCCAGCTCACAGCATTCCAGTTTACAATGTGCCACACCGACACCTGCAATATATCCATCCATATGTATCCCGCCAATAACTTCTGAAGAAAACACAGATGTAATATGAAACTGACTTGTGCGAATCTTTAGGTATAAAAATAATTAAATAATTGTAAAATATTGCACATGATTAACTTTTTTTTATTAATTATAATGACCTTTATTAATTATAATAAGCCTTTGATAGTTCGTTATTATAGAATATCGATCATTATACTAATAATTTTTATTGCTGCAGATTCAGAATTTTTCGCTGAAAATGAGAAAGCATCTGTCGTGGATTTCATGGAGTCGTCTTCTTCAGTGTCACTTTCTAACTCATCAATTTCACAAGGTATTGCATCCACAAGCATGCAAAAAACCATAGTTTCTGCTATCATACCGCAAAGACTGACACCACTGGCAGATAGTACTAAAAAGAGAAAGCGACAGACAAGTGATGAAGTGGATGCAGCAATACTAGAATCATCCAAAAGCATCTCTTCCTTGGTCAACTCATTAGAAATTGCACTGAAAAAAAATATTACGTCAACAGCATTACAATCTGCAAAATCAGAATTATCTACTGCAATAGAAAACATGGAGTGGTATAACCTTAGGATTGAGCAAAGTTCATGAAGAACATCAAATGGATTGTTTTATATCGATCCTTGCTTGCATTAATGACTTTATAAAGAGATGAAACTTTTATGAATTTTTTAATATGCATAAGATTTTTTGACTATTTTTCTTTCCATAAATGACTTGATTGCTTTTGTTTCTATAGATTTATAAAAAAATATGTTAACTTGTTTGTTTTTGAATTTATTTGAATTTATTTACTATAAAATGTTTTTATTTTACTTTCAGAACATGTTTTGACCAAATAAAATTTTTGTTTTCTTAGATTACATTTTTATTAGAAATATTAAAAAATGTTATTAATATAGAAATATTAAGAATTATATAATGTTAAACAAAATAAATTATAATGAATAAATTATAATAAACAAATTATTTTCTCTTTTCCCATTTATATCTCTACTATAAATTTTATTTTTTCATAAAAATGTTATAAATATCAATTTTAATAAATAAAAACATTTAAATGAAACATACAATTCTATATTTAACATATTTTTATATGGATGTATGGTTTAAATGAATTTTTTGCCTTCGCTACATTTGTTAACAATATATATATAAAAATGAATCAAACTTTAAATTTCCATAATTTATATTATCAGAAAAGTAACATAGAATACATCAACGTACATTAATTAATCACTGCAAAGAGTTATTAAGTTTACAGTTTTGTCTTTATGTAACTTTAATTTTTATATTAACTAAAAAATTAACTTAATATATGCATAATATATAACAATTAACTAAATATATAAATAATACAAATATTTATATAATCTATGTATAGATGTAATACTTTTATTCATCTGACAGATTTATTAAATTTTTATGGAGCGCCCTTTTATATTGCCATAGTACCTGTTCCTGACCAATTTCGGAGGTAAAGTATTGCATTAGGTAATTTCTCGTGCTGTGTGCAACACGTATACTTCTGTTTGCTCCTGTTCTGCCTAGACGATAAAAAATTGTTTCATTGACTTGTGCTCTCCATGTTCCTCTTTCAACTTCTCCATTATGGTGTTGAATATCTACAAATCCCTGAGGACAATATTGAGGACGTCCACAGGTCATCATAAAATTATGTAGACAGACTAAGGCTTTTATAATTAGTTCTGCATTTGTTGGAAAACAGCTTATGCAGGACCTTAAAATTTACCATTTTGCTACCATGATGCCAAACGTGTTTTCAATAACTCTTCTCGCTCTACATAATCGATAGTTGAAAACACATTCATTATTAGACAGATTAATGTTTCTTCTTGGAAATGGCCTCATCATATATGTTGAAAGTGGAAACGCTTCATCTGCGACAAAAACATATGGGAACATCTGCATCAGGGAGCGGAATAAGTAGTAGCAAATCAGCTGTTCCTTCTTTGAGATCTCGCATGAAATTTGTATTCCTCCAGATACTACCATCACTCAATGAACCTATAAACAGAAACATGACGTGCATTTCTACATGCAATATAACTATATATTTAGATTATGAAATATACTGCTATGATTACATACCGTACTGCCCAATATCCACCCATGTAAACTTATATTCTCCATCGCAAGCAGCCATAAGTACCATGCTAAAATATCCTTTATAATTATAAAATTGAGATCCTGACATAGGAGGGGCTTTAATGCATATGTGTTTCCCATCAATGGCACCGATGCAATTAGGGAACTGCCATTTATCTATGAATCCCTGTGCCACTCTATTCCATGAATTTTTATCCAAAGTTGGGAGAAAAATTGGTTGTAATGCTTCCCAAATTGCTTGGCAGGTCTTAGGGATTATCATGTACACTGTTGATCTCCCTATGCGAAACTCAGTATGTTTACTTAAAATAGAGTCTCCTAGAGCCAGATATCTGCAGGAACAACATAATGGTGTTATACACACACACACATACACGCACGCACACACACGCACACACACACACGCACACACACACACACACAATAAAATTATTTCAGATTCTACTTACAAGAGTGTCACCTATAAACGCAGTTTAGGACACAATGGAGTCCTCCTGCTTCGCTTTAGTAATTTATCTTGCACTTGATTAAGTAGCCAATTAAAATGCTCTGGCCACATGCGAAAATTTTGAAAAAATACCTCGTGGTCTTGCGTCTCCATTTCTCTTACAAGATTTGTCTGATAACCTTATTGAACTTTAAGTTTATTTATGGGACGAATCCACCATCTCCTTCTTTTACGATGTTCTCGTCTTTCTTTTCGTCGTTTCCATTTTAATATTAATTGATGGTGCCATGTAATGACGGAAATACTTGCTAAAATTAATTCATTAAACTCCATTTCACAAATAACCTCTTTATTCACTGAGGTTTGTTTCGATAGAGGTATCGGTTACAAAAGCACAATCCAGCGTCTTCGTAATTTTTCGTATTATTTAGCTAAATTCTTTATTTATTATCAATACTAAAAATTATTTTATGAATATATACTTTATAAATTAAATGAACGCAGTTCACACTCCCGCAAAATTATTCGACTCTCGCACACTCGAAAAGACTTCGATTACCTACACGATTGGACACAACCAACCGGTGCAAAGCTTTATGTGATGAATTTTAGATCCAACCAATCATTACTCTGTGTCCTGTATACAATCATGATGTGTCCAACCGGACCACCCGCAAAGTCGATATAATTTTCCTCCTGCGTTCTGATTGGCTTATCCTTTCTATTGCATCGTATTGTAGACAAGACTAGCGTAAGCATCTTTACGCCAAAATCGTTACTTCTACTCCTACTCCTTACTTCATCTATTCTAGATCGGGCCTAATACCTCGTCTACAATAGAAGTCGTAGAGTCGTAAGTCGTAGAAATTGACCAATTATAGTCCGGTAAGAGAAAAATAATCGACCGCGATTGGTCAATTTATACGACTTACGACTCTACGACTTCTATTGTAGACGAGGTATTAACGGCTTACACGTACGACACGTATTGCAGATCAGGGGTTAATTAATCTTATTCGTTTGACATCTGAGCGCTACATACAAGGAATCACATAATATAACAAGAAGAGCAGAATTCATGTTCGGTCGCGGACATAATAGTAAGTGCCCGTTTTTTTTGCAACTTTCGGAACGCATTCCGACTCGAGAAGAATAAAGCCCTAAACACAATGCCAGGCAGCAGGCAATAAGAATAAAAATAGACCAATCACAATCGACTATTATAAGAATAATCTATTGTGATTAGTCTATTTTTATTCTTATTGCCTGTTGTCTGGCATTGTGTTTAGGGCTTAAGAGTCACTGCTTCGTCGAAATATCCAGATTTTTACTGAACACTAACCAATCGTTGTGAACTTCCCCCTATGACTTAATATAACGTGTGAGTGGCGTTCGAACATCTATTGTATGCACAGAGCCATCTATTGAAGAAGAAGAAGAATGAGAGTCACTGCTTCGCCTACGGAGCATGCCTGCGTAGTGACTCACAACGAAAGGCGAGAAATGAAATATACGCAGTGGGACATATTTGGTCTGTTCTTTGTAGCTGCACTGTTGAACTGGTGCAATAAGTTAAAGTGAGACAAATATATTATAATATATTATTTCATTATATTTTTCTACTTTCTTCTTCTCAAGAAATATTTTGACACCACACTGTATCTACAATATAAAACATAATATATATTATAGATATTTACCTTTCCACCCAGGCGTGGAAATGATATGTGAGATATCGTTTTAAGATATGATTTCCACTTTAAAGTCTTCTGAAAGAGATGGACGAGATGAATCATCAGCTGCAACGAATGCACAAGTCAATATGTCCCACCGCGTATATTTCATTTCTTGCCTTTCGTTGTGAGTCACTGCGCAGGCGTGCTCCGCAGGCGAAGCAGTGGTCGCGTTCAGTAGACTCAACAGTTGGACAACATTACTAGATTTTCCACTGAATCTCGCTCCTGATTGGTAAATGCTTCTGGGTCTATGAAGGATCTAAAAGAATGCTCCAATCACAGACAATAATCACTAAGCGCTCTCTGATCACTTTGTTCTACTGAACGCGGCCAGTGGCTCTCATTCTTCTCGAGTCGGGATGCGTTCCGAAAGTTGCAAAAAACGGGCACTTACTACTAAGCCCCTTGCACAATGCCAGGCAATAAGCAATAAGAATAAAAATAGACCAATCACAATCGACTATTACAAGAATAATCTATTATGATTGGTCTATTTTTATTCTTATTGCCTGTTGCCTGGCATTGTGCAAAGGGCTTTATGTCCGCGAGTGTACATGCGAACGGATAAAAAGCGAAAAGACACGTGTAGCGCTACCTGTCGAGGGCGCTGACGAACTATTACATCGAACGGATTTCGGAGTCAGTCCATCTCGTTATTTTCTAGATGCAATCACCTTTTTGTTTGCGTTTGTTCCTGACAGTTATACGAAGGTCACATATACGTACGTTTGAAAATTCAATGCAACAGACTTAATGGCCGCTGGAAAGTCGTGAGCAGCGATTCGCCCGGCGGCTCTCCACATTCGTGCGTTTCGTCTTAGCGCGCGTTACAACGCGATTAGGCACAAGTAACGCGTCGCCGAGATCATAGCTATCCTTCTTATGCCGTCATTTTGCTAGGTAAGCTCCCGACAATCGCATGCAAGTGTAAAAACCGCGAGAATCGACGTTGAATCTGCAAGTCGCGAATTGCTCCCGGTATTCAATGCGCTCTACAAGAATCCTGACCGACCGAACAATCTCACAACCTTTATACTTTTAGCAAATCTATCGCACGTATAAAGACATTGCGTTACGTACTAGGGAAGGAAACACTTGTGAGTTTCGGGAGCCGTTGCTTCACGCTCTGATCTTCTCGACTCTAGTTTTGAATATTGTTTATTTACAAAATGTTATTAATTTGTTAATTAAGTTTATTAACACTTGTCAGATCCATCTTTATAACCGCATTTTCTGTATTTATTCTTGTTTCCACTTTTGTTCTTGCAGTGGCTGTGCATGTACTTATTTTATATGGAATGTAAAAAGGTCAGCACAATGCAACTAAAAGAACAGACTTGTTGCTAAGATGTTACTGAGAGTTTTAAATGAAATTGATTGATGGTTGGATTCATAGCATAGTAACATGTATCATATTTGTTATGTTCTAAGTTTAAATCAATAGAAATATTAACATTAAAAATGTTCCGATACTTTCAGATTGCAATTGTCTGAATGTATCTATTGGGACAATTACATTCATATATCTGTCAAAAGTTTCTTGAGAAATAGTAACCACATTATTATAATTTTATATTTTTATTCCTATTTCCTGTTTGTTTATAATTTTGATCACCAGTGCTTTGTCTAATTTATATATAATATAAACTTACATACAAGTATTCTTCATTATTACTTTGACCTTATTTCTCATGAGTAAAAGAATATTTCGGATGACTCATTCTTTTAGATAATCAATCATGGAGCAAGATACAGAATATATGAAATTACCTCTGGAGGAACGTTGTGTGCACAAGGTAACAATATATTATCTTTCTCTAAATGTCAAAAACAGTATATTTTTATATATTCATCAATATATAAAGTTATGAAATCTTAGTTGAAGAATAACAAATTAAAATTATAATAAAACTACAATCTTTTAATTTGTATTTAGATCATTTCAATTATATTTTTTCTTTTTAATAGAGTTTTTTTTAGATATTCCTTGAAATATACATGCCCCAATAATTTTCAAAAGAATAATTGACTGTGTCTAATAAAGATGAAATAATTAATTTATCATAATTAATCAAAGACATAACTAAGATAATTTTTACTATTAAAAAGAAACTATTATCAAAAACTATTTATTATTAAACATCTTGATAGATTAAATGTTAACTGATATCTCCTATAATCAAATGTGTAGTCTTGGAGGGCGCGTTTGCATGGTTACGAGGAATGTGTGAAGACGTTCCAATGTATCGACGACGAGAAATCGGCGGAGTGGAACAAATATGTAGGCTTCATCAAGAAGTTTGTGGTGGACAGCAACGCAGCGGCGCAGGAGAAAGGATTGGAGGCGACGCTGGCCTTTGTGGAGAACGCTGCGGTGGCTGGCAAGATAGTCGGTGAGGTGATGAGCGGCATCGTGTCGAAATGCATCGCCGCGCCGAAAGCAAAGACTAAGGAGCTGGCGGTGCAGATCACGTTGATGTACATGGAGATCGAGAAACACGAGGCGGTACAGGAAGAACTGCTACGCGGCACAGAGGCGAAGAATCCCAAAATCGTGTCCGCGTGTATCGCCACGTTGACTTTAGCGCTAAAGGAATTTGGCCCGAAGGTTGTGAATATGAAACCGCTGATGAAGAAAATAGCGAATTTCCTGGAGGATCGGGATAAAACGGTGCGTGAAGAGAGCAAAGCGATGGTAGTGGAGATGTATCGTTGGATAGGCGATCGTCTAAAGCAACAACTCAACACATTGAAACCAGTACACATCACAGAATTAGAGGCGGAATTTAATAATTTGTCTGATAACAAAGTGATACCTACGCGTTACCTGCGCTCGCAGAGGCCGAAGACCGTCAGCAGTGGCACGGTAGCAGATGCGGCAGTAAGTGACAACGGTGAAGAAGACAACGAAGACGGCGATGGCTCTTCTGTGCCGGATATAGACCCGTACGACTTGTTGTCACCCGTGGACATCTTGTCGAAGTTGCCGAAAGACTTCTACGAAAAGGTTGAGGCGAAGAAGTGGCAAGAACGTAAGGAAGCGTTGGAGGCGCTTGAGACGCTTGTAAAGAATCCAAAATTGGAAAACGGTGATTATGGCGACGTGGTACGTGCTCTGAAGAAGATTATTTCGAAGGATACGAATGTGCTAGTGGTCACATTGGCTGGTAAGTGTCTGGCTGGTCTCGCGTCAGGCCTGAAGAAGCGTTTCCAGCCGTACGCTGGTGTCTGCCTTCCTGCGATCTTGGAGAAATTCCGCGAGAAGAAGCAGACGGTGGTACAAGCGTTGCGCGAAGCCGCCGACGCTATTTACCAGAGCATCAACATCGAGCAGATCTTGGAGGACACTCTCGCTGCGTTGGAAAACAAAAATCCCGCGGTGAAGGCTGAAACGACTGCTTTTCTGGCTCGTTGCTTCACTCGCACGCCACCGGACATGCTGAATAAGAAGTTACTGAAGGCGTATTCCGGCGTACTGCTGAAGACGCTGAATGAGCCGGATCCAACAGTGCGTGACAACTCGGCGGAGGCATTGGGCACAGCGATGAAGCTGATCGGTGAGCGAGCGATGATGCCGTTTCTCACGGACATTGACAATCTAAAAATGACAAAAATCAAGGAATGCGCGGAAAAGGCGACGATCGTCGTTAAGGTATCGGGCGCGACGAAGAAAGCAGCTGTGGATCGACCTAATACTGCACCGGCAAAGGTAGAAGCAATGAAGGTGACGAACAAGGAGAGCAAGGATAAGAAAGCCAACGCTACCAAGAGACCTAACAGCAGCCACACCGCCGCAAACAAGAAGTCAGCAGCTAAGAAACCCAGTGCATCGTCGACGAATTTGGCGCCGTCCAAGAAGCAGCCGACCGAGAGGAGCTACAGCCCCGAAGAGGTCGACGAGTTAGCGGTACAGCTGTTACCGGCCGAGGTAATCTCAGGCCTGATGGACAGCAACTGGAAGATGCGTTTAACGGCGGTCACGCAGCTGTTGGACGTGGTGAAAAGCATGGATCCGGTCGAAGTGTCCGCGCAGGTGATCGTGCGCACGATGGCGAAGAAGCCCGGCTTCAAGGACACGAACTTTCAGGTACTGAAGCTGCGTATTGAAGTGGTCAAGCATCTGGCCGAGTGTCATCCGTTCTCGGTCACCGTAGCCGAGTACTGTCTTGTGGATATTGCGGAGAAGCTGGCGGATTCGAAGAACAGCGCGATCGCCGCGGAGACGCTACTAGCGATTGCTGAGGCCACGAGCTTTGAGCATGTTGCGGACGAGATAGTCGCTTATGCATTCAATCAGAAGAACCCGAAGGTGCAGCAGGAGACGCTGCTGTGGCTATGCCGTGGCCTCGCAGACTTCGGCTGCTGTCTCAACGTCAAGTCCATCATTGAGCACGTGAAGCGCGCGGTGGCGGCAACTAATCCCGCCGTGCGAACTGCCGCTATAACACTCTTAGGTACGCTCTATCTGTACGTGGGTAAGCTGTTGTTATCGTTCTTCGACAATGAGAAGCCGGCGTTGAAGCAGCAGATCGAACAAGAGTGCGAGAAGCGCAGCGGCGAGACGCCGCCGGCGCCTGTTCGCGGCGCCAAGGCCAAGAAGGCAGGCAGCAACAATGTTCAGAATGACGAGGATGACGACGAAGATTCTGCGGAATTGTCGGACAAGAAACAGCCGTTGGCCGCCGGTAACAGCGAGCAAGATCTAATTAATGATCTGATACCTCGTGTTGATATCAGTAGCCAGATTACGGATGGGCTTTTAGCTGAGTTGGCTGACAAGAATTGGAAAGTACGTAACGAAGGTTTGCAAAAAGTGAACTCTTTACTCAGCGAGGCCAAATACATCAAGCCCAACATCGGCGATCTGCCACAGGGCTTGGCGTTGCGCTTGGTCGACAGTAACAGCAAAATCGCACAATCGACTTTAGGTCAGTTATCTTACTCTAATCAGTGTTGTATGTGTTTTATTACTATATCATCTTTATAACTTGTCTGCTTTATTAATTATATAATTTTCAATCGTTAAATATTAATCTATAGTTTAAACAGTAACTTTAGGATGAAGAATCTAATCGTACAATACGATTCATTACTGATCAAGATTTGGTCATTTCAATTGCTCGCTTTTCTTTAGGTATATGTGAGACGTTGGCGACGGCCGTCGGTGCGCTGGTAAAGCAACATGTCCGCATCCTGTTTCCCGGGTTCTTGCAGTGCTTGGGTGACAGCAAGAACTGGATCAGAACAGCTGCAATTTCCTGCATCAATATCTGGGGGGATCAATGTGGTTACAAGGAGTTCTTCGATGGCGAGATGATAGGGGACGCTTTGAAGGCAGGCTCGCCGATGCTTCGCGCTGAGCTTTGGAATTGGTTGGCGCAGAAGTTGCCTACAATACCTGTGAAGCAGATTCCCAAGGAAGAGCTACTTGTGTGCCTTCCATATCTGTTCGCTAATCTGGAGGACCGCAATTCTGATGTGAGAAAGAACGCTCAGGAAGCTGTTCTCGGGTTCATGATTCATTTCTCGTATGAGGCAATGGTTAGAAACACTGAAAAATTAAAGGTACACTGCAAACGATGCAACTCTGATTATGCAGCAAATAATATTTGTCATAACAATTATGGCAATGTGGTGATTTTGTAGCCTGGTTCGAGGACTGTAGTACTTGCTGTATTGGACAAAGCTCGTCCTAGTTTACCTGTGAAACCTCTGCCCAAGAAAGAACCTTCGGACGAGAATATCCAGAAGGGTGCCGCCAAGGGTGCAAAAGTGGCAAAAGTGGTTAAACCGGTAAAAATGATGAATTTTTTAAAATACGTAAAATTAGTACATATATTTAATTTCCTTAAATTATTAATATAAGTTATATTCTCTCACGACAAAAATTTTTAGAAATTTTACAAGTATATTGACTTTTTATGTCCTAACATTTTACTTCTAATTCTCCTGCTAAATTTGCCACTTGTTTTTTGCTGCGATTCATCGTCAATCGGATATTGTTCCAGAAGGGCGCATCATCAAAAGCGCTGGGCAGTGCTCGCAAAAAGGATGACGACGTGGATACCAGTCCTCTGTTGGTGGTCAACAATTTGAAGCACCAACGCGTGATTGACGAGCAGAAGCTGAAGGTGCTCAAGTGGAATTTCACCACTCCTAGAGAAGAATTTGTCGAGCTTCTGAAGGAACTTATGGCTACGGCGAATGTTAACAAGACATTAAGAGCGAATATGTTCCATTCTGATTTCCGATATCATCTGAAAGCCATTGAAGCACTCACCGAGGTGAATATAATTTTAGAGAAATAAACACAAGTGTTTATTTCTCTAAACATGACAATATAAAATATTTTGAGAATAGTTTGCTACCTTTTGCACTCAACGTATGCGGCACTACTTTTCATCTCACTCGTGGTTCCTTCAGGATTTACCTGGGAATAGCAAAGCACTGGTATCTAATCTGGATCTCATCCTCAAGTGGTTGACATTGCGATTCTTCGATACTAATCCTTCTGTGCTCTTGAAAGGACTGGATTACCTGCAGCTGGTTTTCAATTTATTGATAGAAGATCAATACCATATGTTAGAAACTGAAGCGGCATCATTTATTCCTTATCTTATCATCAAAGTATGTTAAATATCTTTCTTTTTATTATGTACTTATATTATGTACTTTCTACAAATTGCATAATGTACAGCAACATTCTATTTTTGTCATTACATTATATTAATATTATGTTTGTTACATCACATATAATAGATAGGAGATCCGAAGGATGCCGTGCGCAATGGCGTGCGAGCGCTGTTTAGGCAAATCGCTCTAGTGTACCCTGTGAGCAAGTTGTTCTCGTACGTGATGGAAGGCCTGAAATCGAAGAACGCGCGACAACGAACAGGTGAAGCACCCGAATTTAGTTTTGTTTTTCTTGTTTTTTTCATTTGATGGAATTAGAATGCATGCGCATGAATTAAAATACTACCATATTTGCAGAATGCCTGGATCAATTAGGATCGCTAATTGAGAATTACGGAGTTTCTGTCTGCCAACCCAGTCCGTCTGCGGCGTTGAAGGAAGTGGCGAAACAAATAGCGGATCGCGACAATTCCGTTCGTAACGCCGCTCTCAATTGCATCGTTCAGGCTTATTTCCTGCAAGGAGAACGTGTATTCAAGCTCATTGGTCAAGTACGTGATATATTGCAAGAAATAATTTAGGGAAACCAACTGCTAAGTTTAACTTGCAATTATTAATTTTATCTAGATTTTGCCTTACTTTTTAATTTTATCTAGATTTTACTTTACTTTTATCATATCATTTATATAGATATCGGAGAAAGATAGATCGTTGTTGGACGAGCGCATCAAAAGAGCGGCAAAGAATCGTCCTACGAAATCTGCGTCCGCCAACAAGCTTTCGACGCCTGTAGTTACAGCTTCCAGTCCTCCCACGGACGACATGGAGGCGGATTACGAAGAGGAGCAGGAGGAGATTCCTGAGGTGGTGGAGTCGGTGCCAGAATTGTAAGTTTATATAGCTAAATCGTGCCCGTTTATCGTTAAGTAATACTTATAAAATAATGAGTCCATTTTTCTCAGCTGCCTTTCGCTTTCCTGCAATTTCATTCTTTCCTCTTTCACCGTGTAAAACCCATGAACCCGGATATTTGTCTCAGTTAAAATGTGAAAAGTAGCAAAATGCAGCTGAAAGAAGCAGGACTGGCCTTTATTATACGATCAATATTCTTCAAGAAAGAAGAGTGGATATAGCCCATTTCATAAGCATTGAAACAATCGTATAATTTGGAATTATCTTAAGCGCTTATTACATTATGTGCGAGAATTATACGAAGTCACTCACATTGGCATCTGCTTGGCTTTTAACACAATGTCCGCAGGCCAATAGCCACGAACACTGATAATAATCCGGAGAAACAGGTGCTACTTTCTGTTGATGTTCAGTCCACTTCTGAACCATGCCAGGAAATTGCCAGCGATCTCAACATCGATAATGCACAAAATTGTGTACCCGATAACGATTGTGACAATTCGACAAAGTTTGTTGCTTCTTCGATTTTTCGTTTTATGCTCTCTGGAACACGTGCTTTGATAAAAACACGGTGTTGGGAAATGCCTTGGGATTTCGTCGTTCTATTGGTGATTTCCATGTGCGATAAATTGTCCATTAGGTCAATTGGATCTGTTTGTTTTAATTTTGTTCTAGTTTAATAATTAAACCGGTTTTAAGGATGAAGCAAGTACGTGAAAGTATGATTGAAGATGAACAGAACTTATATAAATGTATAATGCACAATGAATCGTCAAATTCTGTAAAGAATGTTTTGGGTTTTCTCGTGCAATTTTTCATATTATTGGTTCTATGTTTCTTAAATATACATGCATACATGCATTTATAGAAATACATTTCTTTGTATTGGAATTACAATTACAATACAATTACAATACATATTAAGAAACCTTTAAGCATATGTATAAAATTTGATACAATTATAATTAAGAATTACAAAAATGTTTATATTTGTAGTATTTTGATTAGAATTTCTTAACTCGTAGCTTATAAACTTCTGAATTTGTCAGAATTATAACAATTCCTGGGTTTGGACTAAAGTTTCGACGAACAATAATGTATTTTCTATATTTGCTTGTTATACATTTAAAATTTTTTAAATTATTACAAACGATGCATTGTGTCCAACGTTGAGTGTCGAAGGTGATTGGTAATGTAGATTGTGATTGTAAAATAACGATTATCGTTGTACAATATGATGATATGTTAATTCTACATGTTCTTATCAATTAGCTCACTATCACAATGATATTTAGGCACAGATATCTTCTATTTCTTAGTAGTAACATTGGTGTTCTCATGAAAATTTGTTTTAATAATACGTAGTTAATAGTATATTAATTATCCCAATTGGCCTCTAAATTACTATCTAAATTGTAATATTTTAGTAATTAGATCTCTTTAACTAATAATTGCATTTGAGTAGTCGTATGTTACACATATAGTATTCAATTCGATGCATATGTGTGTTATATCTTAGGTGCACAAATTGAATCAATATATCTATATCTCTGGTGCGTCTGTTTTCTAGGAATTCTCCCACATCTACTCAAACGAAAGTCTCAGGTCCTTTTGGATTAGATATGGAATTTTTGCAAAGGATCGAACTGAGTGCACCGGTAAAATATCGTAATCCGATATTACTGGAGCCCAGTTTGTCGGATCTAAACGAAGCTCCGATTAATATGTTGAATACACCAAAAACACAGTAAGTACAAGTACAATAAAATTATTACTAAATTAGATTTAACACTTAACACATTAGACGACGGAATTGTCTAATGCTAAAATACTTCACAAACTATCAAGTCGTTAATAAAATAGTTAATAAATTATTTTATCTAAATTATTAAATTATTATATATAATAATTAATTAATCCCAATTTTACAAAATTTCAATATACAGTATAACAAAATGATTAGTTTCTCTATTAATATTTTGCTATCTATAATATATTTATAAAACAAATGTACAATTCACTATATTATCTGTGTATCATGTATGGCATCATTTATAAGATACATTATTTGTTGAAATATATTTGATTAATATAATAGATATTATATTCGTACGTCAATATATATTAATACTTTGTCATACTAACGTGTTTCGCAGAATGATACCGATTTCACCACCAAAGTTGTTGGTGTCAAAGTCAGCATCTGCTGTATCACCTACTGCCAGTAGTCACGATGACATGTTGGAGCGCAACATCTTATCCATGGCTAGTATGGACTTGCCCACTGCGATACAATCTATGAACAGCATAGAAAACGTTAGTAATTACTCGCATATAAAGCTGCATATAAAGATACTTGATAAAATCTAATCACATTTTTCTGTATTATAGTTATTGAAGTCCCATCAAGCGGCCAGTTTACAATCCAAAGAAGATAAATTCATCGGTTCGATAAATATGCAACTAAAGTTGTTGCAGACGTATCCATTACGCCAGGAAAACGTGGACGTATCCAGAGGCTTTAGAAATACGTTCTTGGTTATACTTGTGGTGAGAAATTAATGAATAAAAACCATATTGTTATCACAAAGAGAAAATATATATTTGAAATTTATGATAATAAATCATATATTATATACTACATTATATCATGTTATAAGACTTGACAATAAGAAATTTTGGTAAGGGATTTATCTTGAGACTTTAATGAAAAATTTCTTTTAGTTTTATGACACTGGATATCTTGGAAAAAACGTTACTTTCATGCACTTGAAAGAATTAGTAGATCAAATGATAAGTTTGCTCGCTGAAAACAAATTGGAACATTTGCATCAGGCCGGAGCTTATTATAGAGTGATTAACAACATCATGGTGAAGATTATCGACAATTCTAATCATACTACTATTATATGGTAAAATACAAGTAAAAATTAATGCTGCATTCAGCAGTTCCAGTTCGTTTATCGTTTAATTAATTTATTGTTTCATTTTAATCATCACATTTGTCTTTAGCGTGTTAATTAAATTGCTTCATTCCTGCGCCGAGTCAAATGTTCCTTCTAAGTACGAGGAATTGGTGATGAAGTGTCTGTGGAAAATTGTAAAAACGATGTCGAATTGGGCACCCGACTTGGATTATGATACGATACTCTTGGAAGTGCATCGCTTTCTAAAGGTATAAATTTACATAAGAATGAATTCACACATACATACACAAACGAATTTTTAATTGGTCCTCAATTTTTTTTTACTTTTTAATTCGTTTTTAGGGTTATATAGTTATTCACTATGATGTTTACAGGACTATCCCACTACGTGGTGGAAGAAACAGAAATCTGACACTCCATTACGAACAGTCAAAACTGTCCTCCACAGCATGACCAGAGTGAAAGGCAGTACGATACTTAATCATTTGACGTTGATAAACAACACTAATGAGTCTGAATTGCATGCATACTTAATAAGATTAATCGCGGTAAGTTTACGTCCATTTTGCAAAGTATATATGTGCAACTTAGAAGAAAAGGAAACAATATTTGTTTCTTCAGTTGTAAAAGCCTTAAAATTTGTAGAAATATAACATAAGATGGATTAATTAAGATTTCAATGATTGAGCAAAAAGATTCACAATTGTGCTCAAAAGATAATTTTAGATATACAAAATATATTACATAATAATAATCGATTATAAAATATAATAATATAATTGCTAATATATATATATATTTATTTATTTATATGTATAAATTACATAATTAAAGCGATATTTTTAATGTACACATAGAGTCTTAAGCCAGATGAGATTAATGCTACAGCAAAATTAAACCCGAAATCAAATAATATGGGTAGGACGCCGAAACATCTGTCCAAATCCACTCGACAACAGTTGGCGGAAATATTTAAGAAAATTGGATCAAAAGAGCAAATGCAAGAAGTACGTGGATAAATTACAATACATAGATTAATGCTTTATAATAACAGCTTTACTTTCTAAGATAATCCTTAACTACCTATTTTTTTCGTAGGGTTTGACACAGTTATACGACTTTAAGCTTCAATACCCCGAAGCTGACGTGCAACCGTTTCTAGTGAAATCTCATCAATTTTTCCAAGACTTTATCGAGCAGGGACTTAGGCAGATCGATCAGGCGCGCAAGAGTCAGAGCATCTTGTCACAAGCTAACAATCAGTATTCTCTGGGTAAGTGACACTGACCGATCAGATCGGTCTGCTTTTCCGAGTTAGTGTATCAACTATAAGTAACGCACTACTATACCAATATGAATCAATGCGATTGTATGAAATAAACAATGCAGAAACCACCGAGTCACCGTCAGCGGGTTCCGAAGACAAGGATATGATGGACCCGATGCACAGACTTGAGAAACTACGAGCTCTTGAAGCGCAATGTAGAACGACTTCGCAGCCGAACCCACCATGAACAATATTGCGCGCGTATATGAAAATTATAGGTAAGTGACACACACAACACACACACACACATACACACACACACACACACACACATATATATATATATATATAGCAAGCATACTCGTTTAACATCCTCATTCGCGTCTCAAAACATACAATTTTGTTTCGTCATCTACCTTTTCGTTCTTTTTATTTTTACAACACTAAGTTTCCGACGAAGTGAGTTGCCAGTTGATTTTCCGAGTACAAATCTCATCCCCCATTTGTGTCGCTAAACGTCTTCATCCAAAAAAAAGAGATGCGTGTTATTTATTCACGTTGAGTTTAGTGATGCTCGTGCTCATACGATTTGCCTTTAGCAGCAGACGTTTTCGAGCGAGCAAATTGCAGGAAATAAGTTAACGAGCGGTTAAACGCATACTGACACAAATTACATTATCATACATTATCCTACTTTCCGATTATAGTTGCTGTGTAACAACACGTTACGTCCCCGTTAATGATAATATTGCGTGCTAACGATAATGTTTGTTCTTTCTTCCGTATAGTAGTTATGTATAGTTGATAATGTCAATAATTATATACGTAAGATTAATTATATACGTAGAGTGTTCCTCAATATGCGGGTATAATTTTTGCAGGTAAATCCAGCATGAGAGAATAATTGAAAGATTCATGCGAACATCTCTTCTGTTCTACCCATCCTTACGCTGTATAATTTATTTGTTTCAAACACTCAGAGCAATCCATCATTCCGCACTTTATTCTCCCGATGGAAAATTGCGGATATTAATATGAATATTTGTTTCGATAGTGATATTGATATGTTCATTAGACAATATGTAGATTAATGTATTTAATAGTCAGGTAGGATAGATGTTCGCGTGAACTTTTTTTCACTATTTCTGCTGGATATACTTCCGAAGTTATTACCCATGTACTGGGATACATGTCGTGTAACATGTATGCATAAGTACACAAAAGGCGCGATTCGAATAAAATTGTAATCATGTGTCATCGTTGCAACTTGATTTTGCAATCGCGTTTTACGTTATTTCCAAAAATAAATTTTTTCTATTTTGAACATTTGACATTAAATTGTCGGTATTTCGTCGTTGCTTTCGTGGAGGAACTGTACCTACTTCCTCGTGAATATCACTCGGTTCCTTAAGCGTTATGGCATTTAAGAAAAGCATTACTGTAGAATTAAAATTATTTTCTTATATATCTGTATCGGACTTCAGAATCAAGATTTTCAAAGCGGTCTGATAAAGCCCAAGAGATAAGATAAATTTACACGGTACCTGTCCAAATATTATGATTATTAACGATATAAAAGGACAAAAATAGCAATTTTTGTAGAATTTTTCTCACGTGAGAAATATATCAGAACATACACGGCGGAGTTTTCGCGAGAGCAACGACTATCTATTATCTATCGAGACGCAAATCTGTTATATCCCAGTTAGTATTTATTAATAAGACCGTATGATAACGTATCGGTCGTAGTGATCAGCATCGTTATCGACGCTTATTAACTCGGTGTAATGATTGCCGTTGAGCCGCATAAAACTCGTAACTCAAGCAAATTCAGAATAAAATGTCACGTTGGACCTTTATTGTATGGAAATTTTTTTTTGAGTGATTCGCTCGATGACCAGTGACAGAAATTGACTGATCGAATGTTGCAAATTAATTGATCAGTCGTGCAGTTACGCACTTATTCTATAATTTCAATCACATTGACTACTCGATTTTACTACGAATTAATAAATCGCTTGATTTATTACAAGTTGAATATTGCATGATTTTTTGCTAATTAAGTGCTAATTACTCAACTTTCACATGTTAAGTAATTATTACAGATAGAGTACAAAGTCTAATAAATTTACAAGTAGGAATAATTAATAATTATTGTAGTAATTTACGAATATGCAACAGAAATAAAACATTACAAAATAGAATATATATTAAAGTACTGCAAATATCTCTGTTCTACTTAATATTTTTATTAATATCGAGTTAAATAGATCATGATTATGTAAACATTTCGTTTTTCATTTATACGCGTATTCGTACCTAAGATGATGTTACGAGATTTTTGCGACTCTCTATTGAAAAATATATCTACCTTTCTATTATTGGTGCAGAGGAAAGAGAAAAAAGAACATAGCAAATATCTACTCTTAAGCGAGTCACCCAGATCAAACAGGCTTTACGAATACCCTTCTATCTAATACAGTACACGAATCGACTCGTTGCTATATTTGAGAACTTATCGCTTTCTGAACACTTATATTCTGTAGTGTAAATAGGACATGTATATATTATACACGTAACTAATAAAAGAATATTCGACGAAATTGTGTAACGTATGTTTGACACGGAAATGTATGAAATGAAGTAATACTCTCCTTACGCTATTAACTACCAATTACTTGTTTTATATTTACTTTCTGATACTCATTTAATTTTAACGTACGCTCCTACACGCACGCACACACGCACGCACACACGCACGCACACGCACACACACACACACACACACACGCACGCACGCACGCACGCACGCACGCACGCACGCACGCACGCACGCACGCACGCACGCACGCACGCACGCACGCACGCACGCACGCACGCACGCACGCACGCACGCACGCACGCACGCACGCACGCACATACGCGCACACACACACACAGTATTAATTTAATATTAACAAAATTAATATTAAATATCTGTTGTTCAATTTGAATTTATTTAATCAATTTTTATTCTTAAATTCGATTATTTACTGCTTTTTTCATTATTATTGATTTTTTATTTTAAATATATATTTTATATAAATATACTTTTGACTGATAAAATATGAAAAGGGTAGATGTTGATTTAAATTTGAATCAATCAAGTATATGCAAGATACAAACAGCAGAATTGGGAGCTTACGTTAAAAATAAATAAATAATAAATAATCTTTCAATAACTAGTCTCATATTAATTCAGTATTAATTTAACGAAGCTTTTACAATTTTATTGAAACAAATTTCTTTAAATTCAGAATTTGTTTCATCAATTTTGCATGCTTGACATGTTATATTTGCATAAGTTTTACAAAGTTCTATTATTCTATCTATTTTGATATTTCAATTTAGAATATTTTATTCCGTATGGAATAAATTATAACAAACTTATAATAATATTCTATATTTATTCTTATAAGAATAAATAAGAAGTATTTCTATATATTATTCTATCTTTTTTTAATGATACATTTGTGCAACATGTTAAAAGAATTCTTTGTTTTGTTATCATCATATAATACATTGTTTTCTTTTATTCTCTGTATGTATATATATATATATATATATATATATATATATATGCTTCGTATAAAACTATTTCTTTCTTTCTCTTTCTTTCTTTCTAGTATCTTACAGACAGCATATATAAATATTTTATCAATGATAAAGCTATTCGCATATGAAGTACACCTGGATAATATATCTCGGACAATGAATTAGGTACAAATTCGGCAAGATGATATCGTATCTCAAGAATTTCTATACTAAACGACGCATGGATATATTGATTGCTATCGTATGCGTTTAAATAATTTAAAACTCATTCAGATATATTGTTTTCCCGCGACATATAAAGCGCAACATAACGATAGATTTTCTCGAGAGTACTTTCTTTTTTCTCATATATCTACTTCATATATCTACCTACTTATCAACATTAAAAAGGTAGTTCTCGCAGAAAACGGCTAACGCCAACTAAACATAATGTTACATATATACTGTGGGATAGAATCATATTATACAAATATACACAATATCCACAATATATACAATTTAGCGTTCACGAGGTAATGCAGATATACTGCCGAAGTATTCGGGTAATGAAGGGACTCTCGCGGAGGTGACGTTCAGGTATCTTCTACAGGGTTGACGAAGAGCGCCGTGAGAGCGAATAGCAGGAACACGAATCCTCCAATAATGGTCACTGAACAAATTAAGAGATTAGAGATACGAGATATAATCATATTTAGTTTTAAATGGAAATTATATGTCGCGCGGTATCATAAAGTAATCGATTTCTAATATTACCTGTCCTCACTGAAATTCTCTGTGCTATTATACGTCCTCCTAATACTGCTAATCCTGTACAAAAGGAATGGCCTAATATTCCACCTAATATAACTCCATAAACATCCTGAAATCAATATAATTACAGCTGAAAAATTACATACATATTTTTACATTTTATATTATTATTTTATCATACAAATTATCTGTTTTCATATAAGATAAGATCTTGCACTTAACAATTTGTCTTATCTTAATCTAGCATTTAAGTTTGATATCTCATCCAGCTTATATGTATATAAATATATATATATATATATATATACATATTGAGTGTATTAATGGATACTAATGTTGCAGTAAAATTGCTATCTTACCTCTCTCGCTGCAAGGATTATAGTCGTTAGTTGTGAGCGATCTCCCCACTCCGCAAGGAAAGTTAGGCTGAATGCTTGAAGAAATATTCTGGAGAGCAGCATGAATGCGCTAGATTTAGTTTTTCGTATAACACCAGTTTCAGGATCTTGAACCAAAGTACTCGCTGTCTCCTTTTCATACTGAAAATTATAACATTTAATGATTATTCAAGGTCTGTAAAAATGTTTGTAACATTATTTGAACATATGACTCTTTTCTCATATATTTTAAATGTTTTCTTAGTTGTATGAAAGAGTGTTCACTTTTTAAGTATTTTTTTATAAATATCCTTAATGATAGTGTAGTAGAAAAATATTTCAAATATAATTGAGAAAAATATATGAAAATGGACATCAAGTGAAAAATTATATAGAGAATTATGTGTATTTTTCCACAAAAAATCCACTAATTATATTTTTATAATTTTTTATATAAATTTAATATTTAATAATTCTATATATAATTTGGTTTTAACATTATTTTTTTATATATTTACATAGAACATTGTGTTGTATTTTCTAAATTTATAAATGTGACATTATAGATTGAAGTACAAAAAACTAATAATTCACATAAAACATACTTCGTCTTCTCTTTTCCTTAAATCTGATTGAACTTCCTCTAACTCTTCCTGTGCCTCTGTTGGTGACATATAATATCCATCTCGTAGCATTTTTAATCCAAACAAGGCAAAGAGTAAAGTGGAAATATAATAAGTGTAGGCGCGAGGTATTATAGTAGCTGCATATCCAAACACCACTGTAAATAAAATATCACTATAGAAAACATGTCTATAAGATTACTATGTAAATTAATTACTATGTAAATTAATTGTTGCAAATTACTCATCTATTTTAATTTTTATTCAAGCAAGATGTACTGTATTTATAAGATACTTCTGTTGTACATCAAATTAAATTTATACTTCTGATATATCTAAAATTTAATTTTGATTATTTCAGTTTTATTTCCATTATTTATTTGAATAAAAGTTTCATTTACACTTCAATTTAATTATTTATATATTCTTAATACTGTTAAATACTGTGCATATTGTTTGTTTGGATAAGAATTACACCTGATGACCATATTTATAATTTATTGATTGAATTATTCTTGTGTAACAAATGTATCTAGATAAAAGTTACAGATAGTTAATATTATTATAAATTGCTATAAATGATAATCTCTATAAAATTATCATTGTGACATGTGTTGAATACCTGATAGAATAGTCATTAATGCAAGTGCACTAATTGCTCCAGCAAACACTGTCAATCTTGGATGCTTCATTGCCATAATAGCAGCAATGAAGAAAGTTTTATCACCCAATTCTGATACTACAATTACTGATAAAGATGCTATAAATGCATGCAAAAAACCCAGTTTGTCCTCTGGCTTTTCTGACATAAATTCTTCTCTTCTCTGAAAAAAATTTTATTAGTTAAGACATTTGTTTCTTCTCAATATTTAAATGTCTAACTCAAAATTCTCAATATTTAAATGTCTAACAAAAGTTTCGAATTTCTTCTTTCAAACAATTAAACCACAAAGGTTTCTTTACTATATTTTGGAATATGAAAATCTGAGTTCGGAAGTTTGGATCAAAATTTATTTGATATTTTCTAGATTTTGAAATTTAATTTTATATGTATGACTATTTTAATATTCGTTAAGACTTGAAGATTTCAATTAAAGACTTTGGAGTTTTATAAAACATTTTCTCTAAGGTTTCAAAAAAAACTTTAATATTTTTCAAATGTCTCTTGTATGTTTCACATACAAGAGACATTTGAAAAATATGTGAAAACATAAATAAATTAAACAAAATACTCTTTTTAAGAGTTAAAGTTTTTTTTGTATTGTGACTAAGAACGAAGTCACGAGATTTGACGGAAGTATTGAGGTCTATCATAGAACTCACCGTTGTCGTCGCGATTAATTGGGCTTTTTCATTGTAACGTAGTTCGATCTCGCCGGCAACGGTCGAAATATAAATCAAAAGTAGAGAACAAACGTAGAACAAACTTTCGGGCCACATTGTACGGATACGATTGGAAGAGTTCATCGTTTATTATTATGGCTATTGTGCCGTGCCGTTCACTGCGAGATAACCTCAAAAAAAAAACAGCCTTCAACAATATCTACAAATATACCGAAACTGCCATACTGTGGTTCCTGTGAATGCTGTCGTGATAAGGTTATGTCACGTCGCTAGCGTGAAGTACAGCACGACCTCACGAATGAAACAACACGAAATGAATCAAGGTTGGTCGATAACAACTAATTGTTCAAGATGCAACTATACGGATTGTTTGGTGTCATCTAGCGACAATCTGGGAAAACCTGTTAGATATTGACATGATTCAAATTTTGGCCGATAAGATTCATGTTTGTGCTAAGTGGACTTTATTAATTTGAATTAAGTAGTTTCTATCGCCAAATTATGGAATGATAATACAACTTAATGACAAATCAGAATTTTTATTCACAAATATTTCTGAGATATTTCTATCGTTTTCGTCAGTAAACGAAAGTTATTTAATTATTTTATTACTATTTTATTACTTAAAAGAAGGAGGGGGATTCTCAAACGTGTATTCAACTTAACATGCATAAAAAACACAAATACTTTTCTCATTTTATTCTCGTTATATTTTATACTTGTTGAAATCCAAACACATCTATTTGTCATCTATCGACGAAATGATATATAATAAATATCCGCATTATATCCTAAAATTAACAAAATAGCTTTCCTTTGTTTTTGTTGTTTTTATCTTGGTCTAAAGTATGCAATTTTTTCTCTTTTAGAAGCTTTCCTTCTTCCTCCAAAGACATCTTTTTATAAATTTAAATGCAGCATCCGTCGTAACAACAACCAACCTTAGCCAATAGTTTATATATATCCATTATTGTTATTAATATTATTACTATTATATATTATTATTCGAGAAAGACGTTGCGCGAAGCGGATAAATCAGGTGTAAACGATAATTCTATCGATTATACAAGCTTTCAAATATCTGTCTATCACACGTCAAGTCGCGTTAGCGAGAATGTTGAGGAAAGCGATAGGGAACAGAAATTACGAAAGTACTCGGAATATATAGCTTGTTACATTGTTCCTTCGCCGTGAAATAACTTGCTTGCGAAAAATCAAAAAGGAGAGAGAGAGAGAGAGAGGAAAAAATAACGGAAGAGGAGGCAAGATACATCGCGTTCACTTAATACTGGCTTACTCACACCATTCTACGGAATTATATTTCAAGCAGGAATTGATAAGGATATAATCTGGCAGAGTTCAGATTCGGATACCGCGGAGGTATACGATAGTGATCCCGTATCTTCGGTAATAATGCTCAATCGCGAGTAAAATACGACGTGTTTGACCTTAGATCTCTTCCCTCGCATACCTGCAACGCCAATAACCGAACTCACCGAAATTACATAACTTTCCATTTTCAATTTCCACTGGGCTAATAGAATACAGCTTAAAGATCATTGAGTCGTCTTTATCCCTAGTAATTTACATCCGATTCTATACAATACAGCGATGTACGTACGTGGACTGTGAGCTAGAAGAGCTTCCGACTATTCGCTTAAACATTTCCTACGGATCGAACTGTCCTTCTTCTCGTTAATGTTATAGAGCATTTGTTCCGCAATTCGCAACTGTAATTTTAACGATAAATTCTCCGAATAATTGAAAAGCTTACTTCCAGATCGTCTTAAGAATGGCCTAAAACTAAACTTTTCAGCTCGAAATCAGTCCTCCCTTCATAAAAATGTCGAGATATTGCAGCTTCAGAATATTCTATATTACGTATCTTTGTAATTGAACCGATTGGCCGCCGCATGTTGATTTTCAAATATTGTTCCAACCTTTAAATTTGAAGCCAAATGTATAGAAAACACTCATATTCCTTGATGTGTATATTTTTGTTAGTTAATTTGTGTGATTCTCTTCGTTATATATTTAATTTGCGAGGCGCGATTACTTACACTTTACGTGTAAATTAACGAGACGCAGCAAAGGCTTGGTGCTGGTCACCGATGACTTCGCTAGCAATTAATTTAAATGTTAAACTAAAATCCTACAGAAGCAGTTTATTTGAAATTCATCAAAGAGCTTGCCATATGGTTTGATTATATAAATTGCTTTCTTTGAAATTTAACTCACGGAAAGTTTTTTCTTTCTTAATCATAACTCTGATTGATTATATATCGACATTTTTATTGCAGAAAAATCGGCTTTACACTAATCAAAGAATTTGTTGTTAAAATTAAAATAGTAAGTTACGAAGCGTTCTGTATATTCTTCATCATAGAAATTTAATATCGCATTTTGTGTTTTCTTTTTCTCTATTCAACCGCAACGTCATATAGTATATCATGAGCAAGATCTGGCCGAAACGTACAAAGATAGTAACGAAGACGAAGAAATTAAATTTCCAGACAGTGAGCCGAGGCTCTGGAGATTCATCGTAATTATTACGTACATCACGTGACAACGGGATCATAACATCAGAAGCGAGAGACCGAGTGCACATTCTGTCTCCAGTAAATCCTATTTTTATTTAATAATTTACTTTGACGACGTTATAACTTTCTATAGTCACATCAGAGTAAATTATTAATAAATCTATATGAAGTGCTCGATATCTATATATATTTTTTTTTCATTTCTAAACCTCTTGATTTTCTAATTTAATATAAGTCTATTTTAGAGTAACTTAAATTTTCATAAGCTGACAAAGATAAATTAACAAGAATTTTGCAAGATTAAAAGAATTTATAAGAGAAATGAAAAAATGTTTGAATATTTTAACATCTCTATATCACGTTTTTTCTGTTTTCATGATTGATCTATTTCGTATCTAAAAAACACACAGAAGCTTATGTAATAAATTCAAAATTAATCTAAGAAACATATTCTCAACATATCGATATCAAGAAATTGATTTTTACTTTATTATCATATTTTAAACAGTAATTTTTCGTATGCCACCTTTCAACTTGTATTTAATAAGTGAATATTTGATTGCGTAAACACAAGAAATTCTTTTCAGAATGGCCAACATCTTTTACATTTTAAGTAGTTGATCATATGATAAAATATATGATAAAAAGTATTTTCTTCTCACGGAATCTTTATATATGGTTTTAACTATCCAAAAATTAAAAAAATAAAAATATTTCTTCTACATGAATTAGGAAAGAAGCTTGTTTTACTACTAACCATATAGAGAACGAAAGAATATGACCATCGTATAGCGGACATCCAACGTAGCGAAAAACATAGAATAATGTCAGAAAAAAAAAATGGTTTATACAATTTATCGCTTCTGACATTATAATTTATAGCGCAGCGTTCATTTCGAAATATTCGGTGAGGAAAGAAGATGGCAGAAAGACAGATCTCTCTGCTGTACAACCTAAGCAGGATTGACCTTGCTATTATGCGTGCTAGCTGCTCGAAATCGCTATTCTAAAGCACTCTAGACGATAATAAAGAATTCACATTTCGCGCTTCAGACGTAAAAATGAAAAGAAAGGAAAAAAAATGAGTGCGTCACACAGACGTTTGTGAGGATCGATATACGTCTCTCCTCTGTGTTTCTTTTTACGCGGTATTATCGTAAAATATAGAAATTTGTAGAAATCACTATGGCTAAGTCAGTTAAGTAGACATCTGGCGCGATCCGATGTTGTTCGTGCGAATCAGGGTAGAGTATAACGCACGTACGGCACCTCGACATCGTTCCCGTCCTCGTCGTTACAGCACAATTCAAAAACGAGGGCACGCACATGCGGCTCGAGCTTTTTCTTCGACACTTTCTTTACCACTTCGGACATAAGTAGACCCATGCGCTCCTGACACTTCGGTTTCGCCATGAAGAAGGAGTAGAGCATGCAGATGCCCTGGGACAGCATCGTGACCTCGAGATTGTGACGCTCCTTGAAGTAGTCGAGGAACTCCTTGAGCGTCAGCTCGCCTTTCACCTCGAAGCGATCCCACAGTGTCCATTCGATGTCATAGTATTTGAGTTTAGGTGCGGCGATCGGTTCGCTGAAGCCGAAGAACGGCAACGCCAGATTTACAAAGCCGTTCTTGTAGAGTGTGAGGTCACGCACGCCACGCGTCAGCTTGTACAGTTCCAGGCAGACGAGACCGGCTACTACAGACGTTGTAGTAGCGATCGCCGGTATGATCTTACCGGCGATCAGTTTACTCTTATGTCGGTCAGCCGGCGGAATTTTGTAGTTGGTTGCACGTAGATTCGACGCTGCAACAATGAAGTCGATGTGAAAATTGGTGTCGTCATCTTTTTCAAACTCCTGCGGGTAAATAACCAGCCCGTTCAGGTGCTCTATTTTCGGCAACTCCTCCTGCAATTGCGCCAGTCGCTCGTGGTCGATATTACCACTGCCGTTCGACACCTGCACCTATCATAGAAATTTCTTATTAGTTTACAGTTTTAAATGCTTTCGGTAAAGACCTAACATTAGCATCAATATTTTAACTTTCATGATTATTATTTTTGCTCAAAATATATATTTCCGTGAAATCTTATTAAATTTTTATCTTAAGATAATATTAAACCTTTCAAGATTTTTACAAGATTTTCGGAATTTATGGTTATGTGAATACTTTTAGTAAATGTCAAGACATTAGTATTTTTGAGATTTTATCAGGTTCAAGTTTCAAGATTTCGAGACTGAATATCCGATTTCATATAATATTCAAAACGAGCAAAGGCTTTCAGCAATTGTTGTAAACATCTTTATTACCTGCGAGTCCGTTTCGGCTATCTTTACACCAGATTTGGGTGTGAAATCTGGCACTTTTACGATGGCTAAGATGTTAGCGATTTCTTCCCTGTCACGATTAATAGGAATTCCGTAGACTTTGGCTTTGAGATTCGCTCCGGCAACAATGTAATCCATGTGCAAGGGATCATTGATATCGAAGACTAACGGGTCTGGGCAACGTTTGGGACCGGACCAGAATGGCTGACCGCTTGAGGTCACCTGATCCGGCGGGAAATTGAACAACAATTGACGGATCTGATTACTGTATTGCTCCTGCCAATGGCAACGTGCCCATTCCACACATTCAGCAAAGGTGGTAGGCCGCTCATCCACTAGCGCAGTTTTTACAGACTCCAATACTTCCAGTGGTTGCACACCAGGTAGCTTGAGCGTCCGCTCGACAAATTGCGAATCCGAAATGTACTGCGCGGCATTTTCAGCTGCTTGACGAAATAGACCTTCAAAACTATCGCGTGCCCATTGTAGCGTGTGCTCGATCGCGTTGGGGAAATTTTTTAGTGTACAGATCGGTATACTCTTCTCTGGCGGGTCTTGCGACGAGCTGTATGATTCGGTGAGGAATGGTACCACCACTTGGGTGTTACCCTTGGTGCCGAGAGTGCCGGACTCAAGCAAAGGTTTGCGATAATAGACGCAACGTCGATCCATGTAGATACGTGCATCTACATTGTCTAATGCGTTCGCCACGCCATCCAGCGCCTCGAAAAAATCATCGTTGTAGATTTTCTCAGTCTCCGGACACACACGGTTCTCGTGGGCGATCACCTTCATATCCGGATTCATACCCTTGATTACTCGCGCCGCCGTCGACGATTTGGACTGTTGAACATCGGATGGTCGGAAAAGGAACTGCCGATTCAGATTGGACTTCTCGATCAAGTCCATATCCGTCACCGTCACGCTACCGCTTTTCACACCTACGCCGATCATGGCGAAGTTTTTGAGTAACTCGCAGCCGATCGCTCCCGCGCCCACCACGAAGTATTTTAAGCTACCAATCTCTGATTGATATTTTCGGCCAAAAACGGCTATCTAGAAAAACAAAACATGTATTAAAAATTGTCAAGTAACTAAATTAAAGAGATCAATACTTCGATTTTTTAAATTATAATTTTGTAAGTGATTATCTGATCCAAGAATTTTAATCGGAATTACCGTATTGTTAAAATAATCGTGTGTAAAAAATAATATTACCATCAGATCGTATTTTACAAAAATTGCAAAGATAACAATTTCAAAGTTCTACAAATTCGTGATATAATGGGCAAATATTGACAACAAGTTTAAACTTGCTTGTTCCAGTTTTCAACTATTCCTCTAATTTATTCCTTTTAATTCAAAATATCAGAATAATTAAAAAAATATATATTTTTTTTACTTGTTTAATCAACAACCCTTCGACAAATTTTCATCAATTATTTTCGTACTTGAGAGTCATAACGAGATCCAGTAGGGCAGCAATCCTCTTCGGTGAGTTCTGAACGGTCCGCGGGCAAACACTCTATCGCGTCGAAATACAGCCACTGATATATAGGGTGAAACTTGCCAGAGCAGGCTTTCATCACCTCCTGGGCGACGATACCGCCGATTGTGGCATTCATGGGGTTTAAGTCACCAGCCGACACTTTAGCGAAAGTGCGTAGTAGCTCATCGTTGATCTCCGTTTCGAAGCCATATGTATCCTTGACCGTGTTGGCGATTTTAACAAGTTCATCGGCATCCGCTTCATTCCACGGCCGCGGTAATGCGCCTTTGGCAGACTCATACTGATGTAGTGCCAGAAAAGCCAGATGTAACTGTTCCGGATAATTGAACTTGCCAAAGTCTGTGATGAGGAACTCTGGTTTCTTCAAGGCATCCTCCAGCTGCATGAAGTGCAAAGTCTTTGGCATTTTCACCTGTGTTACGATGCCACCGCGAATGTATTCGGAAAAACTGTAATTTTAATGAATCAATTAATTATTACACTAGATGTCAACAAAAGTTAACTAAGCTAAATATTTTACTTTTCTGATACGTCACAGAAGAGGTTCTGACATTTCAAGTTTTTCTATAATAAATCTTGAATGAGAAAAGTTGTTATATTATAAAAATATAAGTTTTTTATATTTATGATATATTAATCGCTTATGTTATTTACAATTATTATTGTTTATGATATAAATAAGAGCTATATGAAGTGTTTCTCAAGAACTTTAAGACTTCTTTAGAGCTCAACATATTTAATTGCTGCGTGTCTCACCTGGCAGTGTCGCCAATGCTAAAGGTATATGGCCCCAGCACTTTGATCTTAATTGGATCACAACCGTTCAATTCAATCATACCCTGTATCTCGGAGAATGTCACGTAATCGCCATCTTCCATACCATGACGCGTGTCGTCCAAACACGTAACGACTCCCTCGTTATCGCGGGATATACTAGCGACCATCGTGCTCACTGGCGGCTCGCCATTGGTATCTACTACCGTGAATGTTTCACCGAAATCGCAGAATATTTGAGAAAAGAGGCCACGGGTGTTGGCAATGATCAGGGCAATATCGTTAGCCCGAGTGATTTGCGAGATGCGCAACTGCTCAGAAAGTGATGTTTCTGTCAGTACCACAACTTTGAATTGCTGAATGTACGAATCACTCAATGGTCCGGTGTAATGACGAGTTGGCACATAGTTGTTCAACTCCGACAGCCGTTGGCAGCATGCAGTTGCACGATTTTTACCTGCAAAATGATAACAATGTCAGTGATATTCAAGCATCAATCTGAATAATCATTTGTCAGTTATTTTGTTTTTTAATCAATTAACTTATTGACATCAATTAATCAGGTAATCTAGTTATCTTTAAATTTCTAATTATCTTTAAATTTTAATTAAATCCAGTTATCTTCAAATTTTCTTTGTACCTTTTTATTTTACTCAAATTATTTTAATTCTATTAAATATCTTTATTTTATTTAGTTACTCAAATAACTCCAATAATTTCTGATTTTGTATCAAATCTTTTTATCACATATTTTATATAGTATCTTTTAATAGATATAATTACAGGTCAGGTAACTTATTATTAGGTGACCTAGCATTTTGCAAGACAATCTTTTCATGACTTGCATATCAATAACATGTACTTTACAGTTGCATTCTACTTTTAGCAAGTATGATGAATAACAGCAAATGAATGGTTCGATAAAATAAGAATTCACATAACAATGGCAGCAACTAAGCTTTATCTCAATTTACATCTTATCATCTTAGAGATTATCCTTTGTGAGTTTATCATCATTTTCAAAGTAAAAGCAAATCTTTTATATCATTCAGATAAATCTCTTTTGATCAAAGAACAATAATCATATTTATAATAATTTATACAAATCAATCATTTCTTTCACACTTGCTCCTTCTACAAGGTAATATGTATTTGTATTATTCCAAACACAGGGAATGCAGCTGGAATAAATAGACCTGAAGAAACATTCAAATACTCGTGTATTCTGTTATTTTCCAACAAATTTCATATATTTCACATTCTTTGTAGTTATTCATTGTTTGTTTTCTTGCTTTCTCTTACCTACATCCGCCTCTGTAAGATAGAACTGTGAGCCCAGGTCAGCCAGTTTGCACACAGCATCGTCATGCAGAGCGACTGATTTGACACCACCGAGGATGACGTTCTTAGCTATCTCGACGCCGAGGCCACCTAGACCAGAGATGAGTACATCTGAAGAAGCCATGCGACGCATAGCATCGTGGCCGAGTACATAGAGCTGTCGTGAGTATAAGCCCTCGTCGATCTCCGCCGGGCCGCCGGCACGTGACACAGTGGTAGAGCTGGAGCCAGAGCCGCTACTCGTGGAGCCGTTCGCCTTCGCCATGTCCGCGTTCGTCGTCAGCGGCTGCTCGTCGTCGGTACTTCCCGTCGTGCTGGCAGCAGCAACGCGTCGCTTCTTGGCTGGGGGATCAACGGAGCTCTCCGCCACCTCAGCACTAGACATCGGACTTCACGGAGTCACACCGTCGATTACGTGTGCTCGTCGATTGTTTCCCCTGATTGTTCTGTTCTTCGCGTTTTCTTTCTCTCTTTCTTTCCCTGCCTTTCCGTCTCTCACTCACACGCACACTCTATCGCTCGCTCTCACTCTCTCCTCTTCTCACTCCTCTTTTCTCCTGACTTTGCTGTCAGCTCTGCTCCACCGATGCCGTGATACACGCACACAGCTTGACCACGTAACTGCACCTCAGCTACAACGCCGACGACGGCACCACGTAAAAGACAGATCAGTACCGACGCGCACAAACCAATCTCACATTAGCCGTTGCCGTACGTCGCTTCACCTCCTGCTGCTGCTCCTCCACCGCCGCCACCCCTCCTCCTCGCCGTCGTCAGAATCTCCTTCTCCCACTTTCGCCACCGCCACGATCACCTTTGTCTGTCTAATTATTCACGAGCCGTCTTCTGCTTCCACGTATCCACCTGGAGACCACCGCCGCCGCCGTCGCTGTCACCTACGAACTTTCTCGGACTACGTTAACGATACTCTCGAGAAGCACACCATTCAAGAAGGATCCACCATTCGACGTACCGACGCTGCCCGCGTTTCTCACCCCTTTACCCTCTCGCGCTCTTTTCTTCGCTGTTGCCACACGCAACTTCGGGCAGTTTCGCCGGCTCATTCGTGATCGACTTTACGTCTGTTCCTCTCAACTGCACTCACTACACTTTCCTTTGATTCATTAGCTGCGTTCAGTAGAACAAAATGATCAGTGAGCGCTTAAGGCCCAGTTCCGTTTCACGCATCGAGCGCATCGATCGCAACCAATGCATTTGCGCGCATTGATATCGTTCCGTTTTCGTTAATGCGTCTATGCGCTTTTGGAAACGGAACGACTTTTAATGTGTTTGATGTGAAAGGAAAAATGGATGCTACTATGGTTACAATGGACATCGAAACATTGACAACAATAGCCTTATTTTCATTAGTGAATGATGACAACAGAATTAGCAGCAGTAGTAGCAGTAGTAGTAGTGAGTCTATATTTTATGAAGAAATCTTGATGAGAAAAATATTCACACACATGCATTAATTTAAAAATACAATTGAACTGTTTCTAAAACTTAAAAATTTCAATTTTACCTTTCAATGCTCTTAACGCGATCTCTTTTTCGAGAAACATAGTGATCATTTCGTTATCCACTAAGGCCCAGTTCCACAACTTGCTTTAAACTCCGTTTAAAGCAAGTTGTGGAACTGGGCCTAATACGGGGAATTCAACTTTGTCGACTTTGTCCATTGTACGTATCTGTGATTATCTGTATCTTTAAAATCAAAAAATATCGGTACGTTAAATATATCAGTCGTCACGTCACGTTGTCAGTATTTAAATAGGGTTATATAAAAGATTATAAATACTAATTTACGCATGCTCGCATCAACTGCTTCTAGTCCGAGCTGTAGTAGCTGATGTGCGCTTAATGCGATGGAGGTAGGGGGATTCTAGGGAATTCTATACGCCACCAATGCACGCATTAGCTGAAACGGAACGGTTCTGGATGCAGTTAATGCGCTCGATGCGTGAAACGGAATGGACTCTAAAGCCAGCGGCACACGGTGCTTGTTTTCGTGCTGGATTGCTTGCTGGATGAAAATACTGCATTCCGATTGATACATTTCTGAAGATGGATGGAAATGCACTAATCAGAACGCAGTATTTTCATCTAGCAAGTAATCCAGCACGAAAACAAGCACCGTGTGCTGCTGACTTTAGTGATTATTGTCTGTGATTGGAGCATTCTTTTAGATTCTTCATAGACCCAGAAGTATGGTATCCATGAAGATTTCCCTTGCGTGACCAAAAAAAAAGATTCAGAAGTATTTACCAATCAAGAGCGAGAATCACTAAGCGCTCACTGATCACTTTGTTCTGCTGAACGCAGCCATTTCTTTCTTTTATGTCCGTTTCCATCAACTTTGATTATGTAATGTCCCTCCATATTAAAATTCCCTATCTTCTCACCAAAACTCACCATACCTTTTCTTATTCAATCAAATCTTTACCCATTATCGACTAATCCAACTGCAGCGTCTCCTACAAACACCTCTGCAATCAACAAGTATCTCTGCCGTCTTTTATTGTTAATATAATATAATATCATTACTACTCGAAACTATTTACTAAATTATCATCTATCTTTTTCTTTCTCTTTCTTCCTTCTACTTTCTTGCTTCGTTTAGTAAGCGATAAATTACCAAACAATTAAATAACAAAAATAATATTAACCTTTTAACTGCTGAGATATTAAGTGACTAGTATGACCCTCTTTGCTGAGTTATTTTTACAATTATAAAATATTTTATAATGGTCACTGTCACTCAAATCTGATAAATCAGAAGGTAACGCTTTTTAGAAACTAAATGAAATGAGTATTACACATTGAAAGTCCAAATCGAGTAAACTCGATCGTAGCAAGGCCGCTATTTTTTTCCACATTCGAGTTATCTCGACCGTAGCAATTAAAGGGTTAAATAGCATAAAATGAATAAAATTAACATTAACATAGGACTGAAGCAGACATCGACATAGTAAATATATAAAATAAGAAAGGAGAGAATAAGAAAATTTAAGGAATAAATTTAGAGCTAGCTTATAGATTCATTTGTCTCGGAGACTAAGAACGATTTCGTTCGGATACAGCTGCGCACATATTGGAATGTGTTTATGTTATAGATATCATCGAGCGATAGCTGTTCCACGTACTGCGAAACAAACAAAAACCCCAAACAAAGACCCGAAGAAGAAAATAATTTCCTCTTTTTCTTCTATTTTTCTTTTTAAATAATATTAAATAATTGCCATCATATTTCGCAAATAACTCTTCAAATATTATTGTCAAACCGCATATATTAATGTATATGCGCTTTAGAATCGTAAGAGAATCTATTCGTATTATTTAACTTTAACAATTACCAGCCCGTATGAAATAGTTTTTAAATATTCAAAATTTCCAAATTCTTATATTATACCACAGGAAATCAATAACATTTTCATTTCTTAGTAAAACATAATTTTATTAATAAATCAGCCAACAACGAGACAACTGAATTACCAAACGCTATATATGATTAAGTATAATTTTAATTACTAGATAATAATATCTTTATATTTTTTAACCAATAAATAATGAATAGTGAATTAAGAAAAGACGCTCAATTGACACCCATAATGTCGGGCTTGGGTATAAAAAGGGCCCTTCGCGCGCAATCAGTCTCTAATCAGTCTATTGTTAGCCTCTAATCAGCTATCAGACAGTCTTTCGCTGAGCCTCTTGTTAGCCGATTGCCAAAGGATCTCGAGCCTGGAATCAGAAAGGTCGGTATTAAAGATTATTGTTCTTAGGACTCCGTCTGCAAATGCTAAGACTTTGTTAAGACGTAAAATCCAAATCATTAAAGGTCGAACGAGCCTTTTTTTTTATCTCGCAGGGGAAATCCATTATGGATACTCCCGACCCTTGGGGGGGTCGGGAGTTATGCCGGACTCCTATCGGCTAAACCCCCTGCGGGGTATCTACCTTTCGGACCATGGTGGGGGAGTCAGGGGAACTACTCTCGTATTCCCTCCCCGACGCCCCAGCCACAAAGCTCATCCTAAGAGCCCCCCGCCTATGTACCGCGCCCCCTCCCACAAAGGGAGTCGGGGGCGCGGTCCCCGGCCGGTTGCCCGACCGGGGACCGGGTTGACCTTCTAGTTACACTTACTGGAGGGAGGGGACACCCATCCTCCCTCCGCGCCTTCTTGTTCGTCAAGGGGGCGGAGGAGTGGAGCCCAGCCCCAACCAGGCTTCCACCGCCCCTTCGCCTGACCCCTACCGACGCTAGGGGGAGGCGGGTTGTGGGCTTCACTCACCCGTCACCCCCTCCCCCCGCGCGTCCAAGGAGGCGGCCTCCGGCGAGCCGGTGGCCGCTCCTCCTCGGCCGGCGCCACCTCGGGCCCGCTGCCCATACCGGGGGAGCGCCGCCTTCTCCGCCGCTCCCTGCGGCGGTTGCCAGGGCGGCGCTCCCATCAGGTCGAACGAGCCTTTTTTCCTCATAATGATACTATAGAAAATCATTTCTATTACTTGAATAAGTATTGAGCCAGCTGTTAACTATATTAAATTTAGTGTATAAATTGTAAAACTTAACAATATAGAGTAATTTTATAATATATATATACAGGGTGTTTGATAGCTGATCATGCAGACGAAAGTTGGAGATAGATTGGGTGTAGCCGAGAAGAAAAGTCATGAACCATAATGTCAAATTGGCAATAGTTATCGAGTTATTAATTAAAACATGTGAGCCAACGAGCGCGTAGAGAGCGGAGGGCGGCCGCAGTAAGCATGTAGACATTTGATACAGGCGGAGTCAATGAGTGTCGGTAGACAAGCGCGCGCGGCGAGGGGCAACGTAAGCGACAAGAGGCGATCGTGCGCGTCGAGGGGCAACGTAAACAACAAGAGGCGATCACGCGCGACGAGGAGCGAGCGAGCTTTTTCTTTATAGCTATTTCCTTATAGCTCGCTCGCTCCTCGTCGTTCGCGCTCGCTCGCTCTTTGTCGCGCTCGCTCGCCTCTTGTCGCTTGCGCTCGCTCGCTCCTCGTCGTTCGCGCTCGCTCGCTCCTCGTCGTTCGCGCTCGCTCGCTCCTCGTCGCGCGTGCTCGCCTCTTGTCCTTTACGTTGCCCCTCGCCGCGCGCTCTTGTCTACCGACACTCATTGACTCCGCCTGTATCAAATGTCTACATGCTTACTGCGGCCGCTCTCCGCTCTCTACGCGCTCGTTGGCTCACATGTTTTAATTAATAACTCGATAACTATTGCCAATTTGACATTATGGTTCATGACTTTTCTTCTCGGCTACACCCAATCTATCTCCAACTTTCGTCTGCATGATCAGCTATCAAACACCCTGTATATGTGTGTGTGTACAGATTTCTTTACCTCTCTTCCCTCACTGATTATCATCTTCATTATTTTTCCAGAACGCAGTGCCTGAACCACGAGCACCGTTCTTCTCTTCCTTATTTTAAAGCTAAGACTCCATGCATGCGGTGAGCTCCGGCAAACGGCTGCGGTGACCAATCAGGAGACAGACGCATGCCGGAGCTTGCCGCAACCGGACTTGCGCCTCCCTCCTGATTGGTCATCGCAGCATTTGCCGCAGCTCACCGCATGCATGGAGTCTTAGCTTTAGAGTGTTGTGCTTGAACCACGAGCACCATTCACCTCATTTCCCTAAGAACAATAGTGCTTGAACCACGAGCACCGTTCTTCTCTTCCTTACTTTAAGTGTTGTGCTTGAACCACGAGCACCATTCTTCCTCATTTTCCTAAGAATGATAGTGCTTGAACCATGAACACCGTTCGCCTTTTTATTCTTTAAACTTAATCACGTCCCTTCCATCTACCTTATTATAGATATTGTTAAAATAAGTATCACGAAAAACCTCTTATGCCGAAAAGAACAAGGAGAGCCGGACGGCAGATTCAATTTAGACGTTTGTTAAAAAGTTATTATAACCCAGGCATGCTCGACCTAGCTGTTTTCAAAACAGATCCATCAAAATCTTCGGTCCCGAGAATAAAATCTGAAATAAAGGGAAATATATTTGAAGTTAAATTCAACACTAGCGAGAATATTATTATTTTTAAACCTAACAGTAACCCACCTCCAAAGGTAACAGATTCAAATAATAAAGATATAAAGATTTGGACAAGAATAGCGCTGATCCGAAGTAAACCAAACGAATCTAGACATTGCATGTTCTATGCTTGTCCAGGACGTAACAGTTAAACCCCTTGCACAATGCCAGGCAACAGGCAATAAGAATAAAAATAGACCAATCACAATAGATTATTCTTGTAATAGTCGATTGTGATTAGTCTATTTTTATTCTTATTGCTTGTTGCCTGGCATTGTGCAAGGGGCCTTAAGGAAGGCCATGTTCCAAAATTCACTGCCAGTACTGAAAATATATAGTTTGTGTCACGCAAACTATAACTTTTCAGCGCTGGCAGTGGATTTTGGAACACGGCCGAAGGCTACGTTCCGAAATTCACTGCCAGAAATGGATATAAAAGGCATGCCGTTATTTTCTGTTGAGAAGTTTTTGCAATATCGTCTCTTACAAGAAACCATAGGGAACTCGGAAATTCGAAAAGTTATGAAACTTTGTGTGGAAGTAAAATAATTTATCCGTAATGCAAAACTATTTTTTGTTTGTGCGGAATTCCAGTTTGAGGGGGTGAAATCACTCTTCGAGAAAAAAAATCATTTTCATTTTTAGCATATATCTTTTAAAATACGAAGCATATGCAAAAATAGTTTACATGAAAATTGTAGTGTATTTAATACTCTTTGCAATTGTGTATTCAGATTTTGCAAAATTGAAAAATTTTTTAAAACACCTCCTCCAATTTTGCAAAATCTAAATACATAGTTGTAAAGAGTATAAAATACACTACAATTTTCATATAAATCATTTTTGCATATGCCTCGTATTTTAAAAGATATACGCTAAAAATGAAAATGGTCTTTTTTTCGAAAGGTGATTTCACCCTCTCAGATTCCACACAAACAAAAAATTGTTTTGCATTACGGATGAACTACTTTACTTTCACACAAATGGAGTCCGATGTCCAACGTACGATTTCCGATATCTAATAGAAGAATCCAATAGAGAATTCAATTAGAAAGCTGCCATGGAACTATGTAAATGATAGACGAAGAAATAGAAAGAAATTTCCTGTCTATATAAAGAAAGTAACTATGTAAGTAGAATCGTGCATCATCGGGCTGTTTCGGTTGTCATCCGAAATGCTAGAAATAGAAAGACCTTCATAGCTCTTTCTATATCTATTTCCTAACTTTTACAGGCAGTTTGTATAATGACGTGTGTATGTTCTCTAGTTTTAGGATGTCTATGTTCTTGCTAATGTTATTAATGAGTGGTAAAGTGAGTGAAAATTCACATGAATTTAAAAGAAATCATGGGTAAATATTATTTTATATTATATTGAATATATATATCTTATCACACACACACACACACACACACACACACACAATTACTTAATTTAATTAAATTCATATTTGAACCACCTTGTATTTGTTCCATTTCTTATATTTTAATCAATAATGAAATAAAATATGAAAATTATATTAAAATCTTTGCCCTGGGATGTCTCTGGACGTCTCCAGGAGATTTAAGCTAAGAGTCCATGCATGCGGCGAGCTGCGGCAAATGCTGCGATGACCAATCAGGAGGGAGGCGCAAGTCCGGTTGCGGCAAGCTCCGGCATGCGTCTGTCTCCTGATTGGTCACCGCAGCCATTTACCGGAGCTCACCGCATGCATGGAGTCTTAGCTTTATGCTAATCAAATGGATTGCTTCAATCTCTTAAAAATATGCGTTCTAATTGTAAATTTTCTTTTTCTTCTTCTTCTATTTCTTCTCCCATTAAAATTCTCATTATTGCATCCATTGGTCTATCTCTTTGTCTCCCTCTTTTTATAAATATTAATTTCTTTTCTAATAAATCCTTTTTAGTTGAAGATTGTTTAATATTCACTAACTGAGAGAGAGAGAGAGGTTATTAGAAATAAAATAATAAATTAGTTTATTATAATTATTAATATTCTTATTAATAATAAGATATATAAATAAAATGTATACTTACAGGATAAAGATGACAAAAAATCTTATATATATTATTAAATGAAGTTATATTAGCTGTCAGTACACATTCATTTAATTCATAATGGAAAAAAATATCAAAACAGCCAAATAATATTTAGTAATTTCATAAAAATCACTATACTATTTTATCCGTTGCCGAACGTTTTTAGCTAAAACATTAAAGATAGTATAACACAATCCTCTATAACCAAAGATTCCCGATCTATCATAGACTACGTTTACACGGCTTCTAACTTCGACTTAAGGCCATTGCACGTACAAAAGTTTTAGTCGTAACCGTAAGTCCGTAAGCAAATTGACCAATCACAATTCGTATATTTCGAGATGCTGGATTGTGATTGGTCAATTTGCTTACGGTCTTACGGTTATGACCAAAATTTTTTTACGTGCAATGGCCTTTAGTAACGCTAATGTTATACTCCTACTTAAGGTAAGTTGCGTTTACACATTTACGCTTATCTATTTGAAGTAACTTAATAACTTTCGAGTGAATCGAGGATTTCCATTAGTATCAATATAAAAGACCGAAAAATGAAATGATTGTGATTGTAGTCTGAATATAAAAGAATTAGAATATGAAAAGAATAGTATGTAAATAAATCAACAAATAAAGTGAACTTTTAGGTTATATTATGAATTTGAAAATTATAAAATATGTATATATCTATATAGTAAAATTTATATAATAAAATATAATATTTAACTAAAAATGAAATTAAAATTTTAGGTTATCAATTTTGGAAAAAATTAATCATGGAAAATATGGAAAGCGTACGCTCGTTTGTTGTTATATATTTGAAAATAGTAGAAAATATGACGATGCAATATATACTATATGTACGAAATATTTTGATTAAACGGCGAAAACGTCAGAAAGAAATCTAGCATCGTGGACACAAGCCTTTACTGCTTGCGGCCATTGTAGACCACACTTTAATTTGTTTGTGCCCGTTTTTTTTGCAACCTTCGGAATACATCCCGACTCGAGAAGAATGAGAGTCACTGCTCCGCCTTCGGTGCACGCTGCGCAGGACTCACTGGCGGTTACGCCATAAATGACTCAAATGGAAATGAAGTACTCCAGGCATACAAAAAAAAAAAAAAAAAAAAAAAAAAAAAAAAATAGCATTAAATGGAAATGAGAGAACACAGAACAGACAAGAATCATCCGATGTAAGTCTTATACTCCAGGGAACATCCGAAAAAGGTAGAGATAAATAAATATATTTATGTTTTTAAAACAATACGAATTAATTAAGAGAATTAAGCTGCATTACGATAATTAGATTCTGTTATACATTTATATGTGATTTATTGTTTCAGCAACAGCCATCTTCTATAGCAGAAGCAATGGTATTAGATACAGAAGCAGCTGTTATAGCGAATTTTGAATTTTTGGGACATACAGACATGACATGGAAGAGGAAGATGGAGATGAAATTTATGATGCAAATACAGATACCAAACCAAATAAAGTAACTTTTATTATCATCTTGCGTTTTAATGATATTGTTCACACTATTTGTTAACATAATAAAGATATAATTTTTTACTGACCAACATATAAAATTGTAGCTCTTCGTTTTCATTGATTTAGAACAGATACCTCACAGCGATCTCCAATTTTATATAAAGTGGCTAAACGTTCTTCTGCCTCCTCCTCACGTTTTTTCTCTTTTTCTTTTTTCTCTTCATTTCTGCTCTTCTTTTCATATCTTTTTCATTATATTTTCCTTTGTTCTTCTCAAAAACATATTTTGCCATGTGTGCATGTAATTACAAGATGTAAGAATATTTCCATGTATCAATATATCTTCTCATATATAAACATAATAGAGTGGATCCGGGAATGGAAATTATGGAGCTCTTTCTCTCTCGAGAGGGTTTTTTCCCTTATATTTTTATATAATATGAAAAGAGAGATCGTGATGGCTGTGTAGATCAGAGCGGATATCAAAATATCAAAATACATGTTGAACCTCGAAGTAGTCAGGGTAAGCGGATTGCCGCGAATACCTTCACTAGCTTTGTGCGCATTCTCTCGGTACTCCTTCTCCATCTCCTTGTTCTTGAAAAAGAGAGTAACGTTGGACAGCGGTGGCTTAACGAAGTACGAACGTTGAGAGCTCACGTTGTCTTAGACACATCTTTAGAGAAACGAAAGACCGGCTTAATGGATTTTGCCGTCACTTGTGCAACACTTCTGCCAGCGATTCGCTTACCTAATCAACTGGAGATCGGATCGCTTTCGCAGTTTATGAAAGCATGCGCCGCGGTTTATGAAAGCATGCACCGAATGTACCCGTCACTATCGGTGGAAACGGGTAAGGAGGTATCGACGACGAAGGCTCGTGAGTAGAATTTAACGTCCAACTAGAAGTATAATAGCCACTGATCCTGTGTCCTAAAAGATCGCCTTGGGCCATGCCGTTTATTAGGAATAACTGCAACAGGATTGTATAATAATGCAAATGAAACACGTTCTGTGGCAAGTAATTCACTTTGCGGTTGAAGCTGTACAAAATATATACACAATTTTCGGTACCTGCTGTTGTATACTACTTCGCTTGCTGTTGCTCTTGATGCCGGAATCCTTCCTGCTGCATATGGAAGAAGCGTGATTAATCGGTTCTTGACCAGATAATAAGAGTAGAAGGTACAGGATTCGGATCCATCTCGACGTCATTGGTAAGAGGAATCTGCGGACGAAGTCAATTGTGACTGTCGAGAGACTACGAAATATGCTAAGTAGGGAAATGAAGAGAGCCATATACTCGTCTAAACCTATTGCACTCCTCATACGCCTGGACTTCAGGTTTCGCTCGTCCCATGGCGATGTTTCTCCCCCCCTCTATCTCCAGCGGTGTCATCTCCTTGGTCGTTCGTTGCCTCTGCAAGTACTTCCACGGTTTGTTTCATACTTTCTTCTTGCCGTAACTAGCGGTGGACGTCAGGCTCTTGTTGGAATCCTCTTTTTCGTCCATAGTGTCGCCACTATTCTCAGAATCCAAGATACTCAGCAAGGAATTGGCTTTCATCCGGTAGTTGCTCGTGTTGATGACCATGTGGAGATAATGATGATATGGCTTAACCTGAGTATTGCACGACGCCAGACGGCTACGTGACTGCATTAACGGTGAGATACTTTTCGGTGACGTAACGTTCGTGATAAATTGATTCATGAAGTTCGACTTGCAAGTTCGGATGAAATAAGTTTTAATGCCTGAAACGAATAAACAAGTTCCAATATTTTACTCATTGCCAGGCTGTTATGCGATATTTCCAACAACGCACGACACGTAAAATTCCAATTTTGATCTGCTTGCTTTTCTTCCGAATTAATTTACTCACCATTGACTAGTTCTCCTTCTTCCGTAATGTACTGGTCGTCCAGAAATCTCAAAGTATTCTCATTCAAGTGTACACGACCGGGTTTTCCCGTTTCCCGCTCTCGAGTTTATTCGCCAATGTCACATCGTTCGATCAGACATTGAACTTGAATCTTTTTATACCCACGATTCCGCAGAGCACAGTGCCCGTATGCACACCTATTCTCATGTTCACACCTTCCCTTCTTTCGATGTCGAATTGTTTGATCGCTTCGATCATAGCTGTTAGATCATAGCTGTTCGAAGCTGTTAAGATGACAAACGCATAGCATTAATTTAGCACCAGATTTGAAGATATCTGCCAACTACATGTCAATGACATTCCACTCACCTAGACCCATTTCTATGCAGCACTTTGTGTGATTAGGCCTCGGCTCAGGACATCCGCTCACGCAATAGTAGCAGTCGCCCAATGTAGATATCTTCTCACATCCGTGATGCTCGCAGAGATTATCGAAATGTTCAAAGAGATCAAACTGTATTCATTCAAACTGTAACTCTTACATAGCTGAAAAAGCGACTCGACTGAAATACAGGGGAAAATTCTTGGAACTTACATTGTACAATATTTCTGCATCACTGCATCTGTTAACACATAATTGTTCTAATTCTCCTAATTCCAGCGTGGAGTCACCGCCTTCTTTATTATTTAGGCGTCTTGGATCTTGTTATAATCCCCTATGTAATCCTCTATGTAATAAATCTACAGGCATAATTAGATTGTGTGATTATATCTGACAATATTACAAAATATCTATTATTGTTATAGGTTTATATTTTATCTTAAAGTACACGAATAAAAAGGGATTTACTAACCCCTCTGAAGAATTCATTTCCAGATGGATAGAACCAGGTGGCGATTCTTCAATTTCTGTGAGGAGATTTAATTCATTTAATACTTCTGCCTCTGTATCTGTATCAACATCTTCCGCTAGAAGGGGGATAGATGCCGGAAAAATAAGAAATTATCCCACACGGAACATGATATCCATTAGATATCCATAAGTTCTATAGCTCTATGCGCCATCTATCTATCTCCACGGTGGATGTCAAACGAACTTTTATTAGATTTCCATACTAATTCCACGGTAGATGTCCACCACAAATCCATCGTAGATGTTCATTATATATTTATAATGGATGCACAATAGATTTTCACGTATAATTTTTTATTAAGTTTTAATACGATAGTTTTTACGATAGTTTTACGAAGTTTTAATACGATATTTATTGCATTATAATCTGTTCCTAACAATATAAAAAGTGGTTGTAATTAAAATAGTACACCAAATATTGTCAAAATATACACCAAATATTGTCAAAACGTTTTTCTTTATTTCAATGTAGATATAAAATATACCCAGGTAGAACAGAAATGGTGACATCAAAATGACGTCAAAATGATGAGGAAAACTCTTTTTCTCATCATGATTTGGTCATTTTCTTGTCATTTTCATGTCATCATGATTTTTTGTTCTATTTGGGTAGATACATATGGATACATATAAATTAAATAAGAAACTTTGAATTTTTATTTTAGGCAAAACTTAAATATGTGTTTGTTTTTATTTATGTAGAAAGGAGAAAAATAGGCACATATTTAAATCTCTTAGGTCCGATTGTACCTACTCAGGTTGCGTTCGATATTCAGTACTGTAATATCTATAGTATACGTGACGCAAACTATGTATTTTCAGTACTGGCAGTGAATATCGGAACGCAACCTCAGTGAGAAATGGTTCGTCGATTGACGTCGAAACAAGGTCGAATCGATGTCGATTTGATGATTTTGATATCGATTCGACACCGTTTCGACATCGACCGACGAATCATTTCTCACTGTAGTGCGATTCTGTAACTCGTTATTGGAGTTAATGACACTTTCGTCATCGTTGCGCAGCAAACGTATATCGTAGAAAAGCTGCGCAACGATAACGAAAGTGTTGTTAACTCTAATAACGAGTTACAGAATCGCACCACTGGGGAAGAATAAACTTGTGATGTCATTTATGTTGAACTTTACATATAATGTATGCAACGAACAAAGTCTTTTGTTTGCTTCTGCGGCGGTTGGATGTAGTTCCCGTAACTACGCACATTTTTTATCTTGGGGACTATGTACGCGTTCTTGTTTCTCTTTTATTTCCAAAATCGTGATTGATGTAAGAGAAGGAGTGTAATAAATCTGCTCAGAGCCATAAATTGAATGAATGAATGAATGCATACAACAAACTTCGAAAGTGAATATATATTTGATATGTATTAATAGTTTTACAAATTATTACAAATAGGCATAGAATTTTCTCACTGTAATCTAAATATTCTGAGTAAGAGCTTAGAATTGTTCTTAGCATACTTTGTAATAAATTAAATTTTATCAACAGCTATGAAGTAAAAAGAGCTGAAAATAAAATAATATACATTATTGTAACATAGTCAAATTACAAATTGCAATTACAAATATCTGTAACATAGTAAAAATAATTATATATAAATACCACATTACAGAAGAGATTAGATCTCAGCAAACACAATGTTATATGTAACGTACATGTTAGTTATAACTTCCTACTCAACAATGTATACATTTGTACATGTGTTATATAACAGTTATAACTGTTATATAACACATGTGTTACATGTACATTACATGTAACATTGTGTTTGCTGGGATATGTAGTATCTTACTTATAATAATAACAATAAACAATATTTCATACTGTTTAATGTTTCCATTTTGATTTTGTACAGAATGGTTACTCAGAATGGAGTATATTATTGTCCCGCTTCTCCTCATTCTGCCTCCTTGCTTTTGAGTGTCCAAACTACTCCATTATCCTCCACTATATTTTGCTTTGATCGGAATCTGAGATATTGTCAAGTATGGATCCTAAAAATATTTTCTCAATTTTAACCTTATATATATATATATATTTATTGTATTTTAACATTTATTTATATATAATGCATTACATTAATTTCAGTACTTAGTGGAGGCCAGAGCCAGAGTTGGTAGCAGATATAAATTGACAAAATTGATTATTTTCTAACAGGATTACAAAATTGAGAGCAAGAAAGAAATGAGAGTAAGAAATGTCAAACATATCAAAGATAGTTTTGAAGTCTTTGTTTGCTTGATTTTGTATTTTGTTAGAAAATAGTACAAGTAATCGAATTTTCTAACTTACATGTATCAACTGTCCTTGGCCACCTACATACAGGATGGGGGGTTATAAGTTTATAACCTGAAGTGTGAAGGTAGATTGGGTTAAGACAAACATAAAAGTTCCATATCGTTTTGCGAGATTCGCAATAATTATCAAGTTATTTTATGTTTTCTTAACTCAATCTACCTTCACACTTCGGGTTATAAACTTATAACCCCCCAGCCTGTATATCTAAATTACAAATTATAATACTTACTGAATATTACTTTTATAATTTCCAGATTACATAGTGGTTCTTTTCCCCGTAGGCCTTTCCAATTATACCTCTCTGCCAATTTATTCGAAAATGTTTTATATAATATTCTCTTAATGGCATCATCAATTTTCATTCCTTCGATGGATTTTATATATGCTCGCTGGTAAGTAGATTAATATTATTATCTGCTTAATGAATATTGAATGAATGAGTTGGTACTGCATGAGTTGACACTTTGTATATACATGAAGAAAATACATAATATCTTTGTCATAATAGGGAATATCAGGAGAATATGCTATACCAGTACATAATTAAAATGGAGTAAATTGGCAATGACATTATATGCAAGAAAAGTAACAAAAAGAAAAGAAAGTTGATAATTAAAATTGGTAAATAAATGTCTATCATTATTATGTAGCATACACTATTTATATTTATACGATATTTTTTTAAAAAGTATATATTTCTATTTGAAACATTTAGATTTACTAACAACAAATATATATGTATTAACTTACTATTTCAGCATTATGTTGGGAATTACGGTCTTTTAAAATAGTCTCAACTTCTGTTAATTGGAGTACAGTTTGTAATGGAAATAGATTCCAGCATCCTCAAAAGGAAACGTTGTGTTCTGGGCTTCCATTTTCGCATTTGCTTTAACTAAAATGTCCAACAAGGTAAGATTTTGTCTAATATCATATTTAATTGTTGCTATGTCTCTGGTTAATCTTTTTAAATGGTCCACTGCAAATATAAATAATATTATGCAATTATAGACAAATTAAATACATATGCTATATTCTGATAAAAAGATATCTAAGGACGTCTTTAAGACGTCTTTAGATGTCATCTTGCTACTTGAGTACATATATAATACAGAATTTAGAGATCTTACCAATTGCTGAATATGAAAATTGATTATTTAAATTTTCATTTTCATTTTCTCTTTGCAGACTTTCTTGTGTACAGTTTAATCTTTCAATTTTACTCATTCTCAGAGCACTCCAGTTTAGCAGATTCTCACGATTTTTCTGTGTTCTGATTTCAACTATATTCCATGTTTCTTCATCTCTTTCATAACAAGCACTATGATTACTCGGCGCATCTATACATAATATAAAATAAATATATTATACAGCAGGTAAGGAAGAGCAGTTTTAGAATAGAAATAGATATTGTGATAAATTAAATAAGTTAAAGAGAGAGAAAGAAGTACGTATATTATCTGCACTTCTAACAGTTGGATAATTTATCAAATTTATCGAAATTTTTATTTATATTTTAATCTTACTCTTATTTGTAACAACATATGACAGATATGAAATGTTATATAATATTACATTATATTATTACATGAAAATATGTAATATAAGTATTTTACCTTGTAAAAATGAGTGAGAGCAAGAGCTTATATTTTGCAAATCATTGTGTCTTTTTGTAGAATCGCAAAAATCTGTTGTAGACGTACTTTCATGTTCACTTTCATTGCATAGTCGTTGACCTTTTAGTACGAAAATTGAAAAGATATAATATATAATACGAGAGAGGTATGATTTTTTTATATATACCCAGTAAACACAATGTTACATGTAACGTACATGTAGTTGTAATTTCCTACTCAATAATGTAACTGTTATATAACATTTGTGTTTACTGGGTAATAAATGCAATTCAACTTACGTTTTGCAGGAGGACGTGGAGGAATAGGTAATGCTTGTAAATGGCTCTTTTTCGCTTTCAGATGGGGATATAACTTTCTTTGCTCTATGTTTTCTATAATATTTTGATTCTTTCTCAGTATCCGAAGTATATGTAGCCATTTGTGCTTTATCATCGGCTTTTTGTATAGACTAAAAGTATTTTAAATGTTATTAAGAAGCAAAATTAAAAAATAAAGCTATCTTGTTTTAATATTTACAGTATTCGCCAAAAATTCGTTCTATTGGACAAGAAGGCCAATCAACACTTGGTATTTCTTCCTTTTCAATAGCTTTTCGAATTCTTGCGTCTGTTTTATAGCGTAAAGGATATTTGCATATGTTTTCATTTTGTAGCCAAATTTTTGGTATTACTTGAACACCATCAGGAAATTCTGCTACAATGAATCTACCACTCGACATCGTCTGAAATTATATGAAGAAATACATATGCGAGTAATGTTATAAAGATGTCAACTCTTTTATATTGTAATGCATAAAGATCAATCTAATTTCCTCACTTTATTATTTTACTTTTATTATTACCCTTACATTATTTCTTAGATATTAACTCTTCAAGTATTCTTATAATTCGCATAGTAAAAGATATCGTGTGGAAAAATTAACAACAAGAAAAGGAAATCACATTATAATAGATTGTAAATTGTCAAGGAATTTTACAATAATCCATGCAGTTTTATACAGGGTTATTGAAAAGTATAAGACCCCCTTATTATCTCCAGAAGTACGCACTTTTACGGAAAATGACTCGAATAAAAGTTCCAGGGATCATGAAGTACTATCTTTTGATGATCTTGAAATTGACCTTGAACTTGATTTTGAGGATTATTTGAAGGTCAACTCGAAATTTTCAAATGAAAACCCCAACTTCTTACTACGTCTTTTTCTACCAATTAATTTGAACAATTTTTATCTGAAACATTTTATTAGTTGACTAATATTTTTTGATAAAAAAATATTCATCTGCGTAAGACTGTATCGGAGCAGTTTCGTCATGATCATGCAAACCGCAATATTAGCGAAACGTCGGCAAAATGCTCAACGTTGACGCGGCATCCATCCAAAAGCCAATAGTAAGTATACATTATAATTTATTATTTTTGACAACTCTCCTTGTTTTATAGCATTGTCCAATAATACTCACCACTTATAATAAATCCTGTTCTTAATCGCAGCAGCGTGTAACAAATTCTGTTGCTACACACACACACTAACTAAACATAGATTAATCGGAGAATGCCGAAGAAACAAATGATTGTGTCTCCAAGCTGGAGTGACATGTCGCTCTTGTTATAATTTCTCCGACAACCTTCGATTGTTTAATCTTATGTTGTGGACTGTAGTAAACGCACATACTTATTGTTAGTAATGTGACGACAATTGTTGATGAAGTGGTGACAATTATTGGACAATACTGTAGGCAGACAAGGAGAAAAAGGAAGTATAATCCATATTTCATAGAAAATATTTTTTATTCGTACATAATTATAGGATTATATCAGTTGCATATTAAAATACACATAATTAGTCATGCCAAAGCGTAAATTTTTGTGGAATTTTTCAACGAGGTATCGTCGTAAATTAATTCGAGAAAGTGATGATTTGTTTCCATTATATTTTAATGAAGAACCTACAGCTAATTTGGATATTATTACAAATAATTCCGTTATAAATAATGATCAGAATGTAATATCAAATAATTCCGTTTCGGTTAATGAGCAGGAGATTGTACATTTAGATTTCTACAACGCTGTTCCCTGCACTGTACAAGAAACAAATAATCTATCCCTTTCCGATGAAAGGAGTTTCTTAGAATTTGATAGTTTTTCGAGTCCACATAATATTGGGTTGGCAACTAAGTGATTGCGGATTTTGTCGACAGATGGATTTTACACTTTCTTTTGTTTCGTTAACGTGTTCAAAGTACCTAACCTATATTTTTTTCTTATGTTTGGACTTCTACCTTTCATTTAGTACAAAAATTATATCGATTAGTTCTTTAGTTTTGTTTTTATCCCAATTTAAAAATGGAAGAGCAAGACATGCACTTCAGACATATTTTATTGTATTATTTCAGAAAAGGCAAGAACGCATCGCAAGCACACAAGAAGTTATGTGCCGTATATGGGAATGAAGCCTTGAAAGAAAGGTAGTGTCAAAATTGGTTTGCCAGATTTCGTTCTGGTGATTTTTCATTGAAAAATGCTTAACGATCTGGCCGTCCAGTTGAAGTCGATGAGACCCATATCAAGGCCATTATCGATTCAAATCGTCATAGCACAACACGTGATATTGCAGAGAAGCTCAATGTATCGCATGCATTGAAAAAAATTTAAAAAAACAAATTAAAATTTTGAATTTTCATTCTTATTTAAAATCCGCAATCACTTAGTTGCCAACTCAATATATCCACAAATCTAACTGTCACGAGAGAGACCAGTAACGTAGCACAAGAAAACGATTCTTTCAAGGCATTTTTAACTCAATGGGCTATCACACATCGTATTTCTCATGTAGCTCTATCTCATTTATTGTCTGGTTTGAGAAAAACACATCCAATTTTTTTTAATTTACTGCAATGTGCAAAGACATTATTACACACACCACGGTTTTCTATTACTACTGATATTTCTCCTGGGCAATATTGCCATTTCAGTATTGACAATAGTATTCAATAAATTTTTAAATAAAAGTAATATTAATTTATCTCAAATTAAGATTCAAATTGGTATTGATGGCGTTCCAATATCTAGATCTAATTCCAATCAATTATGGCCCATATTAGGTCGAATCATGCCTCACAAAAACATATTCCTTATTGGTTGCTATTTTGGTCAAACAAAGCCATCGGATGCTAATAAATTCCTACAACAATTTGTAACAGATATCAGTACTTTGATTAATACGGGTATAGCTTACAATGATAATGTAGTTCCAGTATCAATACATTCTATTATATGTGATGCTCCAGCTAAATCTTTCATTACTTTAACTAAAGGGCATACAGGTTACTTCAGTTGTTCAAAATGTACTGTTGAAAGTGAATTTATCGCTAATAGAATTTGTTTCCCCAATATTGATTGCCAGAAAAGAACAGACGCTAGTTTTTATAATCAATCTCAAGAAGAACATCATCTTGGTCGATCTATTTTAGTAAACATTCCAAATTTTGGTATTGTATCTCAAATCCCATTAGATTACATGCATTTAATATGCATCGGTGTTGTCAAAAAATTGATAAAATTTTGGATAAGTGGTCCTTTCAAAAGTAGATATTTAACCTCGCAAAAACTAAAAAATATTTCCAAATTCTTGCTTGATATCAGGTTTTTAATTCCAAAAGAATTTGCAAGAAGACCACGAGAAATAAAAGATTTTGAACAATGGAAAGCAACCGAATTAAGACAATTTTTGTTGTATACAGGTCCTGTTATATTACAGAAAGAATTAAATTCAACTTTATTTTCCAACTTCTTGACATTGCATGTTGCTGTTCGCATTTTATGTCAGAAAAGTACAATGGAATATATAGAATATGCGGATAAATTATTAAAATATTTCGTGGAAAGTTTTATTCAAATTTACGGGCCCGAGTTTGTTTCTCATAATATTCATGGTCTTGTACACATTGCTGATTGCGTAAAACAATTCGGACCATTAGATACTTTTAGTGCTTTTCCGTATGAGAATTTTTTGAAAGAATTGAAAGCAACTTTACGAAAATCTGAGAAACCATTGGAGCAAATTAGCAATCGCTATGCAGAAATGAGTTATAATAATAATAATTTTGACGATAAAAGTATGCCCAAAATTTATGTAAAGAATCCACATGAAAAAGGGCCATTAATATCAGGTTGTTCCAATCCACAATTTTCGAAGATTGAATTTCCTAATTTTATTCTTACACTCAAGTCTTCTGATAATTGTTGTCGCATAGGAAAAGATATTGTCTGCGTAGAAAATATAGCAATGTCAAGAGGAGGAAATCACATTATAATAGGTCGTAAATTTCAAGTTGTTGAGGAACTTTATAATAATCCATGCAGTTCTGCATTATTAAATATATTTAAAGTCAGTCAATTATCTGCCATTCAAGTCTGGTCTGTACATGAAATTTGTTACAAATTTATAAAATTGCCATACACAGCTGTATATTCTGCTGTAATACCAATTATAAGCACTGCACAATAATAACATATGTATAATAACATAGGTACATTATATTTCGCTTTGACATTTACGTAGTACAATCAAATTCAAGCGACATCTTTTGTATAATGTTACTCGCACAAGTATTTCTTTATATAATTTCAGACGAAGATGTCAAGTGGAAGATTAGTCGTCACAAAATTTCCTTGTGACATGCAATACCCAAAATTTGCTGATTGGCCTTGTAGAATTCGCTGAATATTTGACGAATACTGTAAGAGGTAAAAGAAGACAACTTTCCTTTTAAATTTTGCTTGTTATTACTAATATAATGTTTAACTGACTAATTACTAGTAATGTTTAAAACATTTGTAGCGCTTATATAAAACTGAGAAGAAAATAGAGAAGGCTACACACATATGTGATACGAATACCGAAAAGGAATTGAAATATAAATTCCACAGAGTAAATACAGTTTTCACTTCATACGAATGCAAAAGACAGCCATGTACAAGCAGATTATCAGTTGTCCTATGTCCTCCTGCAAAACATAAGTTATATTACATTTATTATACATAATGATTCGTACTTTATATTATATATTATAACTTTTTAAAATTTCATGTTGGTAATTCAATAGCTGCAATGAGAATAGATGTGAAAATACATCTACGACATATTTTGGGATCCTAGAAAAAGAAACAGTGGATTACAAAATGCTGAAAGCTTGTACTGTCATTGATTTTTACAAGGTATATAAATTTTAACATAGTTCTTTGTAATAATATAATACGATATTATATAATATTTCATATCTATCATATATTTCGTAGCAAATAGGAGTAGGATTAGAATAGAAATAGAAATTTCAATAAATTATACAACCGTTAGAAATTCGGAAAATATACGTGTTTTTGCCTTTCCCTCCCTCCCTCTCTCTCTCTCTCTCTCTCTCCCTCTCTCTCTCTCTCCCTCTCTCTCTCTCTCCCTCCCTCTCCCCCCTCTCTCTCTCTTCCTCCTTCACACACACACACACACACATACACGCACGCACGCACATACGCACCCAAAGTCATTTCATTCCTTGAAATACTTATTTCTATGTTAATCCTAATCTCCCTTATCTGTTGTATAATCACCCATGAAGCAGGTAATAACATCACATCAGTTTATTTTAGAGTGTGCATATGTAAAATCCATTGAAGAAGCAAAAATTGGTGATGCCACAAAGAGAACGTAGAATGAAATATTTTGTGAATATATTGGCGAAGAAATATAACTGGGTAGACCGATGAAGGAAAAGGAGAATCACTTTACACAATTTGTAGATAACAAAAATAATTTTTAGTAAGTTTTAAGCCTATTCTATAATGACAATATTCAGTCGATAAAGCAGCTTAACGAGCGCTTAGTGATTATTGTTTGTGACTGGAGCATTCTTTGCAATTCTTCATAAATATAGAAGCATTTACTAATCAGGAGCGATAATTATGAAGTACTCACTGAGCTGTTTTTTCCACTGAATGCAGCCAATAACATAAACGTAATTATTAACATAATGTTGTAATAAACTGACTAATCATAGTTGATTATTTCTCTACTGCATGAAGAATAATCAGTTGTGATTTATTTGGAATTTGTGCCCAATTTCTTACAACTTTACGTTTCCAAGTACACTATGGATTTTATAATTTATATTTTACAAGTAGAGGTAACCAGGGATAGTAGGCTGCAAGTGTAAGTTTGAAATATCCATGAATTTTATTATAACAGTTAATAAAATAAAGTAAGCAAAGATTTCACAATTATTTTAGATATATTAGAGAATCCTTCTTGCTCAGTTATATAATCTGTTAAGAAAAAACAGAAATAATCTACTTTTTAGCTTACCTCTGTGGCCAACTTTGTCTCTGATCTTTATTAACCCCTTCCGTGGCACGGACGCACCGGTGCGTCCAGCCAAAAGCATTTCTAAACATTTTAGTCGCCATATTTGATCCGCCATTTTGAATTTCTATATTTTGACCACAAATTCGGCTTCAGCGATCAAAAAAACTGAAGTATACAAATTATTGAAAAATCCGCCCCGTCATTTTTTTAGGGCGGTTTCAGTGCATTTTACTGAATTTTGCTCTGCCACGAAAGGGGTTAATTATTAAAATTAATATAATACATTGCCTGCCTTAAAATAGTAAATAAATAGTGAGCGAATTTCATTCCATCAAATGGAATATTAATCATATGAAATCATATCAATATGAAATAAAGACCCATCATATTACGTATAAGTATAAAGACTTATGTAACGGAATGAGATCCATTCATGATCTATTATTTTAAGCAAGGTTTATCAATATATAAGAAAAATTAAAATAGAGAAAATATTTGTAGGATCTGTACTTACAAAAACCAAATGTGACTTGAACAAATATAGTGGAAGAATGTTCTGCCTTTCAAAGACGAAGAAGCAGAATCAAAAGATGTAAAACTGTAATGTATTGCACTTTTAGTAATCTATGCAAGATAGAGGTGGCAAGGTATTAATCATAGACATATGATTAATGATATGATATAATTATATTTAGACTGTGCGTTGAGGAGTGGGGACTGATAAATATAGAAAAAGATACTCTCTGTAATATGCTCCTTCGTTCTCTCTCGTTTGCGCATTAGTTCGAGAGAGAGAACCTTTTGACACTTGCAAAGTTCTCTTAGCATGCGATCCATTAGATGCTGCAAACACTACGAAGCGCCCAAAGAAAAACCACGATTGGTTAATATCCCAGTAAGCAAAATGCTAGCAGAATGCGCGCAGATTGACGCCAATTTCGATCAAATCTCCACATCAAAACCATAGCCATCTATGTCCTCATTAGGCTCGTGTTTTGTCGATAGGACCTGTACGACGGGCCATGCGAGCAGATTGTCAGCAGAAACCGCGTAGGTCCTGTTGCTAAACTACGCGTAGAGTCTGCGCGCAGAGTTTGCTCGGTTTCTGCCGCCAATCTGCCATCAAATTACTACAAGTCTTGCGCGGTTTTTGGTACAAATCTGCCGTCAAATATCCGACAGCAGGATCTGGCGCATATTTGACCGCAGATTGGCAGCATAATTTGATATAACAGATTCTGCGTTAAATTTGTTGCCTATTTACCATCAAACTATGATAGCAGGCTTTGTTCGAAATCTGCTCGCGCAGGTTTGGCTATCTGGGATAGTACTTCGAAGCATTTGCAATGTCTAATGAATCGCGTTCTTAGACAGGCGCGAACGAGAAAGAATGAAAGGGCACACTATAGAGTGTATCCTTTTTTTGTACATATTATTTATCAGCCCGCACTCCTCAAGTAAGGATAAACGCGCAGTCTAGATATATTATGCAAGGTTGGGAAGTAACGCATTACTTGTAACGCCGTTACTGGTATCGTTACTTTTTTGAGTAACGATTAGGTAACGCCGTTACTTTTTGGTGTCAGTAACGAAAAAGTAACGGCGATACATTTTTTTTGTAACGAGTAACAAAACGTCCGTTACTTTAATCCGTTACTTTTTAATTTTTATAAAATTAAACTTAATTGTATTTAATTTCTATGCATTTTTTGTTTTATGCTGAATTTAATGAGAACCAATAAATATGGACTCACATATTGTCATCCATTGGCCTTAGCTATACAGAAAGGTTTAAAAGAAAGGTAAGTTGGTGTAATTTGGTTAATACAAATGTTCATCAAACAACATTCATCTGATCAAAAAGAAAAATCAATATGTTCATATTTAATTTTATTGATTCAACTTTAGGTTTTGTACTACATTCGAAAAAGAAGAATTGATAATTGCCAGCTGTTTGCATCCCAAATTGAGTTGGTTAGCTGAAGATAAGTGAAAACTTGCGCAAACGTATTTAGAAGATTTATAAGGAATTCCTTCAATTAAAAATTTTTTGATGTCTGATAAGCACAATAATAACTTTTTAAATTTTAAATAGCAAACATCAAATGAGAAATCTGCCTATGATGAATGGCAAAGATTTCTAAAGTCAACAGGCACTAATGTCCAAATATTAAATTCATATCCACTAATTAAGAAACTTTTCATTAAATACAATACTTAATAACATAAAATAATAAAAATATTTAAATATATATATATATATATATATATATATATATAGTTCTAATCGTCTTATGTCCGATTTATATCTTATCTTAGCACCTTTCTTATAATCCTGGATTTACAACAAAAAAAAGTAACGGAAAGTAACGAAATAAAATATCGTTACTTTCAAGTAACGGTAACGCGTTATTTTTTAAGATCAGTAACGAGTAACGGTAACGAGTTACTTTTTACCGAAAGTAATGGTAACGGTAACGAGTTACTTTTAAAAAGTAACTTTCCCAACCCTGATATTATGTCTATGTTAATACAGGTAAGAACTATAAAATATTATCATATTCTATTATCACTGATTATATATCACTGATAAGATAATAGATATCACTTTCTTCTGTATGATATCTATACACAATTATTTGTTTATATCTTTATTATATGCAATATACGTTTGTTTTCAGTCATTTTTACTTTATAGCCAATGATGAACTTTTATTATGATACATTAAAGTGTTTATTACATTAAAAACTTTAATTGTAAATCTGAGGCTTCTTTTTCATAAAAATTTATTATAAAATATGAGTAAAGATATAGAAATAATATATACATATATATATAAGTGATATATATATATAAGTGATAAATAAATTACCTTACATAAAGTAGAACAATTCAAGTTTTTACATGTGCTTAAAATATTATGTGTTTCTTCCTGTAATTATATCCTGCAGTCAATGAAAGTACAATTCAAATGTATAGCACCGTAGAGTTTGCACTCAATTGGTCTGTTCTTTGTAACTGCACTGCTGAACTGGTACAATAAAGCTAGAATGAGAAAACCTATATTTCTCTCACTTTAACTTATTGCATCAGTTCAACAGTGCAGCTACAAAGAACAGACCAAATATTAGTGCGGATGTACAATAAATGTAATAAGTTTTAAACTGTAAAAACTGGACTACAGTCGATTTTTACAAAAATATTCAAGTATGGTTTTTTGATGGAAATTTGGAAAAGATTCGAGTATTACAGTCGCCAAATAAAATTTACTCGTTGCTGCAACGATTCATTTAAATAAATTCTTTACATTGTGATTACTGTGTAAAACCTTCTCATGTGCATTTTTTATGAATCCAAGATATTTATGTTACTCTATGCAGAATTAAATTTTAAATATATCTCGAATTCACAAAAATATTTACATGAAGGTTTTCTTATAGCAACTGCGATGTGTACGATAGAATTAAGAGTCATAGGATTGGTCTCACCAATTTCATTTATTTTAATCAGTCGATTAAATTTTAATGTTCCAATGCAATTGTTCAATCACATTTGTTTTTAAACAGACCTAATCATGAATTAACCAACCATAGTTGAGATTTATACCCGTTTTTATTAATATCGTTAAACGTCAATTAAACCTTGAGTTTTAAGTCTTTGTTTGAATAGAATTTAAACTCAGATTAAGGTTTAACTAACATTGGTGGAATCGGACATTAATCAATCAATTAATGTAATTGAAGTTGATGAGGCCGTCCAGGTGCATTTATCTATTCTGTTCTTTTAAGTTGTTTTAAATAAAACAATTTTATTTTTCTAGACTACTATCCTTTGCGGCCTCCCATCGCCTTCTATATCAGCGTTTCCGGAGTTCTTGTCATGGTTCTCTGCCGCCTCCTATGCTGCTTTCTGTATCAACGCTTCCTGGATAATCTATTACGGTTCATCACCATCTTCACACCAGCCTAATCTTACCTTTTTACAACAATTTATATCGCTTTTATTTGTTTTATGTTGTAATTCTTATGTTTTATAAAAAATAAAAATCTTTTTACAATATTTAATGTGTATCTAAGTCAATTTTTTAATATTAAGACAATTTTAAATTTAAGTATATAATAAATTTATATAGTCTATTAACCATCTATTTAAATTCCATGAAATATCTATAATTGATCTATACTACGTCTGAGACACGTCTATAAAAACGTCTACTAAAGGTTGAATGGAAGTTTGAAATGCGTAACTGTGGATGTCTATTAAACGTCCATATATGTATAGTTTCATGGATGTATTATAGAGGTTATGAATATCCATGATAGATGTCTTATGGAAGTCCATTAGAGGTTCTTGTTCTGTGTGGGATGTTAACAAATAGCGTGAACAATATCATTAAAACGCAAGATGATAGTAAACGTTGCTTTATTTGGTTTGGTATCCGTATTTGCATAATAAATTTCATCCTCTTCATCTCCTTCCTCTTCCATGTCCATGTCTGTATGTTCCAAAAATTCAAAATTCGCTATAACAGCTGCTTCTGTATGTAATATCATTGCTTTTCTGCTATAGAAGATGGCTGTTGCTGAAACAATAAATCACATATAAATGTATAACAGAATCGTAATTATCGTAATGCAGCTTAATTCTCTTAATTAAGTTCGTATTGTTTTAAAAACATAAATATATTTATTTATCTCTACCTTTTTCGGATGTCCCCCGGAGTATAAAGCCAGCGCCACACGGTGCTTGTTTTCGTGCTGGATTGCTTGTTGGATGAAAATACTGCATTCTGATTGGTGCATTTCCATCCATCTTCGGAAAAGTACCAATCAGAACGCAGTATTTTCATCCAGCAAGCAATCCAGCACGAAAACAAGCATCGTGTGCCGCTGGCTTTACATCGGATGATTCTTGTCTGTTCTGTGTTCCCTTATTTCCATTTAATGCTGGAGTATTCATTTCATCTGAGTCTGTATTATTATGATATGTCCCACCGCGTATATTTCATTTCTCGTCTTTCGTTATGAGTCACTGCGCAGACATGCTCTGCAGGCGGAGCAGTGACTCTCATTGGGTGCATTCAGTACTACAACTACTCACTGAGCGCTCAATGAGCTTTTAAGGCTCGTCTACAATAGCTGTAAGAGTAAGGCTGTAAAGCTGTAACGTAAGCTGTCAGCGAATGAAAATATTTCATTTCGTGTCTTGCGACCTTACAGCCTTACTCTTACAGCTAATGTAGACGAGCCTTTACATTTGATCGGTATATTCTTTTAGATTTAAAAATATACACCAATCAGATGCAAGAGCTCACTTAGCGCTCAGTGAGCGGTTGTAGTACTAAATGCACCCATTCTTCTCGAATCGGAATGCGTTCCGAAAGTTACAAAAAAACGGGCACTAACTATTATGTAGATATATATGTCCGCGAGTGTACATTGCTTGGAAAGCACTAATTATTTTTCACGTTTTAACCATGGCCGTATTCCAAAATTCACTGCCAGCGCTGAAAAGTTATAGTTTGCGTGACACAAACTATATATTTTTAGTATTAGCAGTGTATTTTGGAATACAGCCCACATTGTTTGATGGTTGAAAATTTTCATGGAAATGCACAACTTACATGTAAAGAAGAATATAGATGAGCAAATTAAAAGTTCATGTGAAATATTTCACGTTTTGAGAATTTACATTTCACGGTTAACGTTTGAATCAGTCATTATATTTACTTACATTATATTATTATATTACATTACAACTATAAATTTTAGCTGCATAATGCTTATTAATACGTTATACTTTACATTTTGTATACTATAATTATATTTATATGTTAATTATCTGTATTACAGAAATATTACTTTTCACTTTTTTACAATTTATTTTTTATATGAAAATACAGTGAAAAGTGAAAAATGAAAAAGAAGTTCACGAGAAAGATTCATGATCGCTGCTCTGAACTAGTGCAATAAGTTAGAATGATAAAAAATAGTCTCATTCTAGTCTCAGAAAAAAAAGTTGTCTCATTTTAACTTAAGCCAGCGGCACACGGTGCTTGTTTTCGTGCTGGATTGCTTCCTGGATGAAAATACTGCATTCTGATTGGTGCATTTCCATCCATCTTCGGAAATGTACCAATCAGAACGCAATATTTTCATCCAGCAAGCAATCCAGCATGAAAACCAGCACTATTTGCCGCTGGCTTTATTGCACTAGTTCAGCAGTGCAGCTATAAAGAACATACCCCTAGTTCTGAACCAGTGCAGTTCAAGTGCAGCACTAGTTCAGCTGAAAAGAACGAACCCTGAGTCTGTTCTTTTTAGCTGCACTGCTAAACTGGTGCAATAAATTAGAATGAGAAAAAATATAGTTATCTCATTCTAACTTATTGCATTAGTTCAGCAGTACAGCTAAAAAGAACAGACCATCTATGACTACGTTTACACGGCTTCTAACTTCGGCTTAGTAACTACCGTAGTTAGTGCAGTCTCGAATCCGATTAGAGTATATTTTTAGATCTAAAAGAATATACCAATCGAATCAAAGAATTCACTAACTACGGTTGTTACTAATCCGGATTAACCTTACCGTGTAAACGTAGTCTATGTCGCCCATCCCTACCCACAATTTCTCACCATTGGCCTGATTGGCTTCCATTTCCTTTCCCCGAGTCGCTGATTGCGGTTTAGTAAATGCTCTTGAAGAAGGATCGGAAAGAATTTAGGATTGTTCTTCCACGTTTTGATTAATAGGTACGTTTCAAAATGCTTCATTATTATCTATTTTATTACAATGCGTTAGAAGTAATTATTCTTTAATGGCTATCAAGATAATTTTGAACTTTATTTCGAAATGTATTTTCAGCTCTTACGAGATGATAGGTTAATGTCGCGTGGTACTAACAGCTTTTACACTTGTGACAATTATAATGTAGTTGAAACCACAAATCGACTTGCAATTAATATGTTTTCGTATTTATTAAAGAAAAAATACAAAAGAGTGTCAAAAGATTAACAATAATCTCAATATGGAATGATTGTTTAACGGCATATCTAGCTTGGTTAGATCACGTGTTCATAAATTATTTTTGGTAAATCTTGGGTCTCCTTTTTCGAAAAACTGAACTTACAGAAAATATATCTGTTTTATTCTAACTTATTGTACTAATTCAGAAGTTAAAAAAAGAATAGATTTCTTGTGAAAGGATTGGTGTAAAAGCTACTTTACTGCTTCTTTTTTTAAACTATTTTGCATACCTTATATATTTTGAATTTCTATATGTACCTATTTAACTATTTTGCACACCTTATATATTTTGAACTTATATATTATATACTTTATGTATTTTGTAAACATTAAATTGTTGGGAGAAATTATCTCATTATTGTTTTTCTTTTTTCTTTTTGTAAGTAAATGATACTGTTAATTATCTTAGATTTTTAATTTGTCAAGATTGGTATTAATCCTTAGTTAATAACAGTGAAAATGTTGATATTATTTGATGGATAAATTATAATATAATGTATAATATAAATACATAACATTATTGTTAAATTAATAATTAATCATTAATTTAAATTACAGTTTAAGTTAATTCTCCATCATGCCACCAAAAAAGTCTATGGAAGAAACTGATCGTTTGACTCGTATAGCAATTGTAAATTCAGATAAATGCAAACCTAAGCGATGCAGACAAGAATGTAAGAGGTCTTGTCCTGTAGTACGAATGGGAAAACTTTGTATAGAAGTTAACCCAAATAGTAAAATAGCATCCATCTCAGAAGAGTTGTGTATCGGATGTGGTATCTGTGTCAAGGTATATAGACATAATCAAGTTTTATAAAAATATGCTTATGCATTATAATTAATATATCAAATTAAATTAAATTATTGAATTGAGTTATAAGATTTCATAATTAAAGTTATATAAATAACATATGTACATTTATATGTTCTTGAATATTATATAGAAAAGATTAACAAACTGTCTATTAAAGAATTTGGATAATATTTAATTAGAATGTATGTTATATTAATTATCGTGTAGTGATAATAATATAAATAAATAACTAATAAGAATAACTATCCATAAGAAAGATAAGAAATAATTAGTCATAATACTAATATTAATATCATACAACTGATATTAACATTATAATTAATAATAAAAATTTATTTTTGCAGAAATGTCCATTTGAGGCAATATCTATTATTAATCTTCCTAGCAATTTGGAAAAGGAAACAACACATCGTTACTCAAAAAATTCATTTAAGCTGCATAGACTTCCTATTCCACGTCCTGGTGAAGTTCTTGGACTTGTAGGAACTAATGGAATTGGTAAATCGACTGCCCTTAAAATTTTAGCTGGGAAACAAAAACCGAACCTGGGCAGGTTTTCTGTATGTAATGTTCTACAATATAATTTACGTATCTATATATGTAAACATAGATTCTGGTTGGTTAACACTTTGCCGGTCGCTGTCACGTACGCGTGACTTTTGCTCGCCGACGGTTATCGGCCGCTGTCATGTACGCGTGACTTCGGTTCAGCGCGGCAACAATGTTTCCACTATGCTTCTGTTTTAACTATCCCGATTGTCTTTTCTTGACATTCTTTAATATCACCGTCGGCGAGCAGTAGAACCCGCGCGAAATTCGCCGACGACAGCGTAAAAGCGATGCGAGAAGTAAGCGGCCGGCAAAGTGTTAATAGGACGAATAACGAGTGGTTTTTTTTTTTTTTTTTTTTGTTTAATAGGATCCACCGGATTGGACGGAAATTTTGAGTCACTTTAGGGGTAGCGAATTGCAGAATTACTTTACCAAGATCTTGGAAGATGATTTAAAAGCACTTATCAAGCCTCAATATGTCGATCAAATTCCTAAAGCGGTAAAGGGCACGGTGCAACAACTTTTGGACAAAAAAGACGAATGCAAAAATCAAATGCTAATCTGTGAAATGCTCGGTAAACTTCGAATTTTTAGCAGTTTTTGTAGTTTTTAGCAGTTATGTATGTACACTGGGATGCATGCTTTTATATTAACATGCATTTCTTTTAGACTTGTTACACATACGTGATCGAGGTATCGAAGCACTTTCTGGTGGTGAGCTACAACGATTTGCGTGTGCGATGGTATGCATTCAGAACGGAGATATTTTTATGTTTGACGAGCCTTCTTCTTATCTAGACGTCAAACAACGTCTTAATGCTGCCGTAACTATCAGATCCCTTATTCATCCAGATAAGTAAGCATTAATTTTATAAAAGCCTTGCGACTGATCAATTGTATATTCAATGTACGTACTATTGTACAATGTATGTACTATTTGTAATTAATTTAACAGATTTATAATTGTGGTGGAACACGATTTGTCCGTCTTGGACTATCTGTCCGATTTTATTTGTTGCCTGTACGGCGTGCCCGGAGCATATGGGGTCGTTACTATGCCATTCTCTGTAAGAGAAGGAATAAATATTTTCCTTGACGGATTTGTTCCTACGGAAAATTTGCGTTTTCGTGAAGAATCTCTCGTTTTCAAAGTAGCAGAAAGCGCAACTGAGGAAGAAGTTAAGCGTATGAATCACTACGAGTATCCCGCGATGACAAAGACCATGGGTTCATTCAAATTGAGCGTCGAGAAGGGTCAGTTTACTGACTCGGAGATACTTGTACTACTAGGAGAGAATGGAACTGGTAAAACGACTTTCATCAGAATGTTGGCTGGTAATTTACCGCCGGATGATGGATCGGGTGAGTCAGCATGTAAATCTAGAATATATATAGTTTGTCTGATAAATAACTGGATAAAGAACCGGATTAATGTAAAATTACTCGATATATAATGTTCGAAATTATGTTCATTTTTCAGGCGATTTTTGGGAGTTTCTTCCCCTTTGCTTCCTCTTACCTTCCCTTTACTGCATCTGCACGCCCACTGGCCATAGATCTGACAATTTTGCTTTCCGCTTTAGGACTGCTGACATCGTAACATTTAAGAAGCGCTTATCAATAGCTGTACAATTATTTGTAATTACAGCTACTATAAACGCCTATGATGTTAACAACCCTGAGACGGGAAGCATAATTATCAGATCTATGACCAGCGAGCGTATGATTGCAGTAAAGGGAAGATAAAGGAAAGTAAGTGGGAGAAAATTTCCGAAAATCGTCTGAAAAGTGAAAGTAATTCCGAACACTCATATAATAAAAATTCAATCTGGTTATTCACCAGACAGATGCTATATGCAAAAACTCCGTTATTTGCAATACAATTGAGAATAACCAGATGATGACTTCATCCGAGGATATAAGTTGTAAAATGTAAAATATCATTACATCTGCAGAAAGTATTCCTCAGCTTCATATAAGTTACAAACCGCAGAAGATAAGTCCCAAGTCGCAAGGCATCGTCAGACAGTTGTTGCATGAAAAGATTAGAGACGCGTACGTGCATCCGCAGTTCGTGACCGACGTGATGAAGCCTCTGAAAATTGACGACATTATGGATCAAGAGGTACAGAATCTCTCTGGAGGCGAGTTGCAACGTGTTGCTTTAGCTCTTTGTTTGGGAAAACCCGCTGATGTTTATTTGATCGATGAACCTTCAGCATATTTGGATTCTGAACAACGTCTGGTCGCTGCAAAAGTCATTAAAAGGTATTCGGTTTTCATCAATAAAAACAAAGAATCAGTTTCATCGATATACGGATATTGATACATAATTTTTAAGTTTCTCTTTCGATTTTGCTGCACTTGCAATTGTTTAAATTGAACAGTTAAAAAGAAAAAAACGAATAAATATACGATTAGGCAATGGAAACGAGATATATAACTATTTACATTTCAGGTTTATACTGCACGCGAAGAAAACAGGATTCGTAGTAGAGCATGATTTTATAATGGCAACATACTTAGCTGATCGCGTGATAGTATTTTCCGGTACGCCGTCATTAGCGACTACCGCGCACAGTCCTCAGTCTTTGTTGAATGGTATGAATAGATTTTTAGAACTATTGGGTATCACTTTCAGGAGAGATCCGAATAATTTCCGACCGAGGATCAATAAGAATCAATCAGTGAAGGTACATATAAATCCTAGCTAACACAAATTATTTCTCAAGTATATGTTTACCTGCTATTTTTATATCCTAACGGTGAAAAATAAGATTTATTTTTATTTTAATCAATTCTTTATCTTACAGGATTTGGAACAGAAGAAGGCTGGACAATATTTCTTCCTGGAGGAATAAGATATGTAGTATTGTATATGGCAGCATATATAGAATATCATTAAGGATTTTTTGTAAATCTTTACACTTTTTAAATGCCGGGAATGGACTTTTTACGATATAACATCGTAAAATATATCAACGCTATGTATTTCGCGATGATCTAGGGTATTCAATAAAACTTGAGAACGTGAATACTTTCGCCGGTAAAATTGTCATCATTTTACTATGTGAATGAAGCAAAATGTATAGCCATGCATAGCTGTTGAATATCTGAATGAATAAGTAGGGTGAATTGTGTACAGAAAAATTAAAAAGGCACCGCAGATATTGATTTTGTGCATTTATTAGTTATTTATATAATTTGTGTATATTCGATGTGTGAAACGAGAAAATCGCAATATCACGAATCCATTTAAATGTATGTTCGATGGAATAATATTAAACTGCAAAAAGATATGTGAGCAAATTATTGGATAAATTATTTCGTTCTGGATTGAAGGTGAAGGAACGACTTGAGTTATATCTGTATGGATAAAACTAAATATATATACAGTTTCTTCTTCATTTTCTTAGATATTCACTCTAAATTAGTACTACTCCTTCCTCTTTTATAATTTTCTTCTACCCAATTCTTTTTTATGATTATTGATATATTTTACTGATTTCATTAGAATGAAGGTTACTTTTGGTTTTTTTTTTCTTCATGTTCTCCATGTAAGTAGTAATGATCAGATCTTGTCATATAATAATAATAATATAATTATCATTTGGAATATCGAGTGCATTAAGAATACAAGTTCGACTTTTTAACTGTATCCAGAGGTTGTATTTAATGCATATTCGATAAGATTTACCGATATGTAAATTCCTTGTTTATCCTGCAGGACGTCAGCGTATATAGATGCAAATATAATCTGAAGGTCACCTGTAATTATACGATAACTTATCTTCTCTGTGTCATTTTATGATAAGTATTTTAAAGAAAAGAATTATTTTAGATAACGAAAAACGATGGTTGATTACGGAATATTTGCATTACGACTAGAGCTGATGGGAAATACCCGAGTATTTCCCGTATTACCCATATTACTCGTTTTATTCGTATTATTCGAGTGTCTATGTAATAAAAGATTGTCAGAAGAAATGATGCAATCGGACTCAGAGAATGGATAATCACATCCATAAAACGAAGTCGTTGCGAAATATACGTAATTTAGAGTGAGGCCACACACTGCATTTCGCCTGCATTCTATCTTCTGACGGAACAGCATATTTCCATACCCAACTTTTTGGACGCGACATAATTAATAGCAAACGCAGTTATTAAATGCAGGTTATATCTGATTACGATATTAAATTAACGTATGTCATCGAGACCGTCAGAAGTTTGACATGAAGTAGGCAGATAATTTAAACAAACACGAATAATAAAAGTACGGGTAATACGAGCGGGTACCCGGGTATTTTCAACATATTTCAGATAGTGAGCGGGTACTCGGGTACCCGGGTAATTCATTATCCGGTCCAAATCATCAGCTCTAATTACGACACAATTTGTCAATTCACTTTTTTTTCTTTTGATTTCTTTAGATTATCTGTGATTATCCGTGATTATATTCTGTACACATTTGCCAACAACAGTCTGCTTTATATGTGTTATATAGTTATTTTACGACTTGATTATGTTTATGATTGATTATTTTGCAATAAGTTAGAGTAAGAAAAAAAATAGTTATCTCATTTTAACTTATTGCACTAGTTCAGCTGTATAGCTTCAAACTGTATAAAAAAATATTTTTTTATACAGTTTGAAACGCAATAAATGTACAATGAAAAAACATAATTTTTGGAAGTCTCTTAGAAACAAGTCCTATTGGATTATTGGTTGCATCTCGATTTGCACAAAAAATAATATTTAAATCGCTTTGAAATTCAGTATATATTTTCCTAATGTGATAGTTCTAATTGGAGCATAATTCAATGAGCCAATAAACATAAAATTATTATTGATCTGTATTGTTCATGTATAATGCAACATTTATTAATAACATAATTTATGTTGCAACTTGTCTTTTGTAACATAAATATTTTAAAAATTATGTATAATATATCTATTTATATAAAATAGCATAAATGCTAAAATATATAGAATAGTAAAATTAATTCTGAATATGCAAGGTGTTGTTTTGAAACTCCTGATAGGATCTGATGAAATCGATGAAATCCAACGAAATAAAATATTCGAAGAATGTTCCATTAATTCCATATTTTAACATGTGTCTCAAATGTGAGAGAAAACTCTAATAATACATTAGCTCTACTACCATTAGTCTAATATACGTAATAAACAATTCCAACAATTGAAACGAAGATATTACTTGAGCAAATAAATAAATAAAATAAATAAATAAATATGATATAATATGAGCAAATAAATAAATAAATAAATAAAATCTATAAAATAAAACATTAAAAAACGTAGCTGAGGATGTTGAAATGTTTATACATTGGCCCGGTGTTATTTAAAAAGATTCTCCATATCTTCATTCCGACGAAATTGTACTTACTTGTGGAAAGTCGTCAGAGCTGATAACTGCAGTTAGATAATCAAGACTGTAGAAAATTAAGTCGGTTTTTTTAAATGAGGAAGCTTGTGCTTTAAAATAGGGAAAAAGAAATAAAAACTACTGCTTATCGGAACTGTGTTCAAAAACTTTAGCACTTGGGACTGTAAGCATGCGATATTCGCAGTTTTCCTCTAACGCGCGATCATCCGCAGGAACATACGCGTTCGTGCTATTGTTTCTAATATGCACGAATGTACTGTTTTGTAAAGGTAACCATTTGAGTTTATTAAAAAGAAAAAAACTGTTAACTTAAAGCTTAATTAGAGATTTGAGAATTTTGTAATAAATCTGTCTCTGGGAAAAGTTGTCCTACAATGGTTGTGTTAGTCAAAACTTAGAGAACAAAACTTAGAAAGAAGGTAAACATTAACTTTTACTTCATTTTTTTGAGAAGAAAAAAGAAACACTTTACGTGGAATCATTTTATATATCTATATTTTTAACCATTTTTAATTAAATTCCTGATTCTTATAGATAGATATATGTGAAGAAGTTCTGTTATTATGTTAAACAGCATGGAGATGGCGGTTAACAACAGCAGCACCGGAAGTGCAAAACTCAACAGAATGCGCACGGAAGTGTCAAATTGGAGAGCCACCAAAAGTCTGTCAATATCATTTCGAAATTGAAGCTTACACGACGAATAACAAGTACGTTCCTACATTATATGGTTGAATTTTTAATAAAAATGAAGAGAGAAAAAAGTATCTGCGCGGAAGATTTTGATTAAAGAAAAATGTATTACAGAAAATTGACCAAAGTTGGCTAGAACTTGTTGTATTTCTTAATTAATATAGAAAATTTTATAAACACGATCTTTAATACCATTAAATAAATATACACTGCTCAAAAGAATTATGGTATAGATAATTTATTGCCGAAAATTGGCCAACTTTGACGATTATTTCGCGAAAAATTATTGTAGACCAATAATTTTTTTTTTAATGAAGCTTGAAGTCTCTATTTTAAGAATGTATCTCCATTTTTTGCATGCGATGCACCCCTACCCCTATAACCCCTGACATCTGAAGGCATGTTTGGTATACTGAAAATTGCAAAGTTTAACGGAATGCACGGACGTGGACAATTTTTTTTCGGGGACGCTGTTTGCATCGTCATAAAGTTCAAATCTTCCCCTTGAATTTGAAAAAAAATGGAGTCGCTATAATTTTTTTTCGTAAAGTTACAGCCCTTCAAAAATATCGTTGTTTTTGGCCTTCGGGCCAAGTATGCACGCATGTTATGTGTGTTCGTGACAAAAAAGATAAGGACCCCGTGGTTCGTCAATAATTCCATAGTCAATAATTACTGGGGGTAGGTACATCGCATGCAAAAAATGAAGATACATTCTTAAAATAGAGACTTCAAGCTTCATTTAAAAAAAAAAAATTATTGGTCTACAATAATTTTTCGCGAAGTAATCGCCAAAGTTGGCCAATTTTCGGCAATAAAATATCTATGCCATAATTCTTTTGAGCAGTGTATATAAGCTGTAATGAAATATTGTTTGAAATATGGTTTGAAAACGTTTGTTTATCAGACTTCTTTGTTTCAGGGCATGCGACTCTTGTGATCTACCAACGAATTATTCAAGAATAAGTCCATTATCATGTGAGTGCTGCATAAGTGATGGATTTGAGAAAACAATACTTGCCATCAATCGTATGTTACCAGGTCCAAGTATTCATGTATGCATTCGTTCAACATATTAATATAAAATTCGACGTAGTAAAGCACTTTTATCGATATGAATTATATATGGGATGCCTTCTCATATAATATTTTTATATATATTTCTTATCATATATTTTTAATATTATTTAATATTTTTATGATAGATTCTTCGGTCTTCGGTTGAATTTTAATAATATTTATAATAATATTCAAATTAAAATTTTTGAATTGTGTATATAATATTAAAATAAAAGGGCTTTGCATACATAAGTTCAGTATTTGACATAAATATAATATAATATATTTGATCCCCGTATAGTATCCTTTTTCAGCGGTTTTTTCATGTTCTCTTCTTGTCGTTATTATTTTTTTCTTTTCAATAATGTATCGATATTCTGATACTATTATATTACAAACAAATGATGGTTTATCAGGTTTGTCTCGGCGATACCATTATTGTCGATCTTAAAAACGCAGCCGAGGGTATTGAGGCGACTATACATTGGCACGGTGTCTTTCAAAAAGGTTTTCAATATTATGACGGAGTACCATATGTGACACAATGTCCAATTCATTCAAATAGCATTTTCAGGTATGGCAATAGAAATAATTCAATATTAATTTTCTTTGTGTTCAAATAATATACAAAGTCCCGGAGCAATTTTTACAAAGCTCGTGGAGACATAGACCAGATTAAACATGAAAATCCCATATCATTTTACGATTCGCAATAGTTATGGAATTATTAATTACAGAAATCTGATAAGTGAGCATACGCCGAGATGGATGAACGTTGCAGCCGCTCGGGCCACGGTACGACCCAGTTGATCCAGTAACTGTTTCCGACGTGTAGTAAGACGTAGGAGCGGCTAGATAAAACACGAATAACGGCGCGTTGTCCTTTCTCTCGCCCCACATCGGCAACAGTTGATAGATAGACTGGGCCGTGCTATGACCCGAGAAGCTGCAACGATTTTCCAATCATCTATCTCGGCACGCGCCCACTCCTCAGATTTCTATCATTAATAACTCGATAATTCGTAAATATCGCAAAACGGTATGGAAATTTTATGTTTGTCTTAATCCGGTCTATGTCTTCACGAGAAAATTGTTTTGGGACACTTTGTATTTATGTGTGGTTTTGATATTAACTATATAATTTTCTAATATTTTATTATTTTTAGTAGTTTGTTTTTTATCTTTTTCAATATTAATACACATACACACAATTTGGGATATTTTTTCTTACAGGTATAAGTTTAAAGCAAATAATGCGGGTACACATTTTTATCATTCACATGAAAGTACTTTTCTAATGGACGGACAGTATGGAGCCTTAATCATACGCGATCCAGAGGATCCGTCTCTCGATACGTATGACGAAGATCTCCCCGAACACGTAATAATAATTAGCGATTTGTTTCATGAATTTTCATTGGAGCGTTTTCCCGGTCGATACAGATCAAAACAAGGACAAGTTCCAGATAATATTTTAATCAACGGAAGAGGCACTTGGACGGTAAGAAGAATTTCAATTTCGATTATCATTATTTGTATTAATAATGGTTCAAAGACTGGGAGTTAAAAATTTTATTTATAATACATCAATAAATGTGTGCGTGTAATATAGCGTGTAGGAGCCTTCAAATTTCTTTCTCAGTTGTCACCACTTTGCTCAATATACTTTCGGAACAGAGAAACAGTTTTAAACTGCATTTTGTCTGAGAACTTTGTAAAAGTATGAAGCCGTTTTGAAATTTTTTATAAAATTTCAATAAAAAACTAATATTCGAAATACTCTGGCGAGGAATCTATATGATTCATTATATCTTGGTATCGCCAATATATTCTTAGTTGTATTTGAAATTGATGATTTCTATAGAATCAAGAGACTAACAAGACGACTGCAGTTCCGCTTTCAACATTTAGAGTCGAAAGCGGAAAAGTATACAGATTTCGCATGATCAACGCGTGTGGTACAGTTTGTCCGGTAACGTTGACTATTGAGAATCATACATTGCAAATAATTGCTACAGACGGCGAAAACGTGGAGCCTGAATTGGTAACTGAGATTAACAGTGCTTCAGGTAACGTATACTCGATATTTTACTTAATTGTGAGCCACATACAAATTGTATCCTTTACTTTTTATTGATATACTCAAGCGAATGAAGAAATAAATGTTTGGAAGTTAATGTAGCTGGTTCTCTTCGTGGTTCTCTTTGATAAATAAAATGTCATAGATATACTGACGAATGTTTCATGAATGCAGGTGAACGTTACGATTTTAAAATAAACGCCTCTAAAGTAGGGGGACAATATTGGATACATGTACGAGGAAGCGGTGAATGTGAAAATGAGGGTTTATATCAATTGGCGCATCTCATCTATGACAATAGTCCTGAATCGTCGTTATCACCAAGACCAGGATATTCTGGTCCACCTCAAAGTGAGAATATAGTTGTAAGTATATTGTATATATTTATATTCTGTATATTGAATTCATATATAGCATGATATATTAAAAAAACATTTCAGATTAATCCCTTAAATTCCACAAATTGCGAGATTGATCGCTGTATACACCATTTACGCAAGATATACTCGCCAAAGGAAGATAAAATACCATTGAATGTTTCAGCAGATGTAACATTACTATTGTCATTCAACTTTTTTGATTTAGATCCACCAGAATATATGAATTTGTTTAATAGGAACACATCAGAGGATTATCAGAAATTCTTTGGTAAATATTGTTATTTAAAAAACGAAATGAAGAAAAAAGTTGGGGATATTTTTGAAAGCATATATAAACATATGTTGAATATTATTGCATTTTTATTCTTGTACAATACAATATATGATAAAATTTTTTGCGCATGTTTTCAGTTGCTATCGATAAGTCCCATTTAATTAGTATGATCAATAATATTTCGTATCAGGACCCACCATCACCTCTTATTTTGCAATCTTCTATCTTGCAATCAAAATATGCAGACAAATATGGATCTCAGTCTATATGTACAGATAATTCTATATCATCCACGTGCACAAATCCCTGCATGTGTACTCATGTTTTATCAATTCCGTATGGTGCACTCGTTGATATAATGGTCATTGATAAAGGTAAGATATTCAAATAAAAGATACATCTTGCAAGGCGAGGCAGTTTTATAAATATCTATTTAACAGATATATACGCACATAAATATGTATATACATATACATATTTAAAATATTTTAAAAATATCTTATGATACTTTAGTAATGTATTCTGGAGTTTAATTAAAGTCGAAAAATCTAATATAAAAATATTGAAACATTAATATTTTTTATGCCATTAAAAAGTTATTATTATTACATTCGACATTTGATATTAGAATTTTACGTTGCTACATTTGTTGTATGTATTAAAAAATTTATCATTAATTTTCTATGTGGCCGTTTTGAGATAATATTTATATAAATTCATTAGCATAAATTAACAATTGTAACACGTTAAAACAACTGATGAAATGTTATTTTCCTGAATTATAAAGATTAATTTTATGTGTTACAGATCCCGTACCAAATGTGAATCATCCGTTTCATTTGCATGGTTACAGTTTTTGCGTAATATATTCGGGTCAGTTTGATAATACTACAGACACAAATAATAAATTGGATATGTTAAACTTATTGGAAGACCATAGTAAACGTATGCAAAATGGCGAATATAACTGTGGTCCCAAGGATACTGTAATAGTTCCAAATAGCGGTTATGTCATTTTACGTTTCAAGGCTAATAATCCAGGTTAATAGTGTTATCATACCATATATATTGTATGAGGTCTGTCCCAAAAGTATCCGACCTCCGCGTATATCTTTGTCTTTGGGCAGCCTATTGTGGAAAACAGGTATTCAGTATTTAAAGTGGACCTTTAGGAGTACCTCCACCAAGCGACACGACCCAATAGCTGTTCAGTTGGCAACGGTACGCAATTGTGTGAGCGTCGAAAACTTCGAGCGTCGCATTTCACAATGACTGCATGAAATGTAGCTGCTCATTTATCTCACCTGATTCAGGAGTTTTTGACTAAACACGACATTATCCAACTTCATCAACCTCTGTACTGTCCAGATAGCCCTGTGTTGAAACATCCGTTGAAGGGCACAAGATTTGACTTTATTGAGAAAATAAAGCGTAATGCGACGAGGGAGCTGTTGACTATCAGAAAAATGACTTTCAGAACTGCTTTCGTAAGTGGGTGCACCGTTAGCAGAAGGTCATTATTTCGGAAGGAAACTACTGTGAAGGCGACGTTGTCCATATCACTCCGGAATAGTTCTTTCTCATGATACAGGCAAAGGTCGGATATTTTTGGGACAGACCTCATATATATACAGTATACAATATACAGTATACAGAGTATACTCTGTATATAGTATACAGAGTGTACCAAAAATCTGGAAACGGTCGAATATTTCATAAGCTATACATTTTAGAAAGAAATGTTTCAGACAACAGTTATTTGGTTCGAAGGAGGACATAAGACGGTGTTATTGGATTGACCTTGAGTGAACGTTTCAAGGTCATACGGAGTTCAACTTTGTTTTTTTAAATGGAACCCCCTATTTTTCATCACATATTCTTGTAGCTTATCTCGAGAGCTTTCCAAAACACTATAAATAAGTTATATTTTATTGAATATTTTCGGAGTTATGGGGCTTGAAAGTTACGATACCGCCGGCATTAGCCAAGATGTACGGTCGCGGACATGAAGGTTGTCACTTTTTTTTTAATAACTTTCGGGACGCATCCCGACTCGAGAAAGATGAGAGCTGCTACTCCGCCTGCGGAGCACGCCTACGCAGTAATTCACAACGAAAGGCGAGAAATTAAATATACGTGGTATGACATAAGTATGTCAATAATCATTGCGTTTAGCGGAGAAAACTGCTCAATGAGCGACTAATGACTATTAGTCCTTACTGTTAGGTCCTTACATTCAAATACCAATAACATTGACAAATTATTCAACAGTTGCTCAACCGTTGAGTGTCGTGAATGCACCCAATTTTTACATTTTGAAAAATCAGCGGAGGGATAGATACATAGTGCAAGTCATTCAAATGGGAATGCGTCTTTTGCAAGGTATTGAACAGGTATGTATATTAACAAGTATTAAATTTTAAGTGAAATCGTATTTATTTAGTCACTAATCACTGAGCGGTTTTCTCCGCTGAACGCAATGATTGTTGACATACTTATGTCATACGACGTATATTTCATTTCTCGCCTTTCGTTGTGAGTTACTGTGCAGGCGTGCTCCGCAGGCGGAGCAGCAGCTCTCATCTTTCTCGAGTCAGGATGCGTCCCGAAAGTCATTAAAAAAAAAGTGACAACCTTTATGTCCGCGACTGTACCGCGTGGAGGTTGCACGGTCGGATTTACACTCTTGTGTGTGTGTGTGTGTGTGTGTCACAGCAGACATAAGGACCCCACAGTTCGTCATTCTCGTAGTATTTAATGACTCCAAACCCTCTCTGCTGTGTGTGTGCGTATGTGTGCGTGCGTGTGTGTATGTGTGTGTAGGGGTGTATGGTTTAGTTGAGTAAGTGTTCAAATTGACCTCCGTCTGCTGCTTGACAATGGCCTAGCCATAGATAAAAATTATTTAAAACATTTCGTCTCATCTCTGCCGAAATAAGATCGACTTGGTATTATACGTTCCCTAAGGTTTGCAAGGTTGACAGGTTTTGTTTCGTATACATTGTTTTTAAGATATCCCAAAAAATAATCGACAGGAGAAAAATCTGGTGATCTAGTAGGTCACTCTATTTTACCACATTTTCCTATCCATCGATTTGGAAAAGTATTATCAAAAAATTGCCATACTGCTACTACATAGTGTGGGCCTGTACTATCTTGTTGGAATCAAATATTTTCTATGTTCCCATCAAACATATTTTCAAGAGCGAGTATGACTTCATTTTGCAATAGTTCCTGACAGGTCGCCGCGTTCAAATTTCCATTAATGAAGAATGGTCCGACAATACGTCCACAAAAACCCGCCCAAACGTTAAGTTTTTGGGAGTATCATGCGGATATCACGCATCCAGTGAGGATTTTCATCATTCCAATATCGGCAATTATGCCGACCGCTACATTCAATTCAAAAGAAGCTTCGTCGGAAAAAATTATATGATCGAAAAAGTTATTATTATCATTGTATCGACACATCATTTCGTCGCAGAATTCATTTCTTCGGTCAAAATCATCTTCCGATAGCTCCTGAGTGATTTTAATTTTGAAAGGATGCCATTTCTCTTTCACTAAAATACGATGAATGGACATTATATTAATCTCATGCGCCTGTGCTTCCTTGCTCAAAGTAGAATGAGGATTTTCAACGAATGTTTGTATCATTTCGAAACTCTTATCCAAGTTTGCCGCTAATTTCGGTCTGCCAGTGCGTTGTCGGTCCTTGACGGATCCTGTTTCATCAAATTGTCTGACCGTTTTCTGGACTGTAGACTTTGAAATCGGTTCACGATTTGGATACGTATTGTTAAATAAAGCAGCTACTTGTTCACAGGATCTAACGCGGTCACCACATCCTCGCATCATCAGTAAAGTAATTTTTTCTCTTTCAGACAAAACCATTCTGGGTGCCACTGAACTTTCACTCAGTTGCTTGTCGTAATACGAACAGTGTGTCGTAATACGAAGAGCTGAATGTATCCAGGATAGGAAAACGTTCGACTATAGGTCAAATCAGATTAATGTAGAACGATTAATGTAGCAAGACTTTTATTGGAAAAGAACTATGAAAAGTATAATAATTTCGATATCTGGATTTTCCCTTAGTCTATGGTCCGCATTCATTGAATCTTCTACCGATTCTTTTCAGAAAGAATTACTATGAATTATGCGAGGATATGGCGAGGACCATGTTAAATCCTTTGAACAAGTAGTTACTTATCTCTGCTGTGACACACACACACACACACACACGCGCGCGCGCACGCACACGCCCGCGCCTACGCCCACGCCTACGCACACGCACACGCACACGCACACGCACACACACACACACACACACACACACACACACACACACACACACAAGAGGTGTAAATCCGATCGTGCAACCTCCACGCGGTATACCTTGGCTTGCCGACGGTATCGTAACTTTCAAGCCCCATAACTCCGAAAATACTCAATAAAACATAACTTATTTATAGTGTTTTGGAAAGCTCTCGAGATGAGTTGTAAGAATATGCGATGAAAAATAGGGGGTTCCATTTAAAAAAAACAAAGTTGAACTCCGTATGAGCTTGAAACGTTCACTCAAGGTCAATCCAATGACACTATCTTATGTTCCCCTTCGAACTAAATAACTTTTGTCTGAAACATTTCTTTCTAAAATGTATAGTTTATGATATTATTATATTCGACCGTTTCCAGACTTTTGGTACACCCTGTATATAATATTATATATAGTACATATTATAAATATATAAATATAAATATAAATACATACACATAAACACGCACACGCACACACACACACACACACACACGCGCGCGCGCGCGCACGCACACGCACGCATGCACGCACATACACTACAGTATATATTATAAATATATATATGTATGTATATGTATTCACTCCTTCTCTCTCTTTCTCTCTCGCTCCCTCTCCTCTCCTCCCTCCCCTTTTCCATTTTTCTCCTTCCCCCAATATCCCTTTCTCTCTCCCTCCCGCCCCCTTTATCCTTCCCTCTTTCTCCCACTCTCTCCCTCTCTCCTCTCCCTTCCTCCTTCTCCCTCTCTCACGCCCACCCTCCCCCTTCTCTTCTCTTTCTAATATTTATGCTATATTACAGGTTGGTGGTTTTTTCACTGTCATTTCGTTTGGCACACCGTGACAGGAATGAACGTTGTTATACATGTTGGAACAGAAGAAGACTTACCACCTATACCACCACATTTTCCAATATGTTAAAGCTGGTTGTCATTAGATTATATATAATTAATTCAATTAATTCTATGACGAAAATGGAACTTTATCTTTTTAAAGACAGAGAAAGACGAAAAACAATTTATGAAAGTCATTAGGTTCATTTATCGCAATAATGAACAAAATAAATAGCACATTTAAATTGTTGTATACTATTGGAAATATGCGAATAAATGTTTAATTAAAATTATATATATATATATAATTTTTAATAATTCTCTAATAAATGACTTTTTCAATATAATGTTTTTATATCCGGATTCTAATGGTGCATCCTATATTATTTTGCCCTGTGTCCTTCCAGGCTTTCATTAATTTTTGGTTACATTCTGAATTTGACCTGACCAACATAATTATTTTGAGATTACAAACGTCTTACTTATAGACATGGTATACTGTGTGTCCTTCTAAATTTCAGGAATGGGGGTAGAGCTTACGTAAAAAATGATCCGTTCTGTTTTGTGTTTATACGTTCTTTCTTGCGAGAGAAGGGGGAACAAGGGGAGGAATTTGCCATAAATGTAATATATGGCAATTGCTTCCTCTTATTCCTCTTTTTCATTAAATAATAATATTGAATAAATATAATAATATTGTTACGGCATTGAATTATTGATTAGACAGAAGACGGATAGCGAGCGGCAGCATGGTCAGATGTTGCTGGGTTGTTGTTGTTAACAACGAGAGAAAGTGAGTCGGGAGAGGACCTCCGAGTTGTAAAGACATAGCGAGTTCAATTAAACCGATTTTTATAAATTGCCTCCTTATTATTTTCCCGAGCGTGCGCGATGCGTAACATTTTGGGAGCTCATCCGGGATTGAATCGCAGGTCGTCCGCTAAACACGAACTGTTCAGGATTGAATTGCAAGTTGTTCGCGATCGCAACAAGAATTGTCGCGACGCGAGCCGCGAGTGAAAAGTGAGTAAAGACAGAGTTAGGAAACGAAATGACGAGTGAAGCGAGGAGCTGCGCAGTAGAGCTGATGATACCCGGGTATCCGAGTACCCGGGTACCCTCTCACTATTCGAAATTCACGGAAAATATCCGGGTACCCGGGTACCCGGGTATTACCCGTATTATCCATATTATTCGTATTATCTGTATTACTCGCATCATCTACAGGATGCACGATTTATCTGAAGACATTGAAATATCTCGAGAACTATGCATTGGATAAAAAAAAGTGGTTAATGAAAGTTGTTAGTCTCGAAGGGGGACATCCAATGATACCAAACTTGACCTCCCACCCCACCCCCTAGGGGTGGGGGTTGGGGGCAACTTTGAAATCTTAAATGGAAACCCCCATTTTTTATTGCAGATACGGATTCTACGCCACAAAATACGTAAATTTTGTCCGAAACTTTTTTTTTATTCGTGATAGATGGCGCTGTAATCGCAAAAAATTATATTTTCCGCAATTTTCCAGAAATGATCACGGGAAGTATTAGACCGTGATTACAATGGTCGGTGGATTGGCAGAGGTGGCCCGATTAATTGGCCTGTTAGGTCGCCTGATTTGACATCGCCGGGTTTCTTTCTGTGGGGTTACCTAAAAGATAAGGTTTATCAACAAATGCCAACAACTCGTGAAAACATGGTAGAACGCATAAGAAACGCTTGCGCTGAAACTCCCGCAGATATGCTCCTATCCTGTGTACAGTCATTTGAAAAAAGGATCAATAAGTGTATTGAAGTTGAAGGTAAAAATTTCGAACACTTACTCTAATTAATTGAACAGTGAGAGGCAAGGGGACTCACATTAAAAAAGCACCCCGATCTGTGAGAGGCAAGGGGACTCACATTAAAAAAACACCCGAAGGGAACATAAAACTACTACGTCCTCGTCGTTGTTCCTGTGTAACGCTAAAAGTAGTTTCTCGGAAAAATTCAACGCTATCGATCACGAATGAAAAAAATTGTTTCAATAAAAGTTTCACGTACAATCTAATTCTGCAATGAAAAATGTGGATCCCCATTTGAGATTTGAACGTTATCACCCACCCTACCCCGAGAGGATGGGGAGGGGGGAATAACTTTTATTATGTTCTTTAAAAATATTGAACAGGTATTTTTTATTTCTCAATCCAATGATCATTTCTGGAGAATTGCGGAAAATATAATTTTTTGCGATTACAGCGCCATCTATCACGAATAAAAAAAAAAGTTTCGGACAAAATTTACGTATTTTGTAGCGTAGAATCCGTATCTGCAATAAAAAATGGGGGTTTCTATTTAAGATTTCAAAGTTGCCCCCAACCCTCACCCCCAGGGGGTGGGGTGGGAGGTCGAGTTTGGTATCATTGGATGTCCCCCTTCGAGACTAACAACTTTCATTAACCACTTTTTTTTATCCAATGCATAGTTCTCGAGATATTTTAATGTCTTCAGATAAATCGTGCACCCTGTATATTGTTTGAATATCTATATTATCCGTATTACTCGAGTGTCTATGTAATAAAGGATTGTCAGAAGAAATGATGCAATCGGACTCAGAGAATGGATAATCACATCCATAAAACGAAGTCGTTGCGAAATATACGTAATTTAGAGTGAGGCCACACACTTTGCATTTCGCCTGCATTCTATCTTCTGACGGAACAGCATATTTCCATACCCAACTTTTTGGACGCGACATAATTAATAGCAAACGCAGTTATTAAATGCAGGTTATATCTGATTACGATATTAAATTAACGTATGTCATCGAGACCGTCAGAAATTTGACGTGAAGTAGGCAGATAATTTAAACAAACACGAATAATTGAAACGTTTTATTGAAAAGTACGGGTAATACGAGCGGGTACCCGGGTATTTTCAACATATTTCAGATAGTGAGCGGGTTACTCGAATACCCGGGTAATTCATTACCCGGTCAAAATCATTGGCTCTACTGCGCAGTCCTTGGCCGTCGGAAGCGCGCTTGCTTGAATGAGCCGGAGACGGCAGGAGCAGATGCAACAAGTTCCGGAGTATCGGAGACGTCGGCTCTGCAGGGTGCGCTTCAAGAGATCCGAACAATGAGGAAGGAACGTCTGCGTTTGTTGGAGGAGCAATAGGAGCGAGTCAGCGGCCGAGTTGAGCCGAAGGAACCTATTACAGACTAGTCTTTTCCGATAAAATTTAAAATGTTTTAATTATAAGAGATTGTCTTTTCAGATATTTTGCTTGTATTTACTTTGTTTGTTGATAGTTTCTCCAACATTTGTTGATTCTCTGGATCCTGGAGATTGAAGGATGATCTTTTGAAAAGGACCGAACATATTTGTCCAAGAAGACTGCCTCTCCTACGGTTTTGACCGTGGTTTTTCCGTGGGGCATTGGGCGAATGCCAAAGCAGGGACTTGAGGTGTTCTTTTAAAGAACGATGGGTTCGCATTAGTTACCCTTCCCCCTCTTGTCTGAAGATCGAGGAAAGAATGCGGGAAACGCGGAAGAAAAAATAGATGGCGACGAAGAGATTGGGACATGGAAGGACCGTGCCCGTAGAAACCTGGAGGGTTTCTACGGGGTTTTCGAGATCGCTGATTTTGAATATGACTTTAAAAATTAGAAATACAAAATGGTGGATCCAATATGGCGCCCGACAAAATTAAAAAATTGTCGATCAAGACTTGAAATTGAAAATGACTGTTAAACTTATTAATTAATAACGACTTATTCAATATTTTTGCTTTCCTTTTCTATATCAAGATCGTCTAAATGAAATACTATATTTTCAAGCTCGAAGCTGCACTCGTCTTCGTCTTCAGTTTCGCTAGTAATATTAAAAATATCATCACCTTTTAAATTAATGTCAAAGTCTATTTCATTAATAAATAATAGATCTATAACCTCTGGTGGAAAAAGTTTACGCTTTCTTGTATTAATTCTTTTTTGTAAGCTAATAGTTGAAATTATAATACCGGAACTTGCTAAGGCACATTTAAACATATCTGTTAAATTATCAATTCTATTTGTTTGTCGTGCGTACTATAATCTATCATTTCTATAATATTTGTTCCGACTTTCTGCTACGTCTTCTCTGAAGACGCCTACAGGAAGCAGAGAGTTTAATATAATCTGTGCTCCATGAGCTAATGTTTTATGAACAGCTGATGGCATTTTGTACCATTCATACTTCTCGTTAAAAATCTTCGCTGTGTCAAGACAAAACTTTTAAAATTTAATAGGGTCAACTGGAAATTGACTGTTCGACACAAGTAAAATTGTTCTGAAATTTTTAACTATCATTACGTCAAGGTCTAATACCTCAGCTAACAGTTCCGGCTTTTCAAACGCTCTTCTGGAGACGTTTCCAGTAGTACTGGTTCCAACACCTCCTGATCTTGGTTGATCTACTGACATTGAACATTTTTCTCGAAATCGCTCCTGAATTTGTCTTCTTCTTTTTTTCATTATAGTTTTTGCTTCATCTCTTGCAACTTTCTAAACCTTTAATTCAATACGATATGAATAAACATTCGAAAAAAACGAATCCACATATATAGTATAGATAACCCGTATTGTAATGTATCTGACTTCGGTTCGAATGCAGGAATACCAAAATTTGTAATTTCATTCATCTGATTTGGCGTGGCGTGACATATTGGGCAATTAGCAAATGCAGGAGATCCAGTCAAAATACTCAAAACTATACCATCTATAAGAGTACAAAAGAAGGAACAGGAGACTATAATTTTTCTATTGCCACTGGAAAATTCGTATGTAATTGGACGCAAATTTGTAATCTGTTCTTTCATTTTCTCATTTGTCGCTCTAATATTTTCCAGAGTTTCTTTTTTATACTCTAACATTATTGGCGAACAAAATCTTATCGATTGTGGAGTTCTATTACACCTATATATTGCACCATGTCTAGCAACTAAATGTAATGGAATGGTAGTTGTAGCTATCAAGTTAGCATCCGTTGTTCCAACTGATTCACCTGAATTATTAAAGTGTTGATTATAAGTAGAGTGATCACTAGATCCATCAAAACTCTATGATAATATCAATGTAGCTTCAACACATTGCAAAGATTTTTGTTGCATGTCAGCGTCAATAACCTCTATTTGCATTTCTATTAGGCGCTTCACTCTATGTTCGAGGAAATTTTGAAGTGGAACTGTAGCTGTTATATCTGTGACGATTATACCTTTCGGATAACACTGTTCTATTTCCAT